CTCCATGTCAGGAGAAGAGGAAAAAACTCTCGAAGTAAACTGTTAATGATTAAAATATTGTAATTTTAACTAAAAATAATTATTGCAATTTTTCAGTTTAGTATGTGCCTCAAAATTTATCCTGTAAGCTCTTCTTCAGTTATGTCATCTGTAAATGGAATTAAAATGTCTATCTTGAAGAATTTTTGTGATGACCAAATGACATAATATATTCCCAGTATGTAGAGCCTGGCACAAAAAAAGTTGGCTAACAAACTTCAAATCCTTCACTTTACATTCAAGTCACGATGGAAATCAGATTTATTTAATATGTTCAAAATAATTTGAGGTTTATTTATAAGAACTGAAATGAGAATTCTTAAATTCATCAATTTCAAAATTGCCTGAGGACAATAGAATGCATTCTTTTATGCACTTATCTCCAGACTCACTTAACTTGTCATCATGTATCTTCGTAGTCCAGAAATTCTGCTGCCTAATAGCTCCTTGCCCTATTGTTCTTGGCAAAGTGAAGAATTATCTGGTTTATTCAAGAAGAATACTAATTTCTTACATGTTTGTATCTTCCTTTAAAAAAAAAGTAGGGCAGACTTTTCTTGAGTTTGAGAACACTGGAAAATTTAAGTACTCATTTCAAGACTTGACCATATTTGTGATTTTACCTGCACTGATTACTTTTGCCTCCAATAATGCAGCCCTAAAAGAGAGGTATATAAATATCAAATAACCAGGCATAGAAATATTCAAATAATCAAATATGAAATGAAGAGAACACAATTTTCCTTTCTCTAACTTGATAAAACAGACCCAAAGACAAGCCTGATTATGAGCATTTGATCCACCATGGCTTTGGTCATTTTTGAATGAGCAACTTTCCTCATGGCCACAGAGCTTCTCTGTTGGATTAGCTTCCTCCAGGAAGTCTGTTTCACCCCAGGCAGATGAAATTCAGTTTCTAGCCCAACTGGTAATAACACTTTAAGCTTTTCCCTTTTGTTAAAATCAGGTCAGATGAAGCTACTGAGAGGAAATTGAGCTATTTTTTTTATTTCCAAAATTGTCGGCTGGATTTAGTTTCCTTAAAATTGCGTGATTATGCCAGTTCTCTAAGGACTGTCTTTTGAACATTAGATTTCAGAATGGCCCACTTGAATTTCTTCTCAACCCATTGCCATTGATTGGTACCTTCATTCCATTCTTAGCTCAGTACATATTAACAAAACAAAATAAAGCAACCACATCTTATTTTTTCTCTTAAATTCTCATTGACCCATTCTGATTCTCTTGGGTGAATAACTTACCAAACAAGCTTTAAAACATAGCCTTGATAACTAATAGTGTTTTCTTCTTTGAAGCCCTGCATCTTTTCAAATGTTGGAAGAATGAAAGAAATCTATTTGTTTGGCCTGAAACTCTCCAAGCACATTTTTCCCCCACTTATACATAAGAACAAAATCTTCAAAGGAAAAATATAACAGAGGAACTGTTTGACTCTCCAGTTACAAAATAAACATTTCTGAAGATGTTTGAGAAGAACAAATGCCCTTGGGATTTTATCTCAAAAATATCAAATTTATTTTTATTTTTACTTTAGCTTTTCCTTGTAAATATCTCCTCTTGAAAAGAACATAAATTGTCACATTTTAATCTACACTAAAAATACACAATAATTTGCCTCAAGGACTCTTAAGTCATTTAAAAATCAAGTGCCTCTGCATCATATTTAAAATCCAGATATTATTCCAGTATTTTTAATTCAGTTTAATTTGAGACTAAGACATAATAAAGAAGCAATTCCTTTTCATTATTTCTGCCACACTTTTTAAGGATTTTTCTTACATTTAAAATTTTGTCTTTACACAGCCTCGACAATGAAAATTGCATGAAACAATATAAATTAGAAAAAAGATAAAGCTCTGAAGAATTGTAGATTATTGTTGTTTGTCCCTTAAAACCACAAGTGATTCCTGCATCTTTTTCCAGAACTGTCTACTGGTATTGCATCTGCTTTCCCTAATTCAATTACTCTTCCTGGTACAGGAAAGGAAGAAAATGAATGAAAGATTAAATTATTCCATCATGCTCTAATTTAAGGACTATGTCCCTGTTTGGGGTATAGAGATGAGCTATCTTCAGACCTCATGTGTCCTTGAGGTTACACAAAGGCTTTCCAGCGGGTATGCCAGCATGCATTAAAATTGTTTAACATAGCTTCCACTTCCGTATATACTCTTTTCTAAATTACCTGCCTGAGAACATCCCTGTCATTAAAGTAGTGTTCACTTACTCTCTCAGAGCCACTATTCATCCACTTTAAAACAAGAAAAGCACAGATTAAAAGTGTGAAAGGATAAAAGACAGAGCTAAATGCCACTTGTGCTCCTGAATGGGATTCTAGATAGAAAAACAATATTTCTATGAAGGGCATTACTGGAAAAATAGGTGAAATTTGAATATTTACTGTCTATTAGAAAAGAGTATTGTATCAATAGTAAATTTCCTGAATTTAATAAATACATGGTGGTTGTGTAAAAATGACTTTATTCTTAGGCAATAGGCAATATATACTGCAATATTTAGGGGTGAATTTCATGATGTCTACAATTTACTCTTTTTTTAAAATTTAATTTATTCTTAATTGTTTCTTATTATTGAAAATAAGAATTAAAACATAAATAAACACACTGCACACACATACACGCACACACATACACACACACACATAGAGATAAAGCAAATATGGCAAAATGTTAATAATTGGATAGTTAGGTGTTCATTGTACTATTCTTACAACTTTTCTGTAGGTTTGAAATTTTTCAAAATAAAGATTATATACATTTTAACATATTAAAACATATGTTAAAATGTATGACTAAGTACAATTATATAGCGATTTTATTTTTAAAAAGGGAGTACAAAAAGAAAGACATACCTTGCCAGTAGTTAGCGTGATTCATGCCCAAGAGTCTTAAAAAGGAAACTCTGCCAGTGTATTAACATTCACCAAAACCTTTTTGTCCCTATTAATCACAAAAACATCATTAAGAGATCCAGTAAGTTTTTACTTTTTAATGTTTAAAAATTGTCAAGTTGTATATTTTGTTTATCTTGCTTTAATTAATTAAATACTAAAAGTAGGAATATTTTTAAATTTATTTTGTTTGAACAGTGTATAGAGTTGGTCAAAATTCTTATAAGTGCATCACAGGCAAATAAGGATGAAAACTTCTGCTTTGATGATTTGTGTAATGCAGTGGTTCTCGAACTATGTTCCCATGGAACGCCTGTGTTCCACCCTCTGTGTGTATTGGTTCTGCCATTGAAACTGAACAGTGGGTATTCTCCAATTCACAGAAAAATATTAACAAATACAATTTTATCAATTTTATGTTTTTGACTCATAAATCTTTGGTATCGTATCCCCATGTCTGCTAGCAATTTCCAACAATTGACAAAATGAATCCATGGGAAGATTTCAATATTAACAAAGACATTCAGACAGTGGATTATCTTTGGTTCAGCACTGTCTGATTATAGATGCATGCTCACAGTGGTAGTTTTGTTATTGCATATTATTATATAATCACATTCTTTGCTGGTAAAATTGTTCCTAATTCAAAACTGGAGTTAAGTAAATCTACATTTCATGGTTATTTCATAAGAAGAGCAAGTACTGAATGACCCAAACATATTTGAGAGCTATTGACTTACTGTCTAAAATCCATAGGGATTTATGCAAAGAGAACTCATGGTGTTAAAGCCTGCTGAATGTAAAATTTCAATTTAAATAAATAGCTTGGATAAAAAGGAAGTAAAAGAAAGAGGGTTTTATGTTTTTTTTTTTCTTTTGGTAATATAAGGCTGAACACTTTAGTGCAGCTGCATCCAAAAGCAGGCTTCTTTAGACAAAAAGGCATTTCTAGTGTGAAACTGAGTACTGAATCTAAGGGCTGCTACTTCTTTCCTCAGAACTTCTATCGCCAGGCTATGGAAGAGGCCAAGAAAGAAGGCTGTGACTTGAGAAGTGACGCCATTCCCATTGTGGCTGCCAAGGCCTCCCGGGACATTGCTAGTGATGTAAGTAAGAGCTGATGGAGTCCTTACATTTGTTACCAACAGGCCAGCCCATGCATAGGGAATCACATTACTGGAATACAGTTGGAAGTCTCTTTAGTCATCACCATTTTAACTGCCTTCATTGTGAAGACATTTAAATTGTGGCTTTGAGACAGTAGGTAACCTGCCCAAGATTACAAGCATCATTGAGGCAAAGCCTGAATGGGAATGTGGTTTCTTTGACTCTTGTGTTTTGGTCTTAATAAGACTGGATACCTTGATTAAAGTTAGGTGGGCATACGCTAAGCTACTCATAAAACCTCAGGAGCTCTCAGAATATACTCAAGATATAGATGCCAGGAAAGAAGCAAGCTTTAACTGAGTTTTCCCCATGATTTGAAGAAGGATAGAGGATAGCAAAAGAGCTGTAAGTCTCTTCGCTGAGGAGTCTACAAAATCAGTATTCCTTATCCTAGGAGTGAAAACATCAGATTCTTGGACACCTTAAACATGAATCCAAGACTACTAAAATTGTTCATTTTTGCAGGCTTTTTTTCTTTTTAATCATAATAAACACATAACATAAAATTTACCATCTTAACCATTTTTAAGGGTACAGTTCAGTAGTGCTAAATAAATCCTCACTGCTGTGGAACAAACTTCCAGAATGTTTTCATCTTGCAAAACTGAAACTCTGTGCCCATCCAACAACAAAAGCTGTCATTTTTCAACTACCCCTCTAGGTTATCTATGCAGAAGAAATTATTTCTCAGAATGCCCTAGAAAAAATTAATGAACCATGTAAACACATCTCAATGGGCCCACCCCAATGACTGACTTCTGAGACGCTGTCACTGTAATTGAGCTCACACTTTCAATGTTCACTTTTAATCACTTTTTATAAACATGTTTTCTAGCATAACATAAAATAATTGTTGAGGAGCTATTCCACAGAAATGCGCAGATGAACACAGCAGCTTCTTTGGGAGTAAGCTTCTTTGTGACACTGCCCGATGTGTCATATCACATATGATGAAACTCCTCAGACATCTTGAGGATTTCATACAAAAGCTTTACTCCCCAAAAAATAAAAGAAAATAGCTCTTGGTCTTTCTCCCTTTTTTACTGTTTTTCTGTCTTTCAGTACAAATACAAAGAAGCTTATCGCAAGCAGCTGGGTCACCACATTGGCGCCCGAGCGGTGCAAGATGACCCCAAGATTATGTGGTCTATCCACATTGCCAAAGTCCAGAGTGACCGTGAGTACAAGAAAGAATTTGAGAAGTACAAGACGAGGTACAGCAGCCCAGTGGACATGCTTGGTATCGTTTTGGCCAAGAAATGTCAGACGTTGGTCAGTGATGTGGACTATAAGCATCCTTTGCATGAGTGGACCTGCCTGCCTGACCAGAACGACGTCATCCAGGCTCGGAAAGCTTATGACCTCCAGAGTGATGTGAGTATCTCCAGGGCTGGTCCTGCCGGGTAAAAGCTGATCCAAAACGTGTCTGTGGGTTCTGACTAGTGCCGATGAACTGGGCTTTGCTTGTATATTTTAAACAATATACAGGTGAGTGTTTGAAAAGTTTCCCATTGGAAGCACTATAATTTATTGGACAGTTGTCTTCCCCAAAAGTTACATGTAAAAGAGGAAATAAAGTATATATATTATCAATTATATATAGGTATATTTCTTCCTGGTGCTTCAAGCGTCCTTTGTCTGAGTTAGATGAAATGTGGTCCTTAAAAATATACAGCCAGTGGAGGGATAAGGGGTGGGGGAAAGAAAGGGGGCATTATGGTTAGCATGTATAATGGGGGGAGGGCACGGGAAGGGCTGTGCAACACAGAGAAGACAAGTAGCGATTCTACAGCATCTTACTACGCTGATGGACAGTTACTGTAATGGGGTTTGTCGGGGGGGACTTAGTGATGGGGGGAGTCTAGTAAACATAATGTTCCTCATGTAATTGTAGATTAATGATACAAATATATATATATATACAGCCACAAATTTTTGGCTAGAGAGGTGAAAATGATGTGTGTGTCAGTAGAAGGTAGTGTGGAGATCCCAGAAATATATTGTGCTAAATTATTTTAATAAACTTATATTTTATACTTAGAGTCAGAAAAATACTGAGATAGTCTTGCCTTTTTCAAAACCAATCATCTAATTCACAGTTAACATGTCCTATTGAGAGTAAACAAAATGAGTAATTAGGAAAATATCTGTTATCTTTATAACACCACATTACACACTTGATATTTGTGACTTTGAAGATGGAAATTAAAGCAAGAATGGTGATCATTTCACAATATATACATATATTGAGTTATTATGTTATACACCTGAAACTAATATAATGCTATATGTCAATTATATCTCAGTTTGAAAAATGCAAATCAAGAGTGTGACTTGCAAAAGTTAACATTACTACATGTTGCAACTCACTACTGTACTTGAATTTCACCTCTTTTCCCTAAAAGAAAAAAAAGGAGGGCTAGAGTTTTTGTGACTGGAACCCTCACGTGATGCTGTTCTTACTGGAAACTATTAGAGCACATTTTCCAAGGCTTAAGAAGCTCTGCTCTCGTGTAAAATCTTGGTAGTACCTTCAAGGGCAGGACTGTGTCTTTCAGTTTTAAATATATCTCTCATCTTTCTGGATTCAATGCGGGTACTAAACAATGCTTAGGGAAAAAATATGCTTAGGATTCAATAATGCTTTTGAATGGTTGATCAACTGTGCTGGTAGCTTTATCTGTTCATCGGTACTTTGTATTTCTCTAGTATGGGCCATTTTGTGACTATGTCTCTGAACCATTAATTAATATATATGTTTCATCTCTGTTGATTTGTAGAATTTGTATAAGTCAGACCTTGAATGGCTGAAAGGCATTGGCTGGGTTCCGATTGGGTCCTTTGAAGTTCTGAGAGCCAAGAGAGCCGCAGAGATCCTGAGTGATAATATCTACCGCCAGCGACCAGAGACACTGAAATTTACCTGTGTAACTGACACTCCAGAGCAGGTGCTGGCAAAAAGTAATGCTATAAACATGAATAAGGTGAGTCTTCACTCCTCACCAGTAGGTATCAGAAATCACCATAGAACAAGGTAAAAATTCCGGCATATTAGTATATTTTAAAGATTCCTATAGGATTTATGGTATTTTTTAATGATTTTTCCATTATAATACCATAGTTACTTAGTAATACTTCAAAATATTAAACTTGTGTTGAAAATACTCTGTGCTGTAATTATTTCATAATTACATATTTTTAATACTGCAACACAATTATACTTCCCAGAATTGCTGAAGAATTTTAATGAGAAGCAGTAAAAACTCTGAGTCAATGAAATAGTGAGTTAAATACTCTTGGAAATAATAATTTATCTACAGGAAGGTAGGACTTATGCAACTTTAATATTTTATTTCTATTTTGTAGAGGAAAGGCGACTGACACATAATAAAAAAAAAGCCTGTGAATTCCAAAATAATTTTTCTCATCTTTTTTTTCCATAGCGACTGTATACTGAAGCCTGGGACAATGATAAGAAAACAATCCATGTCATGCCTGATACACCAGAAATCATGCTAGCCAAACTCAACCGAATAAACTACAGTCATGTGAGTCAACTAGTGATCTTATAATGAATAGAAAGGCAAAAATGAACTATTGTAACTGTTTCCTTAGTGAAATGTTTCAACTAAGTTATCATACATACTCCAAACTTACATTTTCAGTAAAAGAGCTAGTTCTCCCTTAATTCAAGTTTGGACTATGTGGTAGGTCCACAAATTAGGCCAGCCTTTTGGCAACAGGGTATCAGAAAAGGAAAGCTTATGGAGAAAATTCCAATAGGAATTATATTCCTGAAGCCTTCCCCCTACAGGTCAGTGTGGGTATTGTCATTATTTTATTCAACAGCTATTTAGTAGGAAGGCACTGGGTTGGTTGGAACCCAGAAAGTTACCATGTCCTATATTATTTTACTGTATCATTAATGTCCTGATTATCATTGAATTTCATTTGCAAGCATTTTTCTAGGCATCTCTTTCAGAACCAACATTTTCAACAGGGCAATGGTTCTGAAACACTACTGTAGTTTGATCACAGTCTGTGATGATAGTTTGGTTGTCCAAAAAATGAGAAAAAATAGAGACAATGCATGGAATTTTTCATAAATCTAAATATATTCAATTTTAAAAGTTCCTTCTTCCTTAAAAGTTCCTCATTCCTTCTTTAGCATTAAGATGCCCTTTCTTTTATAATAGGACAGTGATAGTAAATAGTTCTTTTTTAACATGTGCTAGTTTGGCAAAACTGAATTTGGCAACCACATGCTGATCTCCCCAAAATGTATTTTTTTAAATTTACAAATAAATAAAATTCCGAAGTTTAGAACATGTGTCTTTTAATCCTTGAGCACCTATGAGGCAAAGTTTTGTAGAAACCCACCCTGCTAATTGACTTTGTGGATTTATTTCTGTAGTTTAATGAAGATGAGAAAATGTAATGATAAACAGGTTCATTATTTTATGAAAGGAGTAATGACTAACAACTCTCTTTTCTACAGAAACTCTATAAACTTGCTTTGGAAGAGTCCAGGAAGGAAGGCTGTGACTTACGTTTGGATGCTATTCCAATCCAAGCAGCCAAGGCTTCAAGAGAGATTGCTAGTGATGTAAGTTGATGTTTTTGGAAGAGGTATTTCTTGTGGAAAGATGATCACAAATGGCAGCTTTTACAGTTTTTCTTGCCAGAATTTTGATTGTTCCCAGCAGTCTCAGGTTCATTTAGTGATTCCCCTATATACAAAGTTGCAAATGAAAACAAAGAACAGCACAAAGTACTGTGTCATTTATACCTGTTCATCAATCAAAGATAGAGGTATATGCTTTAAAAATCCGTGTTTTATGGACACTAAAAAAATGGTTCATAATTTTCAGCCTGAGAAATTGAGCAGGTGATCAGATGTTTGAAAAATATACTGATACTAGTGGATGTAAATCAGCCACTAGAAATGTGAACTCTTTCCTACTTCTGTCATTAAAGGAAGACTAGCTGGTGGGTGTATTTTAGAGTTTTGGCCCATCCTTTGTACCTTCTAGTGAGGATCTCCTACAGAGGTGCCCTAACTGGTTACAAGAACAAGTTGAGAAGTAAGTGAAGCTCTTCCTCAGGACCCACTTGTCTATTCTCTAGTCCTTCCCTTCTCATAAGAAACATCTCGTGAGTGTTGTTATTCTGTACCAGGGCTCCCTTGGGCCCAAATCCAGACTTTCCTTCTTCTGGAAGGGTCCCATGCCTTAGACTTACGCTTCATTTCTTCTATCATCATAACTCTTTCAGGCTGTTAAGTTTGAGAAGCCCACACTATGATCATCTCATAGTAAAATGGACCATAATGTGTTATTCTTGTATTTTAAAAGTAGATAGAGTATTAACTCAAGGCATGACTCTCATAGTGAAAGTTCAGTGACATTGACAGGCTATTGAGGGAGATGTTTCCTGGTGAAACTATCTAAATGTAGCCCATATCCTCAATCAGAGAATTTACTGTAAGTTCTAATTACAAGGGACATATGCTAAAATATTCTTAATGTCAGACATTTTTAGAAAAGATTGTTCACATTTTTCAATTAAGTAGATGCTTTTTTAGTTGTACAAGATGTTTTATCTTTACTTATTAAGCAAGCAAATGTAAATTAGGTAGTACAGTTTAATAGGAGAAAAATATCAAGAACCAGAGATTCTCTATTTTAGTCTCAGCTCTGCCACCTATTTGTGATGTGACCTTGAACAAAACACTTAATCCCTCTAGGCTTCAGGTTTCTATTTTATAAAATGGGGTTGATAATATTAACATTTCTGTCCCTCACACCAGTGGTAAGGAAAATGAAAAGAAATACTGTATGTGTTAAACTATGAAATACAATATAAATGAGATGTTCTTATCACTAGACTCATATATCTTTTCTTTTTTCAGTACAAGTACAAGGAAGGCTACCGCAAGCAGCTCGGTCACCACATTGGGGCCCGTAAGATTGAGGATGACCCCAAGATGATGTGGTCTATCCATGCGGCCAAGATCCAGAGCGAGAGGGAGTACAAGAAGGACTTTGAGAAGTGGAAGACCAAGTTCAGCAGCCCAGTGGACATGATGGGGGTGGTCCAGGCCAAGAAGTGTCAGGTCCTTGTAAGCGACATAGACTACAAGCATCCCCTACACGAATGGACCTGTCTGCCCGATCAGAATGACATCATTCAGGCTCGGAAGGCCTACGACCTTCAGAGTGATGTGAGTGGGTCTAATATTCACCAGAACTTGTTTCCGAATTGTAAAATGGGGTCCTCTTTTTGTGTCATGGCATCTTTTGGCAGCCTGGTAAAATTTATGGACAACTTCTCAGGACAGTGTCATGAAGTACATAAAATAAAACACATATATATAGGTTTCAAAAGAAACTTGACTACATTGAAATATAATTATCAACATATTAAACTAAATTTGTGATGTACTATATATATGCTTTTTTATTTATACATTAAATAAAAAGATCTAGTGGGGAGTGTAATAATAACTATTTAAAGAAGTGACAAGCATAAATATTTCAAGATGTCTGCAACTACTGTAATAGATATGAAGACATTTGTGATTTCTGTTGCTGATGGAGTACCACATAGTGTTAATACTGCTATGATCTGTTGCCTAAACTTATAATTGGAAGAAATGTTGTATTTCAGTTAAAGGTTAATGAAAATAAAGATAGTGTGGGTTTTTTTTCTATCCACATTCATTGATGCCAGGTTAAGCATTCCTGGTTGAAATCAACCTACTTTTCCAGTTGAATTGATTGCTTTATTGTTTTTCTGACTACTTGACTTCTAGCAAATATCTAATATAACTTGTGTAAGGAAGTTGAAGAATGAATTATACATATTGAGACAATTTTGCTAGGAAGCTGACAACAGTAGCTCCCTAGGAATATGTGAGGGGCTTTTGCTGTCAGCCAGTAGACTGTCTTTGGCACTCAAATGCTACCCCAGTGGTATTGTAGCTCCTCATTTTTTTGATCAGGCTGACACATAGTCACTTTTGAAGGAATGACAAAAGCAGAGACTTGTAAAAGAGTGGTTCCCCTAAAGCCATACAAACAAAAAGAATTCTTGCTCTTACTTGAGAGGAAAATTCTCCTTTAGCCAGTTATCTAAATTCAAGAAAACAAAATTAAAAGAAGATAAAATATCTTGTTTTACTCAAATTATACTGCAAAAAATGAGGGCTAAGCATAAGATATTAAAAATATATTCGTTGTTTGGCTTAGAAGCATGCATATAAAATCATATGAAAAAATATGCCCTTTTTGTTGTCCCTAGAAAACACATTAATTCAATATGTGTTCAGCCAGTAGGGTTCATCCTTTCTCAATGTCACATGACTGGCTGTGAAGGCCACTGCTCAAGGAAACAAGAACAAACTGTGTTACTAACAGTATTATTACTACACAGGAGATATGGGCAATCAAATCAGAGAATAAATAGTTTGTATTCAGGAGGTAGGCAGTAGTTTCCTTAAAAGGGTTTTGCATTGATGAAATCCCCATCTCATTAGAGAGATTTTGTGGGTCTTTAAAAAGGCAAACATTGGCTACTTTCAGAGACAAAATGTTAATTAACCACTCTGCACCAAAGTGCAAAAATCCTGTGGGTCTTCCCTGAAATTTACACAAGATGAAGAATTACACATCATCTGTATATGCTAAATCAAGACCAGACACCAGGTAATTTGTATAAATATTATTTCATTATTTCATTTTCAGGCTATTTACAAGGCTGATCTTGAGTGGCTGAGAGGCATTGGATGGGTACCCATTGGCTCTGTACAGGTGGAGCATGTCAAGAGAGCTGGAGATATCCTGAGTGAGAGAAAGTACCGCCTGCCTGCAGAGCAGCTCAAATTCACATGCATTACAGACACCCCAGAGATTGTCCTGGCAAAAAATAATGCCCTGACAATGAGCAAGGTGAGTCTCCAGCGTCTTCCAGTTGCCTGAGTGATACCTTCCATGAACTTAGCTCATAAAGTGAGAAGCACCCTGAAGGGTTTCCAGAAAAAGGAGGTGTAATGGGCCTGATTCTCGTGCAGGCCTTCAACAGAGCATCTGCTTGATTTCTAGCTGGACCTGCATGCTGTTCTCAGCACTGTGTCCTTTAATTCTTTGCGTGCATGAGGAAGTGTAGCCTGGGGTAATTTCTCTAAAATAGTCCTCACACTCTTCTGAGTGGTAACCTGGAGACATCCACAAATGCCTAACTTTTTGCTGCACATTCTCCTGGGCAGAGCACACTCAAGCCATTGGTGCGCATTCATCCATCCTGTGAGGAATATGCAGCCATTGAGCATTTTATTCCAAAGCCTGGGAATGCCAGTGCACACTCAAATTAGTTGCTTACTGTGCTCTTCCACCTTAGGTTGTGGAAATCCACTGTGGAAAGTAAGCTGCTATTATTGCTTCCAGTTTTGTTATACAACCAGTACATAAAAATGCTCACTTTTTTTTCCCAGAGTTCTAGCAATCGGCTTATTGATACTGAGTTAAATCTTTGTTCACCGGGTAGGCCCTTAATAGGCACATTTTGGATAGGACAGAACTGACTGAATTCTCCCACCCCTACTTGGACATCTTCTAAACATTCAGGCAATGAGACTGTGTGCTCAGTACAGAATATGAAATTGGCTCTCAGCAAATCCAAAGCTTGGGGTAGTAAAACTCCAGAAATTCCTTTTTGTACCACACCCACTGACAGCAACCATAGTGATTTGTTGAGTGCCTCAGGCATTTTACCTGTGTTATGATTACTCTTCACAAAATATTCAATAAAAACATGCTTATCCCCCTCTTACTAATGAAGAACGTTAGGCACTGCATTCCTTCTTCACTATGATACAGTTTGGACACAGTGGAGTTGGGTTTGACCTTAGGATTGACTCTGAAGTCCAGGGACTTGCATTGTATCGTAGTTCTATAGCCGTACTCTATCCTTGCAGGTCTTGTGAGTAAGCTTGGAATTCACTGGATGAAAAGAATGAACATTTGAGACCATTATATCACTTCATATCAGCTATGAGATTATTATATGGCAGTTATATTACTCTATTTCACTATCTCATTACCCTTTTCCTTCCCTTACCTCCAAATAGCCTTAACAAACCTCTTTTTTTTACTGTTAAATGTGTTAAATTTTATGGTAACTGTAATATATAGGCTTTAACAAAAGGTTTTACCTCACCTCTCCTGTAGCATTTATATACAGAAGCTTGGGATACTGATAAAACCTCCATCCATGTGATGCCAGACACCCCAGGAATCATTCTGGCCAAGACCAATTCTGCCAATATCAGCCAAGTAAGAGATTTCCTGATTGTCGTTTAAGTCTTTCTGGGAATAATTAAAATACTTTTTCCACCTTATCACTTTCTTGTCTGTAATTAGCCTATTAAGTTTCCAAAACAGTTTTTTATTTTTCTGTAATGTATTATCTTCTGCCTAGAAACTTTACACCAAGGGATGGGATGAATCAAAGATGAAGGACTATGATCTGAGAGCTGATGCTATTTCCATCAAAAGTGCTAAGGCTTCGAGGGACATTGCCAGTGACGTAAGCACCCTCCGTGTAATACTGTGGTTCCACATTGCTGAACCACCATAGTGTTGCTGGTGGACCACACCGTGTAATTGCTTTCATATGTATTCCACCAGGCCTGCTTCCTACCTTTTAAGATTTTTCCCTTTGTTGTCACAGAGCAGAAAAATACATTTTGGAATTACAGTTGCTGCATGGAGGGGTTCCACCAATGAGGATGTAGGATTACAGTACAGTTATGCTTGTGACAGTATTTAAAGTGTTATTTAAAATTGTTCAGAGATGCCCAAATGGTTGCAATATGAAATTCTTGTCCTTCTGCTTAGGGCTTTCCATGTTTTCTGTAATTGTCAGAATGTATATGGTCTTAAATCTGGCTTTCTAAAGCTGTATTCTGGAATTTTAGTACAAATATAAAGAAGCGTATGAGAAACAGAGAGGCCACCACATTGGAGCCCGGAGCGTTGAGGATGACCCCAAGATTATGTGTGCCATACACGCAGGGAAGATTCAAAGTGAAAGGGAGTACAAGAAGGATTTCCAGAAGTGGAAGACCAAGTTCAGCAGCCCAGTGGACATGTTAGGCATCTTGCTGGCCAAGAAATGTCAGATTCTTGTCAGTGACATTGATTATCGGAACTACCTGCATCACTGGACATGCTTACCCGACCAAAATGACATTATCCAAGCCAAGAAGGCCTATGATCTTCAGAGTGACGTACGTACCATGAACTTTGGGAGAGGTGAAATGGGGCAACGCAGATTTATTAATTGGACAGAGCCACAGACTGCACGCTGCACAGCAGTGGGGGCACCATTCATGTTGTTTAGTACAAAACAGATATGTGGGAGGTATCTGTCATGGGATCCACAGACAAAGGAACCAAATGAAGAGCCCTATTTAGATCATGTCCATTATTCCCTGGCCTAGATTCCACACTATTTTCTTCATGTTATTTATTCTTTCTAGCAATGAAAATTTATTTCAGACAAACATAAATTATCTGAATGTTTTAAAAATAACTTCCATTGTTGTACTATACTCAAAACACTAAGTGGAGTTTCCTGGGGCCTGTTATTACAGGGAGAAAAAGCAATGAGATTCAACAAAATTTCCTTTTTATAATATTTCAGTTCTGTAGCTTTTTCCAATTATCAAATAATTATTAGAAAATTCTGCATTATTACTATGTTATGCTTATTCATGGTGAGTATAAATAACTATGCTTTTACAAATTACTCTGTCATCAATATTAGCACCTCTGAATCATATAAAATCCAGGTCCTACACTTTTGGAACCACCATCTCCTGTGCTTATCAACCCCTCAATTCCATGTACTTTATTTTGCAAGTAAGGGATGATATGTCTAATACTGGAACAAAATTTCATTCTAACCCCTTTGCAGAGTGTGTATAAAGCAGACCTGGAATGGCTGCGCGGCATTGGCTGGATGCCAGAAGGCTCCGTAGAAATGAACAGGGTGAAGGTTGCCCAAGACCTGATAAATGAAAGACTCTATAGAACACGGCCGGAAGCCTTGACGTTCACCTCCATTGTTGACACCCCAGAAGTTGTCCTGGCAAAAGCTAATTCTCTGCAAATGAGTGAGGTAGGAACCATCCAGTCACCAAGCTTTCCTTTTGCGGGGCTTTATTTTCAGATGATGCCACTCAGACCAAGCAAGTGGGCTGCTCCACTTCAGAGATGCACTGATGGGAGCAACTCTAAGAATCTCCTGATGGTTGGACGAGGGCACATGCCGGGCAGCGTTCTGACAGCTGTCAGCGTGCCTTTCTGCTACCACACACCCACACTCTGAAGCACGAGAAGGAAAAAATGTCACTCCATTGCAATCCAGGGATACAAATATATATTTAACTCCTGTTAAATAGTAAAACTTGTAGCAAAATACTGCATGATAAGTGGTATGACACTGTATTAGTCTGGGTTCTCCAGAGAAATGGAACCAGTAGGATATATTGGGAAGATAGAAGAGATTGATTTTATGGATTTTATGGAATTGACTCACACAGCTGTGGAGGCTGGCAAGCCTAAAATATGAAGGATAGGCCAGCAGGCAGAGGCCTAGGGAAGAGTAGCAGTTCAAGCCCAAAGGCAGTCTGCTGGCAGAATTCCTTCTTGCTCTGGGATGGTCAGTTAATTTTTCTATTAAGGCCTTCTACTGATTGGATGAGGCTCACCCACATTACAGAGGATAGTCTTCTTTTCCCAAAGTCTACTGATATAAATGTGATTCTCATCTAAAAAAAATACCTTGACAGGAACATCTAGAATGATGTCTGGCCAAATATTTGGATATTGTGGCCTAGCCAAGTTAACACCTAAAATAAACCATCACAAAAGGCTGAATAGTTACTAAAGCTTAATGTTGCAAACAGCCATTCTCTGTTGAGGTATTAAAGTAATATTTCCCTTCTCTCCACAGAAACTATATCAGGAAGCATGGAATAAAGATAAAGCCAACATCAGCATTCCTCCTGACACACCAGTCATGCTACAGGCCCACATCAATGCCTTGCAGATCAGCAATGTAAGAAGCATAAGTATGAAGTGTAAATGCCTTTAGAAGACAGTATCTGTCATTTTAGGGAGTGTGTTATCGTGAACAAATTACCTGTCTTGGAAATGTGCTCAGTTTTGGTGATAGAAACTTTCATTGGTTACCATTACAAAGGCAATATGAACGGAAATTCTCTTTTAAACATTAGTTTAGATACATGGCTGCATCCCTACACTGCAAGAGTGGGATACCTCCATCCTATTGGTTTCCGATAGCTCCATTCCATTGTATAGTAATCGAGAGTAATTAAATCCCTAGTTGAGTGCTCTTTACACGAGAAAGTGTAAGACGTAACAGTCTCTACTGTCTTTATAGGTTTTTGATTGATCTAGAATTTTCTTGTTTGACATAAAAAAATGCCAAAAGACAAGTTTTAATTATACCCATAAAGTAGGATATGTATGAATATCTGTGTAACATCCCTTCAGTGGAGACCTCTGAAAAGTCAAAGGGCAACATTAGGAAAAAATCTTATCAGGTCTTATGCGGTGCCTTGATGAAGATTCTCTAGCCTCACAGTTGATTCTTCGTTTCCTCGTACTGCGTGGTGGGGTATTTTCAGATGTGTACCATATTGCGATGAATGCAAATGTTCAAACATTAGTAGATTTAGTTGTTTTGCGTTAAAATTTTAATCAGAAGTATCCTGCACTCCAAAAGTAAATAGCCAATAATCAAAAGAAGTACTCAGAAGTGACTGTTCTGCTTTTTCCTTATGCTGCCTTCATTTACGTTATGCCTTATGATTCACTTTATGAGTACTTTAACTATATTCACTTATTTTCAATCCTTGTAAATAATCCTGTGTGTTCCCTCAATAGAAACTCTACCAGAAAGACTGGGATGAAGCCAAACAGAAAGGCTATGACATAAAGGCAGATGCCATTGAAATCAAACGTGCCAAAGCCTCCAGAGAAATTGCCAGCGAGGTACAGCTCCTATTTCCTTGTGGCTTTTCTCTTCTATACAACAAATAAGGAGAGTACTTTCCAGAATCTTAGTTTTTAAAAAATCTATGGAAACAATTATATTTTGTCCTGCACTAAAGATTTTCTGTATTTAGAAACATTAAAATGGGATGAAAAACATTCAGGTTAGCATAGATGGGGTATATACATAAATAACAGCTAAACTGTTCCTAAGTAGAAGTAAAATATCATGAAGTTCTGTACAAATTCTTGGAAAAAATTCAAGAACCAGTACATTTTATTGTTGACAGGTATTTTCTATCTTCTAAATAGTTATGACATTCTCCATAAATATGAATCACAGATGAAAGTTTCGTATAAGACTTAAGACTGAAATCATATCTTACATAGAAAATTTTATACTGGAGGTTTGTGTATAATGTTCTTAGTAACCTTCTGAAGTTCATTTAACAATAATTTTGAATCTTATTAACTGTCAAAATAATTATCCTACCAAGTACTCCCCAGCTCCAAATCTTTAAGCCATCGTTGTTCCCTTTCTCCAGGTCACTCTATTTTTTTATTTATGAGTCAGCTCTTTCTTCCTTCTTCCTCCTTCTTTTTGTCTCTAAAAACCATAGCCAATCCATAGTATCTGCCTTATTCCCAGTTCTCTCTCTCTTCCTTTTGTCTAAACTTTCCTGTGCTATCCATGTATAGGGAAGAAACAGATCATCTTGCTCTAGGCCTAAGACACTTAGGACAACTGTGGACAAAATAGAAACTCTTGTCCACAGACCTTTTGTTGTCATCTTCTGATTCAAACCAACAACCTTGCTTTCCATTCCTGAAACGTGCACCTTTCTCCTCTATCTCTAAAACACATATGACTTTTCTGTACCTGAGATACCTTCAGTACTCTTAGGGGACATATGATCTAATGTTCCACTTGCCAGGCAATATTGGGGGTGACAGTTACTCTACTGTGCCTTATTTTCCCCATCTGAAATATGTGATGATAATATTACCTACCTCATAGAGATACTGTGAGGTTTAAATGAGATTATAATTGCTACTATGCAACTATTTATAAATAAATAATTCAGCAATTTTATATGGATCAACCTAATACATTTGAAGCACTCATAATAGTTATCTGGTGTATAGTGATTGTTCAGTAAATGTTAGCTATTTTTTTATTACTCTTATTCACTATACTATTTTCCTCCTGATTTACTCAGGTCTTCTATGAAACTACCTAAAATAGCACTCTCCAATTCTTCAGAGTGAACTGGAATACATGACTACCAGTTGGTCCAATTTACACAAGGCTAAGAAAACATTCTGAAAGCATTTGATGAAAAGTCTTCCTATTACATTATTTTTATATGTCTTTTTATCTGATTTTTCACAACTTCAGTACAAATACAAAGAAGGTTACCGTAAGCAACTGGGCCACCATGTGGGTTTCCGTACCCTACAAGATGACCCCAAATTGGTATGGTCTATACATGCTGCCAAGATCCAGAGTGACAGAGAATACAAGAAAGCGTATGAGAAGTCTAAAGGAATTCACAATACACCATTGGACATGATGTCAATTGTCCAGGCCAAGAAATGCCAGGTCCTGGTTAGCGACATTGATTATCGCAATTATCTGCACCAGTGGATATGTCTGCCAGATCAGAATGATGTGATCCAAGCTAAGAAAGCCTACGAACTGCAGAGCGATGTGCGTATATCATCACTAGACTCTTGGGGAGAGTGTGGCTGTGGATTTAATCAGTGTTTTCCCCAGGGACATAATTTAAATAGTAATCTTAATAGAACCTAACATGTTCTATACATCCGTGGTAGTAGAGATTTTCTGAACACTTTCTATCTTACAGAGGATTCTTTATATGGCAAGGCCATAGTCATCAAGATGTAAACCACTCTTTTTCTATGTATTCTGTGTAACTGGGTAGAAAATTTCAGTCTCACTTGTTCTGATTCATTACATTTGCATGGTCAGATCTAAATTTCAGAAACAGATTTAAACATAAGGAAATGTTGGATTTCAAGTTTATCTGATATATATATAGGAAAAATGTGTGTGTGTATATATAAAATGAATATAGTATATTTATAAAGGGGAAGAGAGAGATATATAGATATAGGTATGTATTTTTTTTCTCCTTATACATGCATCTAAGGACCTATTTCTCCCAAATTCCTAAAGCTGTTATTCCCAGTGGTATGTAAAAGGCAGATTTCAAGTGGTGAGCCCAGAAGCTCAACCTTAAATAAAAACAAAATTATCTGCCTTTGCTGTTTGTCATTCTGTAAGTGCCACTTGTCAGCCCTACTCCTATTTCTAGGATACTGTGAATTTCCCCCAGAGATGTGTGTCAGGGATGTAAAAATCAAATGTTAACATATAATGTTGGCCATTGAGTTCCGTGGGATTGGCCACCCAGCTGATTTAGATAGAGGTGGTATGTGGTTTGCTGGCATCATGCTCTAGTGGGTGAAGCTGACTCTTCTGAGCCCTGTGGTCCTCTCCTTCATGTAGAATGTGTACAAGTCAGACCTGGAGTGGTTGAAGGGTATAGGATGGTTGCCAGAGGGCTCTGTGGAAGTGATGAGAGTGAAGAATGCCCAGAACCTCCTGAATGAAAGATTGTATCGTATAAGGCCAGAGGCCCTCAAATTCACCAGCATTGCTGATACCCCTGAAATCATCATGGCAAAGATCAACTCTGTACAGATCAGTGAGGTAAGCTGGTTTGGTGACATGTTCAGACATTTTGAAGAGGTCTCTATACAAATTCTAAAAGTGAACTTTAAACTGCTAATACCTGCATTAGAATCTTGAACTTGCAGGTATCTAGGCAGAATTTTATATGGTCAGTCAATGAGCAGTATCCACATTTCACTTACTTAGGTAACTCTTTGGTCAGTATTAGTGTGGTAGGCATCCTCCTGCTCCACAAACTCTGATACATACATTGAACAGATTTGAGATCTTGCCTATAACACTTTTCTGCCAGTTAATACCATGATCCCAAAATTGTATTGCTGTTCATTCATAAATAACATTTATGAATGAATGCTGTTCATTCAGAAATAAGTTGAAAATCCAGAGGCAACCTCAATATCAGACATTATGATATTTATTTGGGTCAAGAAAGCCGGAACTCGATTAATAATGTAAGTTATTGTAGTTTCCTGTTATGTAGGTTTGCCTGCCAGGTAATTACATGTGAATAAATGGAAAAAGATCATTTTACTACCAAGTTTCTGACTCATTTTATATAAGACATGAATGTATTTCTTCTTGTTGAAGTTACTGTTGGCACTTTCTAAGTAAAAACGCAAATGAACAACATGTGATCTAATTTTATATGTGAGACCATCCACAGAACTTCTAATCATACCTATAATTTTATTCATGTAGTAATTGACTTATTTACTTATAAACCATCTTTTGTTTTTCATTTTTGTCAGCCATTGTATCGTGATGCCTGGGACAAAGAGAAGGCTAATGTGAATATGCCACCTGACACCCCATTGATGCTGCAGTCTAAGATCAACTCCATACAGATCAGCAATGTAAGGAACTGCAAACGACTTGCTTTATATAATGTTCTCTGCCTAACCAAACTTTTCTTTGATATGCTCCAGAGAGAGTTTAGCAAAGGGCATTTCCTTACCATTCTTTTTATTTCTAGTCCTTAAGTTAATGATAAGTGTCATGTGTGTATGGGTATAGAGATGAGTGTCCTTATCTTTGTTGGAAGAAAAAATTTGGTGGTTTCCAGAAAGACATGACATAAAAACATACATACACAGATTTGGTAATATTTAATTAACTTTTTAGTGGCCCATCATTGATTTTTCCTTTTAAAAGCCAAATAGTATTTTTTTCCTCCTTTTTACATGATTTGCCATCTCCTCAATCTCCTTCTTTGAAAAAGAAGTAACTGGGAGAGAACTTTACTAAATGTCATTAAAAATATACTGGAACTTAAGTTCAGTAGGAAACCAGCCTGTTTCATAAATCTTAAGGGAAGCTTAATTTTCAGTGTAACATGTATTCTTGAACCTATCAGTAATGCTGACTCAGTAGCTCCCTCTCCAGATTAACAGTGGCATTGTAATCTCCATTTGCAGAAAAAATATCAGCAAGCTTGGGAAGACGTCAAGATGACAGGTTATGACCTGCGAGCAGATGCCATAGGTTTCCAACGTGCCAAAGCTTCCAGGGATATTGCCAGTGATGTAAGAGCCCCTCCTTGCCCAGCCTGAACAAACACTAACTAGTAGACACACAGGGAGTTACTACTTTACTAATCTTTACCTCAATTCCCCAGAAATTATATTTTAATAGAATGGAGGTCATTGTCATTAGTGTCTTGTTTTAGAGTCCCAAATTCAAGAACAACTTTTACAACAATTTGATGACATGACCCTCTGTGCTTAATTCTGCTTGTCTTACGTTTAAGCACAGATTTTTCTTTTCTTTTCGATATCTTCTCAATATCATTTAATTTACAAGCACTTAGAGATTCAGTGGGTACAAAGAATCCCACTGTTTCTTGAAGTGCAATATGCATAAGTGGGTTCCTATGATAATTTTATGCAGAACATGCACAAGCATTTTTTTAAATAGTTATGTTTGTTTTAACATGTAATAAAAAATACTGATTTTTTTCCATTTAGATAGGATTATAAGTTTTAAAATGAAAATTTTCAACAAGCTTTTGTTTTAAAAATAAATTTACTTAAAGAATCAAATTGACAGAACAAAATATGAAATGTTGGTGTTGTTTGTGGCAAAACATATGACAGTGGCAAACGATAATTAAAATTTGGGAAACACTGGACAAGCCTATATTGGGGGATGACCCAGAGAGCTGTTCTTGCCTTAGAGGCTCCCACAGTGTTCTCATGCGTACTGACAGAAGACAAACCAATGTGTCAAGAAGTAGATTTGAAAAAAAGCAGTGCCCCAGAAAGGGTAATCTAAGGGAGATAGAGTTATTTTGAGCCGTCCGTTTAGAAAAAAAATGACTCTCCTTTCTTCTGTTCACATCCAACAGTATCTGTACAAAAATGCTTATGAGAAACAAAAAGGCCATTATATTGGATGTCGCAATGCCAAAGAAGACCCTAAACTGGTCTGGGCAGCAAATGTGTTGAAGATGCAGAATGATAGGCTGTACAAAAAGGTCTACAATGACCACAAGGCCAAGATCACCATCCCAGTAGACATGGTGTCCATCAGTGCTGCCAAAGAAGGCCAGGCATTAGCAAGCGATGTGGACTATCGCCAGTACCTGCACCAGTGGTCTTGCTTTCCCGACCAGAACGATGTGATCCAAGCCAGGAAAGCCTATGACCTGCAGAGTGATGTAAGTCATTGTGTAGGGAGCCCAACCGAGGTGCCTGAGGGGTGAGCTATTCTCCAGAGAAAAAACCTTCCACAGCCTTGGCTGGGTCACTCCTTCCAGTATTTGGGAAAACACAACTTCAGTATTTTACCAAGTTTATTAACTGCTTACCTTACTGCTGGACTTATTCAGAAAGTTTTCATTTTCACTGTTAGTGGTGCTACCAGAATTTTTCTATAGATTTGTTAACATGTACAGTTATAGTGTACTAAGCATAAGAATTTCCATGGCCCTTCGACTGAAGAATGACAAGGCTGTCATTCCTTGAAATTACTTTCAAAGGTTAGCAGCACACTCCAAACTCACTATCTCCATTAATTTTGTGTTCTTCACAACACATGTGTCATTAATTTACTGCAGGTATTTTTATTATTACTAATATTTTCTCTCCCTTCAATCTTTTGGAAAGAAGGTTTCCATTAAGATATTTATTTTCTGTGTAGAATATATACCTTCCTTTAATTATCTGAACTTGGTTCACTTAAGCTTCAAGAGATACTTTCTGATAATGAAAGAGTTTGTTGTAGGAAAGTATATCCATCATTTGAAATGAATTGCCAACTGGAGGATCTAGGTGAGTTTCTAAAGAAATGTAGTCTCTTCATTAACCTGAGCCACTTTAGTGTTTTAAGAAATGTATATCAATCAAATTCTTAAAGCAGGAGGAAGGGAGACCTCAAAATCTTTTTGTAATCCTCTTCAAGAATCCCTTCTTCTGAATTTTGGGTCTCCATCATATTTACATGCTAAAACATAATGTCGTTCTTCATTAGGGTAGAAATTGTCCCACATTTTTCACTCCTCTTGTTACCTTTTTAGTCCAATATTTGTATCCTATTAACTAGTTACTCAAAAACCATTTCTGTAAAACACAATGTCTATTTATGAAATTAATAACTGGCATTTAACAAAGAGCAATTTTATCTGATCAACCCACTTACCTATATCTGGGAATACAGGTTTAGGTAACCAAGAAAATGCAAATCCCAATTCTTTGAAGGTGCTATCTTGGAAAAAGAAAACTCAGTTGAGATAAAAATTGTATCTAATTAATTAAATAGGGATTGAATTCTTAATTATCCCATTAAGAATACTTATTAAACACACCATGTACCACACATTGTCCTAAGCACTTAAGAGACAATGGTGTATAAAGAAAAAGAAATAAGACAAAAGTTACTGACTTTAGAGTGTTCACATGGATAACAAAGAAAGAAATATTAAGTAGAAAATATTAGTAAAAAGTTGGGATGGTTGGGAAATATGATTGTGGCGCTATGCAAAAGTGAGGTGGGGGAAACTTATCTGGGGAAGTGTTGGTTTAGTGGAAGGGAGACAACGTGGGGAGCAGGAGTGGGGGTGTCCTGCAGAATGACCAGCATATGCAAATAGGCTGAATGCAAACCACAAACTCTAAGACCAATGCACAGGTCAAAGGGAAGCAGGTATATTGTGAAGCTGGAAGAATAGGTAGGGACTGCTGCTAGACCCTCATGCTTTCTAGTCTATGTTAAGGTTTGAGTCTTTATTGTAAGACCACTGGGAGTCCATAGGATAGGGGAGTATTGTGACATCAGTAATTTACAATAAGCATTTATAATTACAATAATAAATAAAATTTATAATTTATTGAATCATAAATTTTGTAAAGATCACTCCGGCTGCTGTGTGGAGAACTTGGTGGAGAGTCCATTAGTTTTGCTTTGAAAGTCCACTTTGGTTAGTATGATGATCACCTAAATATTATTCAAGAACCTTCATGCATTCCCCAAACATTCTTCTGCATCATTCTGCTTTTTAGAAGGTTCACCAGTGCCCCTGCCACAGAAAGCAAAGCAGAACAAAATACTGCTGTATAAATGAAAATTATGTTTGTCAGGCCACTACCCAGTTTTTACTATCATTTGTGGAAGATAAAACAGAACATAAAAAACCATTTCTTGCTTTACCACAATTAAAACAAAAATAAAAATCCCTGCTTCCCCCTAACTTTGTTTTCTTTCCTAGGCCATCTATAAAGCCGACTTGGAGTGGTTGCGTGGCATTGGCTGGATGCCTGAAGGGTCCCCTGAGGTACTGAGAGTCAAAAATGCCCAGAAAATCTTAGTAGACAGTGTGTATCGGACACCTGTGGTGAATCTCAAGTACACGAGTATCCCTGACACACCTGACGTTATCCTTGCCAGATCTAATGCTGAAAATATTAGTATTGTAAGTCAATTTTTCCTCTATATTAAAACTAAGTTAGTGTTATGAATAAATGATAAATAGTAAACCTGGTAATATATTTGTAAAGATAATAGTATTGATGACAGCAAATATTTTTATAAATAATGTTGACAGGGTTGTTATATTTTGCTTATTAATTTTTAACAAAACTTCAAATGACTAATAAAAGGTATTAAATATAGATTTCATATCTGATTTTAGTAACTTAAATGAAAAGATTCTAGAAGTTTCATGAAAACCTTAATATGAAAAGATTTTGGATCAGAAAAGTTGAAAGTTGTGTACTGGAACTAGCAAAACTACAAATTTTGTTATTATTGGTTCTTCCCATAGCCAAAGTACAGAGAAGTTTGGGACAAGGATAAAACTTCAGTCCACATAATGCCAGATACTCCAGAATTCAATCTCGCTAGAGCCAACGCTCTTAATGTGAGCAATGTAAGTACCTCGACAGGCAATCTTTTTGTTTGGAAAGTCACCCAGTTGGTGCTCTCATATCCCCAAGGAACAGTTCATAGCTGAGGGCAGAAGACTGCGTGGGGGTGGGGGAGGCGCCTCCCATCAGCCCTTGACCGCAAGTGAGGCGAGGGGCGATCCCTGGCTCTGAGCCGCCAGGCGAGGCGAGCCAGTGTCCACACGGCAGAGGGAGAAGGGGGCAAGAGAGAGCAAGGGGAAAGAGGGGTGAAGAGACACACAAACGAGGGGGGGACTGACAACAGAGTCAGACAGCCCGGTTAATTATGAGAATTCCTTGCAGAACTTTACACAAATCAACTTCAAATTAGAGGAGAATTCTTTCACAGCTTCAGGAAATAAACTATCACAGAGCCTTGTGAAAGAAGGAAAGTCATCACAATCACCAAAACTTGTCAAAGATAGTTCCACAAACGGAAACCATAGGCCTATAGTAATGGAGAGTATCTCAAGTAAAATAGTAATAAATCAGATTCAGTGGTTTGTGTATACAGTAGCACATAAACAACCAGGGTTCATCCAGGAATGCCAAGAAGGGGTTCCATATTCAGAAATCTAGTGATGTAATAGCACAAAAAAAGAAAAATCATATACTCACTTTATTAGATTTGAAAAGGCATGTAACCAAATCCATTCTTAACTTTTTAAAATAAATCTTAGCAAAATAAGAATAAGTGAATATTTTCTTGACATGACTACCAGAATAAATCTCAAATCAGAGGCCAAGCTCATCCTCAGTCAGGAAAAAAAACAAGGGTGCCCATTAATATTACTGTTATTTAGCATTCACTGGATGTACTAGCTAAGTGAGTGAGCTTCTTACTCAAGCCAAAATTATTACATAAGAGTAAGAATGAGAGATAAATATTGGAAAGAAAAAGACAAAATTATGATTATTTGCAGAATAAATCATTCTATGCCTGGGAAAAAAAAAAGAACCAACTGAAAAGTCTATTAGATAAAATGGGAGAATTCAATTACATGGCTAGCTACACAATTTAAGAGTCCAAGAAAGGTACTGCCTCCATGGATCACAGAGATTTCTTGTGTATAGAATAAATTTAACCTGAGAAGAAAGAACTGCCTTAGTGCAATTCACCATCATTTGGAACTTTGCATCTTTCCTTTTTCCTGTTTTTTTAATTGAAGCATCACTAATATACAATCTTATATTGATTTCAAGTATATAACACAGAGGTTCAGCAGTTACCCATATTATCAAATCCTCACCCACGCTAGTGTGGTTACTATCTGTCGTAGGAAGATGTCACAGAACCATTGGCTATATTCTCCATCCCCATGACAAACATATTATGATTGAGAATTTTTGTGCCCTTTTATCCCCCTCATGCACCCCACCCAGAAACCCCACCACCTCCCTCATGGTAACCACCAGTCACTTCTCAGTAACTATGAGTCTACTACTGTTTTGTTCATTTTGTTTTGTTTTGTTTTTATATTCCACAAATAAGTGAATCATACGGTTATTGTCTTTTTCCACCTGGCTTATTTCACTTAGCATAATACCCTCTAGGTCCATCCATGTTGTTGCAAGTAGCAGGATTTCTTTTTAATGGCTGAATAATATTCTGTTGTGTCTATGAACCACATCTTCTTTATCCATTCATGTAATGATAGACACTTTGGTTGCTTCCATATCTTGGTTATTGTAACTAAGTATTTGAAATTTTGTTAAAAGTGAAGTTATTAACTGTAAATATTTAGATGTTAAATATTTAGATATTAATGACAATGGCTCATGTTTTGGAAGTAAGTTATAATGTGGCAGTAAACATAGGGGTGCATGTACTTTTTCAAATCAGGAAATACACATCTTTCAAAAAATAATTATTCTTTGTGAGAAAAGAAGCTTGCCAAGCAGATTCCTCACCATGTGCCAAACTGCACCATCAACTCTATTGTATCAGCCACTTGAGAAAGGTTTTTCCAAGGGATGGGAAGAAAACATAATTTTAAGGCAGTGATAAATTTTGGGGCGGGGGACAGCAGGGGTCCAGAAACAGTATCATGGTGCAGTGAGTGCACTCTTACCACCAAGTGACTAGATAGAGAGGCAGTCAGCTCTCTGTGCCTCTGGCCACATAAATTCCTCAGTTTCTTCTTTTTTATCCAGAGGCATCTTTGACAGGAAAATTCTGGAAAGTCTTAGGCACTCTCTGTGCATGATAAAGTTCTCACCTGGAAGTACCAGAACCAACAGTAGCCACTGATATTATAATATAAGCAAGATTAGTATTTGAAATTATATCAAAAGTAAAGTTATTAACTGTAAATATTTAGATATTAAATATTCACATATTAACGATAATGGCTCATTTTGGGGAAGTAAGTTATTAACTTTAAATATTTGGATATTAATAAGAATGGCTTATGTTTTGGAAGAAATCAAACATCCCATTTGAATGTCAACCAAAATGTACATTTTCTTTACACATGGTGTCATTATAATCTCAGTGAAGTCCCCTACATAACACTCTTTCCATCATGTAAAAAGCATAATATTTCAGAACATTTGTGTACAATTTTATAAGTAACCAAGCAAACTCATGTTAAATGGACTCATTTCATCTTCAAACAAATAACATGAGTAAAATACTGTTATTTTGTTTTCATCAGATGGGAAAGTTGAGACTTAAAGAGATGAAGGAATTTACCCATGTTCTCAAAATTAGATGATCTCAAGCCCAGATTTTTCTTTTAGTTCAAATAAGAAATATATTTCACCACATGAACAAAAATTTATTTGATAAGAAGTAATAGTATAACAATAGATGTGTAAAACAAAATAAAAATAAAACAAATAAACAAAATTAGGATATTTTAAAAAACATTGTTACAGGTTTACATTAAGTATTCCATATGATAATATATTTAAATCTGGAGAATACTTTTTCTTTTGTACAGAAAGACCCACCCAAGAGTCATACAAAACTTTGAATGAAAGTGCATACAAAGCTAGTTCATACTTAAAATGGCAAAATCTATCTGAGCACTTAGATTTCAGTATGCAAAGGCCATGAAACTATCAATAATTGGAATTTACTTCTCTTTTCTTCACTGTTCAAGCTCCCATACTGATTGGTATGATTTCTGAATGATACATTTCAATTACTGTTATTTCTGCAAGTTTCTGACATTGTCAGTACAGAATGTGTCCATTTAAATATGAACATATATTTTTGAGTTATCTGCAAATCAGTCACTACGTGTTTTAAATTCTCTTTGCAAATAAAACAACAGTACATTTAAAGAATGACTTCTAAGGTCCAACTGTACTTCAGCAAGACACCTGACATCCCCAAACAACGTGTATCACTAGTCACATAAGAAGATCTAAGAAACTATATTAGGAGGAAAAAACTCATAAATGTAGAAAGTTTATAATTCTAAGGGTACAAAATGGAATTGAATTTAAAAATTAAAGAATGAGTTAGTCATAGAAATAGAAGTACAAGATAAAGACTATAACCAATAATACTGTCATATCTTGGTATAATAATGGGGTAGTGATTATCATGGCAAGCATCTAGTAATGTATATGTTGCACATCTGAAACCAATACAATATTGTATATCAACTTTATTCCAATAAAAAAATTTTTTAAAGTGAATCACTGAATTAGAGAAATTTAATAATAGTCCATTAATGTCTGAACTTAAACTTATCCCAATACTACCAATGCATCAATACAAGAAGCAGCTAAACCCTTTTAAATAAATCATGAACAAGTACATCGAGGCTATGACTGAAATTAAAAAGAGAGAACTCTTGCCAAGCCCATATCTTTGGACTTCCAGACATGGCTCATATCCAGTGCCATGATGCAGAGGGAGTCTTTCCCCTGTTCTCTTTTCTTTAACTGGTTCTGAGAGTCCAAAGAACTGCACCCCTCCAATATTAATTCCACTTGAGCCCTTGGAATCATTGGTAAGTTGAATCTAGAATGGCACTTTATTTTTCTCCTCTTCAGAAAATCTACCGCGAAGGTTGGGATGAAATAAAGATGAGCTGCGATGTGCGGTTGGATGCCATCCCTATCCAGGCTGCCAAAGCCTCCAGGGAGATTGCCAGTGATGTAAGTATGGCCTTGTTTAGCTTTTCAGTTCTTTAAACAAATGTCCTATGTGCATCGAGACAGCATACTGTGATCCATCTGCTTTGTTTTTACACCTCCAGTATAAATACAAGCTTGACCATGAGAAGCAGAAGGGACACTACGTGGGTACCCCCACAGCCAGAGATGACAACAAGATCCGGTGGGCACTCATAGCTGGCAAGATTCAGAATGAAAGGGAGTACCGCCTGCAGTGGGCCAAATGGAAGACCAAGTTCCAAAGCCCTGCAGATATGCTTTCCATCTTGCAATCCAAAAAATGCCAGACCCTGGTCAGCGACATTGATTATCACAATTACCTGCACGAGTGGACGTGCTTACCTGACCAGAATGACGTGATTCAGGCCAAGAAAGCCTACCAGCTGCAAAGCGACGTGAGTGTGCAGCTTTCTAGAATGAGCTCTTCTATCATGTCACTGTGACTCCCAGAAAGTTTATGTCATTAAATCCTCTATCATCACTTCATGTCTTTATATAGCCAAGAATTTGGTTTCAGTTAGACCTCATAGGGTGATATCAAAATCACAAAGTAAGGAAGGATCTAGACCATGAAGGTAGTGTGAACAGAGTTCTTAGCAGAACAGGGTAAAGACAACTACTGTGAACGTAGTATTTCCGTAGAATGTAAGTAGCAGCAGAGTTTCATATCATAAATAAAATATTGGCAGTCCATGGACAGGATGTAGGCACAGAAATGCTTTTTTAGTTGATACAGTGTTTTAAAATGCTGAATTCAGTTGTCAAGCTTTTTAAATCAGGAAATTTTGTGTAAATATCTGGGATTTCCCAATTTTGTGGAGAAGTCAGAGGATGCAGCTCTGGATGTATCTTACCCCTGGCAACAGTAACTTGGAGCTAAATTGAGGCTGACCCTTTTAAATGAAAATATGTCCCCTAGTTTGTCATACCATCTCCTAATTAATTTATTTAATTACCTGCCTGGCTGCTCTAGCATATCATCCTCAAGTTATATTTCTTATCAGAATAATGCATACAATAAATAGGACCTTGTGACCAGGGTTGCTGAAACCGTTCTGGTCTTGTTTTCACAGGCTGTTTACAAAGCCGACTTAGAATGGTTACGTGGGATCGGGTGGATGCCAAATGATTCTGTTTCTGTCAATCACGCCAAACATGCTGCGGATATCTTCAGTGAGGTATTCCAAGATTTTACTTTGCCAATCAATACATTTCTTAAGAGATTGAACAAAAGTACATGAGCCAAAACACAATCATTTCCTCTCAGCAATTTTAACAACTTCAGTTGCTGTCATTTAAGATACCAGACATTTTCCCAAGATAATCCTTTACTGTCCCCATCCCATTATGGGACCACACTCATGATATAATATCCAGAACACTTACTGTTGCTTGGAATTGTATAAATGGAAAACTTATTTTGTCAGCAGTAATAATACACTTGGGAGAAGTTTGTCACGTTGAAAAAAATGCATAGAATGATATGTTACATGACTTTGGGAGCTTACCACTTACTGCCCTGGGAGGTAGCAGAAGTCAACCCATTTGTTAAAAAATAAAATGCTAACAATAAAGCAAAATTGCCAAGAAGATGCTACTCGTATATGGCACTCTACACTTCTGATAGAGAAGGCCACTAAATCTAGCATGTCTTTCTCAGCTCACACAGGACCAGGGACTACAATAGCCTAAAAGATATTTTCTTTCCCCTAGAAAAAATATCGCACAAAAATAGAAACTCTCGATTTTACTCCTGTGGATGACAGAGTTGATTATGTGACAGCAAAGCAAAGTGGTGAGATCCTGAATGATGTAAGTACACGGTTGTCATTCTGAAATCATGAAGATGTCATTTCCAAAGTTCTGCCACCCACTTATATCCAGCATGCAATCATTACTGAGATACAGATTGTAAACACTGAGATGATTGATGCTAGCATTTGCTTGGACAACATTGTGTTTTCTTAACGTCAAGAAACTTACCCCCTTGCCTCTTGTTTCTAGATTAAATACCGGAAACACTGGCATGACACCAAATCAAAGTACACCCTCACAGAAACCCCTCTGCTGCACATGGCCCAGGAGGCAGGCCGGATTTTGGACCAGGTATAGATTTTACCCGGATGCCTGGTACTTGGGTGGGGAACAGAAGACCATAATATAAGATATAAATGTATGCACATGACTTAGCCCCCGTTCTGACCCCTCTGGTTTAACCCTCTGTTGTGGCTCTGTCTTTTAGTATCTCTACAAGGAAGGCTGGGAGAAGCAAAAAGCCACAGGTTATATTTTGCCTCCGGATGCTGTGCCTTTTGTTCATGCCCATCACTCCAGTGATGTTCAGAGTGAGGTAATTTACCCTGATAGGAGTGCACTTTGCAAGGCTGGCCCTGGCCAACTGGGGAGCCCGGGTATGCCAAGGCAGAGCATGTGGGGCATTCCCCATCGGCCTGGCAGGCCTGCTGGGCTCGGGGATGGCTAGAGTATCTGTTCCCTCTGGTCCTTCTCCCAGGAGCTTTGGCTTTCTTTTCTTTCTTTCTTTTTTTTGTTGGCTTCTTTAAAAACTGTTTTTTGAGTTCTTTATTTTTTCTCATATTCTTTAAAATCTCTAGGCCTTCAAATAAAATATAACCAGAATTAGGAAACACATTTTTTTTCTATTTTTCAATTGACATTTTTTCATATTTATGCATTTATCTCAATGCCTTTTGTTATTTGTTGTTGGGGGAGGCAGCGACACAAAAAGCTGGTGGGCTTTGGTTACATTTTAAGCCCCATTTGCCTTGTATGCTTGTCAAAGCTGAAGGAATCTCTCTTCTTCCCACCAGCTCAAATACAAAGCTGAACACGTAAAGCAAAGAGGTCATTACGTGGGTGTTCCGACGATGAGAGATGATCCTAAACTGGTTTGGTTTGAGCATGCAGGCCAGATTCAGAATGACAGACTGTACAAAGAGGACTATCATAAAACAAAGGCCAGAATCCACATACCTGCTGATATGGTGTCAGTGCTGGCCGCCAAGGAGGGGCAGGCCCTTGCCAGTGGTATTGATTACCGTAATTACCTGCACCAGTGGACGTGCCACCCTGACCAAAACGACGTCATCCAGGCAAGGAAGGCCTACGACCTACAGAGCGATGTGAGTGGGTTTTGTTTCTTAATCATCTAGAAATGTGTGGTATACTCGGAGAATTATAAGCAGCATTTTGGAACCAGCAGCCTTTGAAACTCTGAGCCATAAATATTGAGTTTGTCCCCATAAGGGGATTAGTACAACGTAGAGAAGGATCGGGAGCAGTGGTTAATGGACAGCTTTGTCTACTGACTATATTTCTGAGTAACTTCTGTCAGTTTAAAAAAAACTGCTGCTTTTGTTCCATCTCAGCCATCAGCAACTACTCACTCTCATCTGCATGAAAAATTATCAAGTGATTAAAAATAATAATTGACTTGGGTGGGAATAGATATGGGGTTGAAATTTCAACAGCATTAGATGATAATATAGGCAAGGACCTGGTAATGGCCTGTCCTGGCTCCGCCAGGCTTCATTCCTCCAGGCCTTTACGAAGGGGTTGTTTGCAAGGAATCAAAGCAGAAGGGAAGCCAAGTCCCGATGAGCCGCGTGAGGGCCCAGAATCCTCATGGTAAAGCTGGGGTAGAGTGTGTGACTTAGGCCACGTCAAACTGAAGCCTGCATCAGGGTAGCAGCTGCTCTTCAGAGCTGCCTAAAGAACCCAGGAGACAGGTGGGGGAGGGTAGAGATAGGCTTGGCCAGAGGGATGCCTCCCCTCCCCTACCATTCAATACATGAGCATTTTCTTGTATAACTTCCTTTATTTAGTCTAAATGCCCCTCCTCTATGACTAAATATACCAAGTCCAACTAAAATGACAATCTCCTTGGTAAAACCTTTTCTTATGCTCACTGCCCAAAACAGTGGCTCCCTGCTCTGAACTCCCAGAGCACTTGAGTGTTCTTGCTCTTACAGCACTTACACTCTCCACTTAGACTCCTGTATATTTATCTCTCAACTAGCCCAGTGCCCTGCCTCATTCGTAGTAACAGGCTCAAGAAATATTGCTGTGGTGAACGGATGAAATCATGATTGAATCAGTGAGACAACAGCCATAGAGAGAACGCTTAAAAGTTTCTGAAAAAATGGTTTCTAATCTGCTGTCTGTAATCCTGTGCCTGAGTCATTTATTCCAGCATCATATCTCTCTTCCTGCTCTCAGAATGTCTACAAAGCTGACCTGGAGTGGCTCCGAGGCATTGGCTGGATGCCCCTGGATTCTGTGGACCATGTGAGGGTTACTAGGAACCAGGAAATGGTGAATCAGGTATGCACGTTCCGTTCTTAATGCCTGGACTCCTTACCTGCCTTGTGGGGGTAGGCACCTGATGGGAGGTGACTTGTCTTAATTGTTACTATTTCTTTGCAGATAAAATATAAGAAAGATGCTCTTGACAACTATCCTAACTTTACAAGTGTGGTGGATCCCCCAGCAATTGTTTTGGCTAAGATTAACTCAGTCAATCAAAGTGATGTAAGTCTGCTTTGTGTATGAGGCACCTAGGCTGGGGAATTGGTTGTCTATCACTGGAATGATTTGCTTAACTCCAGATAAATGCTTGTAAGAAAATAGGGAAGAAGATAAACTATAAGATCATCTTTGGGGGGGATGTCTTAAAAATCATTAGTAGAAGGTATATCCACTTTATGCGATACCTAAGTACAAACACATCTATATTTGTGTCCAAATTATTCTATTAGCTCAAATGGACTGAAATGCAACCAACTGGTTAGTTTTAATCTCTAAATGTAGACTGATTGTCTTCTTGCTAGGGAGACCCTATGAAATTTTTAATCCATTTATAGTAATCAAAAGTTTTGTTTGTCTCACTTTCTTAGGTAAAATATAAAGAAACATTTAATAAACTATTAAAGGGCAAGTATACATTTTCTCCAGATACACCACATATCACTCACTCCAGAGACATGGGAAAACTCTATAGTACCGTAAGTTCTATTTTATGTGATCTTTGATTCAGTTCCTAATTTTAAGCTCTAGTTGGTATTCATATTCTTGACTGATTTTGTGAACAACTGAATTTATAAGGAGATCTATTATCTTTGTTATATTTAGTCTGGGTTATTAGAGGTAGCATGTTATTCAGGGCAAGTAGCATTCATTCAGCTGGTAATTTTTGAGCTCCTATGATGTGCCAGGCAGTGTAGGAGGCATTGAGGAGCTGAAGCTCAATGAGACAAGCCCTTCAGGAGTCCAGACAAATGAGAGGGACAGACACACAAATTAATAGATAGATAATAATGTAACAAGTGTGTACCAGTTGTGAGAGCACAGGGCTGAGCAGCAGAGGAAAGAGAGGAAAGGCTCATTCTACCTTAACAATTGTGTATAACCATCTCCAGCCAAAAACAGGAAGATTTTTCCCTCTAAATTTTAATTCAGGTAATTTAAAGGATGATGTGTATGTAGTGTGCGTGCACGTATGCCCAACAGAAAGCCATCTTTGGTGATTCACTATGTACAAATTTGTTTCCATTTTTATCAGAACTGTAAATACAGTCAAACTATGTTATAAAAGGCTTCAAAGTCTATAGATTTAATTTGCAACAAGCCAAAAGACTCTGCCCTGTTCCTAGGTAGGCACAATAATAGCTCTACGTAAAGACTTAAGCCTTGCATTTAAACATAAATATTTTATCTTGATTTTACCATTTTCTTTTTGGTGGTGTCTGAATGAAGTTGAACATGGACTTTCGCTGACACCCATGTCTTTGTCCTAGATACTGTACAAAGGTGCGTGGGAGGGAACCAAGGCCTACGGCTACACCCTGGATGAGCGCTATATTCCCATTGTTGGAGCCAAGCATGCCGACTTGGTGAACAGTGAGGTCAGTAGGACATTTTCCTTTCATAGGCTGGAGAGTCTTTCTTGGGGAACAAAACGGGGGCTGGTTAGTAAATCCCAGTGATTCTCAATCTTGTTCCTACTTCACAGCTTAAATACAAAGAGACCTATGAGAAGCAGAAGGGTCACTACCTGGCTGGAAAAGAAATCAGTGAGTTCCCTGGTGTAGTTCACTGCCTGGATTTCCAAAAGATGAGGAGTGTGGTAAGCAGAGTTCACTTTGACAGAGGACTTGGACACTTAAGGGTACTATTAGTCTGCCTACTTATAATGGACGCCTTGCTTCAGGATTGGCTGGGCATGGGGTGGTGAAGGAGTCCTCCTTGAGGCTTTTTTCCACCCTTGCCCATCAGCTTTGTGCACCCTGATGGCTATGGGCTCCCTCCTTTTCCCTCCCTCCTCCACTATGAAACACACAGGAGGGCTCTGCGTTAGGAAAAAGGAGGAAATCCCAGGTCACCATTTACCCTGTGTTATGAAAGGATGGAAAATAGAAAAAGATGAAGGATATATTAAATGTTTTTTAAACCTTCATCTATTCTAAAGGGACTGATCTATACTGGAAAAAAGACTCTAAAAGTAATTGACTTGAATAATTCCATTTTAATTCCTTTCTTCTTTTTGTCTTTACAAATATTATTCTTTAGCTGAACTACAGAAGAGATTATGAGGACACCAAAGCAAATGTTCATATCCCCAATGATATGATGAATCACGTGCTGGCCAAAAGGTGCCAGTACATCCTCAGTGACCTGGAATACCGACACTACTTCCACCAGTGGACGTCTCTCCTGGAAGAACCCAGTGTTACACGGGCCAGAAATGCGCAGGAGATCTTGAGTGATGTATGATGTCCTCTCTGCAGCTGACTTAATTCCAGGCTTCACCCAGCCCTGCCTTGGCCCACCATGTTCCAGTTGCCCCTGTTTTTGTAAATCCTGCTGCTTTTTAATACAAAGTGGCATGATTAACCAGTCCCCTTCAAGCCATGTGACACCTATGTTAAATATCTTAGATGTTAAATATCTAATCTGTTTAACACTAGACTAAAATGTATCTATTGTTCTCGGCCAAGTGTCTTTAGACCAGGGCATTAAAGACCTTCCAGCTGTTGAAAGGCCCACCCCATGACCACTAAGTACTAAGTACCATCAAGGGCTGATAGGAAATTGTATCAGCCCAACTGTGACTTCAGTTAGTACCCGTCACCTTTCCCCATTCCTTCTTTGTTGCAGAATGTGTATAAAGATGACTTGAACTGGCTGAAGGGCATTGGGTGCTACGTCTGGGATACACCGCAGATCCTCCAAGCCAAGAAAGCATATGACCTCCAGAGCCAGGTGAGCCGGGCTCCCTGGGACTAGCCCACTGGGGTCAGTGGAGCGTTTGGGTTCAGTGTGAGACAGCCAGCTGTCCCTGTGCCCAGGTGGAGGAAGCCTGTTTAACAATGTGTGACCTTAGGGAACCAAAGGCCCTCAGCCCATAAAACCCCTTCCGGTGGCCTGCTCTTCTGCTGGGCCTTCTCAGTTTGAGTCTCTCCTGTGCCTTAGGCATCTCCACCTTATTGATCAGATTAACTCGCAGAAAGTAGAATACAAATGTTTACTGTGCCCATGGGAAGATGAGTTTTGAAATGAAAAAAAGATTCTCAGAAAACTTCCTAGCATGTGGTTGAGCTCTAGTAGGACAGACTCATGGGATGCTAAGACTGAGGGACCAGGGATGGATTATAGACCGGAAGAGACAGCACAATGAAGAAAGGGACCTGGCAGGGATCCAGGCCCCATTCTTGGTTAAAAGAAATTATTTTTGACAGCCATACAAAACCCACAGGACTATAAGAATGATACACTCTTTGTTCGAATTAAAGCAGACACCCAGAAATAAATAAAAGCACATCTAGATTGGCACAAACTTCTAAAGCTGATGGCAGGCCCGTATTTTAGAATTTTGGTGACTTTTATTTTTCTTTACAGATACAATACACAGCAGGAGGTAAAGAAAATCTACAGAATTATAACCTGGTCACTGATACCCCACTGTACGTGACTGCTCATCAGAGCGGCATTAATGCCAGTGAGGTGTGTATTCCCTGTACCTCTCTTCCAGGGACGAGCCACTATTGTCTTTACATTTTCTCAAACAACAGAAAAGAATAACCCCTCTTTTTTTTTTTGTCTACAGGTGAAATATAAGGAAAATTATCATCAGATTAAAGACAAATATACAACAGTTCTAAAAACAGTGGATTATGACAGAACCAAGAACCTGAAGAATCTGTATAGCAGTGTGAGTTGAGTTCTTTCTCTCTTTTCTGTATTTGAGTTACCTTTTTCTCCTCTAGAGACAATAAGAGAATAAAAGGGTTAGGCATCTTGCCTCCAAAGGTTTTTCCAGTTTTTTTTCCTAGACCTTCAAATTCCTACTTTCTCTCATAAATCATTCTAGTTACAACTCAATTAGCCCCAATTTGAATATTGTGCTATTTCATGCAGTTGACACAAATTCAACACCTCCTTATTATAAGCAGGTATTTTGAAGCTGTTCTTTATTGACCCCGAGTTTGTATTTCCCTGGCTTCATTTTGACATAGTTTTAGACTTACAGAAAAGTTGCAAAAGTTGTACAGAAAATTCCCACATACTTTTCACTGTAGCCCAATGATCAGAACTAAGAAATTAACATTGTTACAATGTTAATTACAAACTTCATCCAGATTTCACCAGTTTTTTCACTAGCATGCTTTTCTGTTCCAGATGCCGATCCAGGATCCCACACTGCATATAGTTGTCTTGACTCCTTAGTCCCCTTCAATCTGATCATTTCTCCATCTTTCCTTGTCTTTTTCTGATGTTACACTTTTGAAGAACACTTAGCCATTTTGTTGAATGTTCCTCAGTTTGGTTTTATATGATGTTTTCTCATGAATAGATTGGGAGTATTATTTTTAGCAAGAATAAATACAGAAGTGATGTACCTTTCTAGTGCATCGTAGCAGGTGGTACGTGATGTCAGTAACTGGTGATGCTGACCTTGATCACTTGGTTAAGTTGCTCTCTGCTGAGCATCTGCACTGTGAAGTTGCTATTGTTCCTTTGTTATTAATAAATATCTTGGAGGAAATCCTTTGGGACTATTGCAAGTGTACTGTTTCTGATCAAACTTTCTCAGTTATTTTGGCATCCCTTCATAGATCTTGCCTGAAACATGTATTGCTGTACAATATGCCTGGTGCTTTTCTGTCATTCCTCCTATATTTATTAACTGGAATTCTTTGGTGAGAAACAACTGCTCTTTCCCACCATTTCTTGCTTATTTATATCAGTATGGACTCATGGATATTTAATTTATTCTATGGGATATAGTCTAATCCTATTGTTGTTAATTTTGCTGCTCTAATTGTTTCGGCTTTAGCCATTGGGAGCTCTTTCAGAGTGCCTCCTGTGTCATATGCTTGTCATACACTGTCATTGTGGTTTTTGCACTTCCTTACTTCCTGGTATCACAAGATGCTCCAGGCACATCTTGTATTCTTCTTGTTATAGACCCATCTCTCTAGGGAGCTCTGGTTTATTTATTGGAGAATGGTATTACAAAACCAAGATCTAAGCACCCGGGTGTCTTTGCTACTAAGCCCTCTAAATGGACAAAACTTAGAAATACGTGTATGTAACAAACTTATGTATGCATGCACATCTGTATTTATTTCTATACTTACTAAACTGTATCTACACTTTGAAACCATGAGTTCACATTGATGCCTTCAATGCAATTCAACACCAGGGTTCCTTCTAGCCTTCTCTCTTTCCTTATTTTTCCAACTTGCAGCTTTCCTTTTCCTTTCCAATGGAAAGCCTGGCTCTCATTATCTATAATATATTTACTTATTTGTTCAAATCTGGTAGGTACATAAAATGTTTCAGAGTTGCTAACCCATGCCCCTGTGAGAAACAAATTTACTAACTAGAATATAGTATTGTATAGCTATTTTTGTCTACAGTCCTAGAGTATCCAGGCAAAACGTTATTTTCCAAAATAATATAAATTAGTTTTCTTCCCCACTTCTTCAGTGTAATCTTGTTATGCATATGTAATACACCTAGATTTATTCATTACAGTCTGTACTCGATTTTAGTCCCCTTCTCCATTTTGATTATTTGTTTTACATACAGCAAATTTCGCTCTTTGTGGTATAGAGTACTATGGCTTTAGACAAATGCATAGAGTCATGTATTCACCACCATAGTCATGACACATAAAAGTTCTCTGTCACCCCAGAATTTCCCTCTGGCTGGCCCTCCCCTCTCCCCTGGCATCCACAGAGATGTTTTCTGTCCCTGTAGTTTTTCCTTTTCCAGAATGTCATGTAAATGGAATTATGTAGTATGCAGCGATTACATCTGGCTTCTTTCTCTTGGCAAAATGCCTGTATGTTTTGTACACGTTGCTGTGTATGTCAGTAGTTTATTCCCTTTAATGGAATGGTATTCCATTGCGTGGATGTACCAGTTTATCCATTCACAGTTGAAGAGCATCTGAGTTTTTTCTAGTTTTTGACAATTATGAATAAAGCTGCTATAACATTTGCATAGAGGTATTTTTGGTACATGTAAGTTTTCATTTCTCTTGAGTAAATGAATACCTAAGAGTGAAAATATTCTTTGAGCCTCCTCTAACTACAAAAAATTAGGAAAGGATAAATAGGTTTTTTTTTTTTAAGTCAGTGATTTTACCCTCCAGGAATTCCTAGATCTCTGGGGAATGAATATGGCATCAAAAACCCTCATAACTGTCAAACTGTGATAAGTACTATGGTAAAGAACAAAATACTAGACTATGAAATTATGGTCATAGCATTAAACCAGTTATTCATTTAGGGGTGCTTGGGTCCTACACAGAGAAAAAATTGGGGGGTTGTTAGTGAAATGTCTGAGAAGGACAGAAAGAGAGGAAAAATCTGCTACTTGGAAGGTAACCAGAATGCATTTTTCTGTACTCACAAGATTTTTAACTCCTACAGAACCTGTACAAGGAGGCCTGGGATAAAGTAAAAGCTACCAGCTACATCCTGTCTTCCAACACCATGTCCATGAGACATGCCAAGAACCAGAAGCATCTAGCCAGCAATGTAAGTCAAGTACAAATGAAATAGCCTTTCCATCATATGTTGCCCAGAAAACCCTGAGTACTTCCAAAGGGGTATGCCAGCAGATAATTCCAGACCCTCACTCAACACAGTCATGTACTTGTTTCTTTCTCTAAAGGGTCCTGCCCTGAAGTCCAGAGAGAATCACAAACCCTCGTAGGAAAGACACAGATATGACCTTTTAGGCTGTCAGCCTGCAGATGAATGAATGAATGAATGAATGAATGAATGAATGAATGAATGAATGAATATACTCTGCTTTAGCCAGAAGAAATGATAGAAGACATAATATTCTGTACAAAATAGACTCTTTTTCAATAGAATTATGTGGGCTTTGGGATTAAAATAAACCAGTGATATGATAACTGGTTATTACACCATCCCCAAATAAGTGATTAAAAAGTAAATAATCACCTTTCTAACTATGAAATAAAACAATTTTTTAATCTTTTGAAATTCTACTTTTTTAAGGCAGAAGTTGTCTTTGTTATACACAGAATTTAAAATAAAATTTAAATAACATGTGCAGTTTAAATACAATATTGTCTTAGGAACTTTGACATACCTAAGTGTTCTTAAGTAAAGCCTTTTATTGCAAAATTCCCTCTAACCTTCACTGCAGTGCTAATAAGGGCAGTTCTTTTTCAGGAAGTTTTACCTCTTAATTGTACACATTTTAGACCAGTATTTCTCCAACATTTTTGTTGACCATGACCCACAGTGAGAAATCTGTTTTATATTACAAGTCAACACACACACACACACATAATTGAAGTTTATGTGAGTCCCTTCTGACATGAATGTTGTGCAGAAGAGTACTTACTTTTACGCTAAAGACAATGTACTCTGATTACTTCAACTCTATTCTATTCACACGAATACCAGCAACCCAGTAAAGTGATTTCACTTCTTCTAATGGGCCAAAGGATCCACAATTTAGAGAAAGACTTTGTTAGCCAATTTATGGAATTTATTTTTACCTGGAGGAAGAAGTAATAGATAGGATTTTGCCCAGACTCGACTTTATTTGGAAGATGGCAGTCAGACTAGCCCAAAGGAGAAATCTTTTTATTTGGAAAGAGAAGTTTTGTAGGTAGGATTTTAAAAGCTCAGCAGAAGCTTTTTCCTTTGGCTATGATAAAAGGTACAGAGGCAGGGTTCTCAGCAACTTGCTCTTGGAACAAGGTGGGACACAGAGAAATTAATCATTTAAAAGAAGAATTCCAACAGTAGCTAAAAAAGAAAAGAAAAGAGAAATGTTTTTGAATGTTGTCTTCTTCATAATTAAGGGATGGGTTAGATGTAAACATGTGAATTAATGTTCTAGAAAGTTCTAGTGAGAATTCTGGTTGATATTCAGTCAGTAAAGGGCTTTGCTGAAATTCTGACACATAAACTTTCATCTCCCCACCACCCTTTTTTTAAATTTTAACAAAGATATGAGGCTCTGCACTGTGAGAGAATTGTTATTGTCACATCATATATGCTAAAAGATTGGATCTTAGGTCTCTGGAAGGGCCTTGCCTCCTAGTCCATGCAATCATGGAGCATTAATTAGTAGTCATATGGCTTGAAAGCTAAAAATTGGTCTTCACACAGAAGGTGGTTGGAGAACCTTCTTGGAGAACCTTGCAAAAATGGAGATTCAAGATTGTGTCTCTTAAGCATCAGACTCATCGGTTATTAAAAACAACCAAATTCTTGAGCACATTTTTCATCTTTCAGTTATAGTTGAGAAAAACAAAGCCATTTTCACAAAAGAGAGTATTTAAAAATGACCTAATCTTTAAAATGAGTTAGTCGTAGTAGCAGTAGAAGTACTAGTATTGGTGTAGGGATTTTTGAAACAGTAACTAAAATTTTATAGCTCTCTATGTTCTGAACAGTAGTCAGATATAGTCTGAGTTAAACCTCAAGATAACCTGTACCAGAGCTGTACCTCCACTTCTGCACATGGGCAAGGAAACAAGCTCAGACAAGTGGTGACCCCAAGTTTGACTGCATATCAGAGCTGGATCCTTCCCATTAAGTCTAATGCTCTTTCAATAGTACAGATCCACTCTCCAAAATTACATTTCCTTCTTGTACCTCCTCTCTACAGATCAAATATCGGGAAGAATATGAAAAGTTCAAAGCTCTTTACACTTTACCAAGAAGCGTTGAAGATGATCCAAACACAGCTCGGTGTCTCAGAGTTGGCAAGTTTAACATTGATGTAAGTAATCCCAAAGGCCTTGCTTCATGCTGAAGCCAAATCATATAGCCGTCTATTATTCATCAGAACATTTTCTATTAAGCAACACGTATGGTACTGATTGTGCACATGTGAAGAAGCTAAGTGTTATTTTAGTCCCTGCTGCTTCCTGCAGGCGGTCCCATGAATCTGTAGAAAGTGTCAGAAAATTCCAGTCCCTCCCCTGCCCCCAGCTGATGGCTGTGAACTGGTTGCCCTGACTTCTCTGGTGTGTAGGAAAGGCATGCATTGCCACGAAGCCTTGCTCAGTGCCCTGTGTAACTGGTGTGTTCTTTTAACTTCACAGCGCCTGTACAGATCGGTTTATGAAAAGAACAAGATGAAAATCCACATTGTGCCTGACATGGTAGAGATGATTACTGCCAAGGACACTCAGAAGAAAGTCAGTGAGGTCGATTACCGCCTACACCTCCATGAGTGGATTTGCCACCCTGACTTGCAAGTCAACAGTCATGTCAGAAAAGTCACAGATCAGATCAGCGATGTAAGCCCATTGCTTACTAAGGTCCCACCCCCACCCCCACACGCCCACCCTAAAGAGAAGCAGACTCACCTATTTCTTCACCTCATCCTTCTTCCAGCATTGCTTTCCTATATACCCCCGGGGCAGACTGGAATTCAGAGCTGTTTTTGGAAGAAGGGCTCTGTGCACCAGTGTTTCCACGGCTCCCTTGGCCTCATTGCATAACGCCTTTTGCTTTTCAAGCCACAAAGTCATAGGATGTCCATGTCTTTGATGTAAAAGGTATGGTCTAATTTTATTCTTCTAACTTCACCCATCTGTTGTCATCCTCTAGATTGTGTACAAGGATGACCTCACCTGGCTGAAAGGCATTGGCTGCTACATCTGGGACACTCCTGAAATTCTCCATGCCAACCACGCATATGATATACGCAATGATGTGAGTTTGCCTTCTTTTTGGTTTTTTCAAGTATGTTTCTTTCTCTGCCTAGTCTAGAGGAAAGAAGAGGGTGTAGAAAGTACAGGCACTGTTACAGACCAGCTGTGTATTAAGTAGTCACGAGGCTGGCTGAGCCAGAGAAAGACACGAAGGAATAGAGAATATACCTTTCTCTAGGATGCACGTGGCATTCTTATTAACCAATGCAGATGAGCTGTTCCTTTGTCCTCTGGTAGAGAAGGGACTCCTGGCTCTCCTCCACCTTTTGGGCTATTTTGGGTATATTAATGAGCACGTTATTCTCATTATAGGAAAATTCTCATTGTTAGGAATTTGCAGCACTATAGACAGGATCTATTTATAAAGAGAGAATTTGCTAGGCAAATTAATACTCTAATCAAGATTTCAGCAAGAAAGCTTAACTCTTCCTAGAAGAGCAGTTGTCAAGGTCCCTAGAAGACACTAGATGCTCCAAATGACTGTAAGCATTGAATGTGCTGATGGTCACAGAATTCAAATGCATCCTGGTCTGTTGAGTAAGTGCTAATGAAAGTAAATGCCATGAGTTAAAAGCAAACCAAACCCTCTGTGAAAACCTGCACTTTCTAATACAACAAATGATCAACATAGGCTTATTTTCTTCCTCTTGTCAGATCAAGTACAAAGCTCATGCACAGAAAACCATGAATGACTACAAGTTGGTCACCGACACTCCAGTCTACGTCCAGGCTGTGAAAAGTGGGAAGCAACTAAGTGATGTAAGTGCCCATGGGGATGTATTGTGGACAGCAGTAAAGACAGGGCACCACTCAAGCCGAAGGGGCAAACCTGAAAGAGTGGGCAGTGCCAGGCCTTTCCTAACCGGGAAGCCAGAGTTGGTGCCTTAGAAAGTACTTAAGACTCTGCTCTCACTTCCTAAATCCTGATGTGTCTGTCCCATCAGTTCCTGAAGTGGAGCTGTAAGTGATCTAAGTCTATGAAACATCTGGTGTTTGAGAGCTTCTGTCTGGGTGCAGTGAGCAAGCAGAGGAAAAGCACCCACTGTACTGCCTGACACAAAGCAGGCAGAAGAGGCACAAAGCTGCACTTTTTTTTTTATTTTAATGAACCCCACAGGTTAATAAGTAAATATTAATCGCACTGGTGAATTAGAACATTGAGACCTGTTCTTCTGGAGCTTGCGATGGTAAATCGCCCACTCTTCTCTTCATGTGCCTAGGCTGTCTCTTCCACTTTTTCTCAGTCACTGTGGGGTCCTGATCCTATTGGACGAGGCACAGTAATACATCAGATAAAAGGGAAGCAGATTACCTTTTTTTTTAAAGAGACTTGGGTTTCCATTTTGTTTTCTTTTTTTTAGCAATTCTGCCACAGTCTGAAACATGTCACTCTGCTTCTCTCTGCCCCCAGGCTGTCTACCACTACAACTACATCCACAGTGTCAGAGGCAAAGTGGCTCCAACTACGAAAACTGTGGACCTGGACCGGGCCCTCCATGCACACAAGCTCCAAGATGAGGTGAGCAGTGAGAACGCGACCAAGTGCCCAGCAAAATCCAAATGTAGCCTGCAAGGACCAGGCCATCAGCCGCTCTGCAAGCGACCTCAGCTTGGGCATCCTCTCAGCCTGACCTTGTAAATTGTAAATGTTATTCCATTCACGTGAGTTAAACAACAAACAAAAACAGTGCATAGGCTGTCTTCCCTCTGGGCTGGCAGGATCCTCCTATCAAGCATGCCAAGAAGCAATGCGTGTTTTTGGAGCAATGTTTACAGTTTACAAAGAAGAAAACCAATCTCCTACCTCTGCTCTCAAAAGCTTAAAAGCAAGATGACAAAGATAAGGCATGTAATCATAAAACACTATTAACAATAGCAGGTAAAGTTGGAAACTGCTGCTGAAATTCAGAAGAGAAAGAAACGGGATTCCACATTATGTACTTAATATCTCTCTTCTGTGTTACCTCGTGGTAATACTTTGGTCTCAACCTGTAATGTTATTTACTGTCCTATATTGAATGTTAAAGTGGTTTGGGCTTTAATATTTTAAATACTGTTCCTACTCCTGCAGCTCCCCTGGGAGACAGACTACTTACGGTCATAGACAGAAACTAATTTCTCCCTTCTGCCAGGAATATGAGCTACCACTTCACAGTCTGACATCAAGACACTATGCATATTTATGGGGGGTGGGATTCTAAAGATGTGCCTTATACTTGGGATTGGTGATGACTTAAGGCTGGGATTAATGACAGAGGTGGTTCTGGCTGCCTGTTTTCTCCACTTTTCCCAAATTCTTGCTAGATGCCATGCAGCTAACTTGGCATATGTTCAAAAGAATAGAAGGATTGTTCTCTATAAGCCCCTTCACTCATTGTTCTCTTTTTTGATAACAGTAGGTTAATCGTAATCTAATTCATTGCCTGACTCTTGAAATTTACTTCTTTCTTCCTGAAATCAATTCCATGAGCATAAGTACATTAAGCATCTAATCAAAAATCGAATGTAAGCTGGACGTGACTTGTTTACCTTAGATCAGTTGTTTGACGTCGATGTCAGTTAATGCGCTCTTCCTCATTCTGGCAGAATCTGTACCGAGGAGCTGGCCGCCGTGCCCTGCCTACTGGATATAGGCTTCCAGTTGACACCCGTCACTTCAAACACAGCAAGGACACCCGATACATGAGCAGTTATGTAAGTGGTTTCCTGGGGTCTGAAGCAGGAGGGGAGACACTAGTACTCATTAATAGCCTATTCCCATTCCCCCAGTCACATACATCCTGAAGGCTCAAGATGATGTAATGATGGCAGTAGAGGGGGGAGATAGCACGTTTTTCTAGGGGTGCTGTAGAAATGGCTTGCTGCTGCAACTCAGCAGTGCCTGTGTGGTCCCGGGAGTTAGCATAGGACTTTTATGGGATTGTACCTGCATGAGTCAGTTACTTTGGCTCAGGGCTCAGGGCCGCCATGACACCTCTACTTTTGTTAGCCTTTGCACAGACACATCCTGAGCTACCCCAAGCCAAACGCTGGAAATGCAACTTCATACACACACAGGTGCTGTGTGGCCATGGTATTGTCTTCCTTCTGCAAAGAGACATTGCAGAAGGGACTATTTGCTTAGCTGCTGGCTCTGATGCCTCCTCACTACTTAGCCTCTGGGCCCATTTCATAGAAAGCTTAGTGGCACAGATAGGCTCTCACTACCTGTAGCTTGCCCAGGCATTAGGTCGGACACTACCCTTCCCTACTTTTTAAAAGTGCCATGTTGGAACTTGATACACTTAACCCATGGGCAGAGCCTGGAGAAGTGCTGGCTCTCCAGTGACTTTGGCTTATAGACCATACCTATAAGGCAACCATCAGTTGAAGAATAAACTGTCCCTTCCATGCTGCCCTATAGAATACTAGGAACCTTCATAACTTGCTGGCCAGGCAGGGTCTGATGACCAGTGGTCCAGTAGTATGGTTTCCAAAGTAGAGTCACAGATTTAATCATCTAACATGTCATTTAAAAAAACAATTCTTAAAACTATTCATCAGTCTTAAAAATATTGTTTCAAAAATATTTATATATATATATATATACAGAGAAGACAAGTAATGGTTCTATAGCATCTTACTATGCTGATGGACAGTGACTATAATGGGGTATGTGGGGGGGACTTGATAATAGGGGGAGTCTAGTAACCATAATGTTCAAGTAATTGTACATTAATACCAAAATTATATATATACACACACACACACTTATTTATTCTTTGCATTCCCTAATTTCCTAGCCATTCCTTTCAAAACTTGGATGACTATCGAAATTTTGTCAATGAGTTTTCATTATACTTAATGCTCAGAGAGTAGTTTTCAAATGGAAGTGACAGCTCTTCTTGAAAAACGTAAAGCTGTTTTGTTTATCCATCAGTGATCTCATTCTGACTTTGCTTTTGCAGTTCAAGTACAAAGAAGTTTATGAACACATCAAGGCCAATGGGTATACACTTGGCCCCAATGATGTTCCATTTGTCAATGTCCGGAGGGTCAACAATGTTACCAGTGAGGTACTGTGAATTCTAATGGTGTGGGGGGAATACTGAGTCTCAAAGACCATGGCGTTGCTTGAAATGCTTGAAGAATTAATTGTATTTCAGCTATAAATTTATACAGTAGCAGGGAGTAAAGAGGGCCCTTTCTGTCACCATTTTGACAATGGCAGTGCCTTTGTAGAGGCTCTAATCCATAGACTGTAATGCAAATTAATTCCTTCTTTTAACAGTTGTATTAAAAAATCTTTAGTAAGTTTGCAGTTGAGTCTGACTCATGACTCTAGTTTTATGCATAAACTATTGGTTTGTACATTCAGCCATCTGATAGAGAGTAGAAGAGTTTGTGCTCAGAGTTCTTCACCTAAATAAAATAAACATCATGTTCTCTTTTTTCCTACTCTCAATAGTAGTCTGTATCCTTAATCTCTTCTCTCATGGCTCTTTATGTAAAATATTTGGTTGTTGATTAGTCAATAAATGCCCTCATCTTCATACACTAAACACTTGGAATGGTTTTTCTTCCTATGTAGAGACTGTATCGACAGTTGTACCACAAGCTGAAAGATAAGATTCACACAACTCCTGACACACCTGAAATCCGCCAAGTCAAGAAGACACAAGAGGCTGTCAGTGAGGTGGGTATTTTCTTAGGAAAGAGGACAGGCTGTGGAGCCCAGGGGTGAAGGTCATCCATTCATTCTCTAATGTGGGTGTTTCTGGGCATTTTTTTCTTTAGTTGATCTACAAATCGGACTTCTTCAAGATGCAAGGCCACATGATCTCGATGCCATACACACCCCAAGTGATCCATTGCCGCTATGTGGGGGACATTACCAGTGATGTAAGCATCTCCTAGTGGTCTTTCTGGAAGATTCTTACCAAGAGGCAGGCTGACTTTCAGTATTTAAGTCAACCAGTGGTCTTTGAACAACCTTTTACATTGAGTACTTATAAACTGAGTGTACAACTTGGACGTAAATTTGTGTGAAAGCCAGAGTCCACATTTCTCCAGCTGTGGAGACAGTAGTAAGAGGACCACTCGGAAAGTATAAGAATTGCTAACCGCCATTCTATATTCCACAAGTAATCGTTGCCAACTCCTCAGTCTCTAAGAGGCCTCTGTCCCAGGTCATGTGTAGTGTCTTTTCCTGTTCATCCCTACTCTCACCCCCTTTAGTTGCTGTTTTTTTTCCCTTAGATGTTTCCTTGTCCTAAAAGACCACTTCATTCAATCTATGTTTCTCTCTATCCATGTAATAATAACATAAAAGCAGTGTTCAATCCTCAGCTCAGGATTAGAGATTTAAAATTAAGATCTTGTGATTTATTTGCATTTAAGCAAACTAAGAGTACAGAGTAGATGAGTTGAACTAAATTAAAGCTACATCAATTAAGTGTGCTACCCTGTCTTATTTGTTCCTGACTTACATTTTCTCGTGACCAGCTATATTTCTGTTTTGCAATGTAGATTAAATACAAAGAGGACTTGAGGGTCCTAAGGGGCCTGGGCTGCTTCCTGTATGACACTCCCGACATGGTCCGCTCCCGACACCTGAGGAAGCTCTGGGTGAGTGCACACCTTCACGACTCACAGCTGCCCTACACTTGTTCCAAACTTCCCGTCACCAGCCTCAAGGAGCTGAACAGAAAGAATCTTTGCCTACAGCTACTTTAAGGGGAAATGTACCATTAACCTACCTTAGCAAGTCATGACCCATTTAAGATGATCTGTGCCTCCTGTAAAGGTGATGCACTTAGTTAAATGACAGTTGCCTTAGTATAGCACAGAGAAGACAAGTAGTGGCTCTATAGCATCTTACTATGCTGATGGACAGTGACTGCAGTGGGGTATGTGGTGGGGACTTTATAATGGGGGGAATCTAGTAAACACAATGTTGCTCATGTGATTGTGTATTAATGATACCATAATAAAAAAAAACAGTTGTCTTTTTCCTGCCTGGGAGGGTATCCAGGATACATGGAGGGCCTGCTCAGCTTTGATCTGACAACCATTTGAAAGACAATGTGTGACCATGACATGTAATTCCTTAAATGATAGATTAACTTGTATTTCCATTGTTGTTTTATTCAAGTCTAATTACCTATACACTGATCATGCAAGGAAGATTCGAGACAAATACCAAGTGGTGCTTGACACTCCACAATACAGAAAAGTGCAGGAACTGAAGACGCATCTGAGTGAGGTAAGGATTCTAAACTTGTCACTACAAGTGGTACATCCCTCTAGTGATGATTTTTCAGGCAACTACACTAGGGAAGAGATCTCCCCTCTGCCTTTAATTACAGAGGCCACTATGTCTGAGCAATTGACTTCACTTTGCCTCAGTTTACTTATTTTGCTCCCTTTTGATAAGATGAGGTTGTTGATTACTGCCCTATGTGTGACTAGGCCCGCTGAGAGTATACATGATTTCATGGAGTGGAAAGTGCTTCTGTCTTACACTATTGTTGTAGTCTCTAAACTGAACTCATTTCAACACTTTCTGTTTCTTTATTCCCTGCTGTTAGGAACCCTAATCATGGCAGTACCATCTGAAAAGTATTCAATGTCTCCCTACTCTGCTACCCACTCAAAAAATTACAAACTACTTAGTTTTATTTCCATCTGGCACTGAGGCTTCTGATTTATTGCAGCTGGTTGTGTATAGATCTCATGCTTTCACCTAGGCTGTTGGTTCCTTGAGGGTCAGACCCCATATTATTTAGGTGTGTATCCCATAGTGCCTTGGCTATAATAGATGTCCATGTTGGCCAGTGACTAAATGTGCTTTGTAAAGGTAAGAGCATTCCACAAACATAAATGGTTTTCTTATTATAGGTCAGTTGACCTTTCCCTTTCAACTCCCAGTTTGTCTTGTGGCATCATTCATCAGACTTCACCAAGCTGAGCCAAGCATTGGCTGTCAGGCCACTTCATTGACTCCCCATTCTCAGTAGCTCATTTGGCTGCTGATTAGGAGTCACTTTTGCTCTCAGACTTAGAGATACCCAGACATAGAGAATCAGAGTCTGGTGTGGGGCTGGGGAGTTGGAGCCCACCCAAGGGCAGTTTTAAAATATTTCACAGGTGGTTCTGATACTCAGCTAGAGTGGAGAAGCACAACTTTACCGAGGTTAAAGAACACAAGCATTCCTGTCTGAGTCTTAGTGCTGGTTGAAATAACATAGGGAAGCTTTCAAGAAAGCAAATGGGCTCAGTGTAGCATTTGTAAAAGCTCAAGAATTAATCATCCTCTGCCTCCAGCTCCCTGAGAAGTAGGAAGCTGCCCATCCCCTCCCCTGAGGGCAACATTTGGTTTGCCAGGGTTTCCCTACCTGGCAGCCATAGAAACCAGGACTCCAGATGAGTGTGGAAGCTCTTCTCTGGGTGATACCAGCACGCTGGAGCAAGGCAGGCAGAGTGCCAAGACAGTGTCTGCAGCCTACGTTCCATAAGAGTGGCTTCTTAGGCCACTGAAGGTCTGCCAGACCTGCAGCCTGCCTCTCAGGCTGAAGCTCTGGGACAAGGAAAGAGGCCTCCTCCGCCCTGGAGAGTATCCCTGGGTCTTTTGTTTGTGCAGTGCCCTGGGGGTGGTAGCCTGCCAAGAACTCTCTCTCCGATTGTCTTGGTCCCATGGGACCCAGGATTCAAGCCACCGCCATCCCCCCTCCTCCCCGAGCCAGCAGAGCCAGGCAAGCAGGGGCTTCCCCCTAAATGGCAGCTGCAAAAACTGGGGCACCAGACATGAGAGCCAGGTCACCAGACTTGTGAAAAATCTCCCCTCCAGGAGATAATGGGGCTCTGGAGTGTGGTGGAGGGTGAGTGTGAAGGAGTCTAGACCATCCTCTGAGGTCTCCAGAAGGGATCACAGTTATCCCAAGACGTGTCCCTGGAGTTGATGGCTGTTTAAGGGCTCTTTCTCTGTTGGTCACCGTCCTGTGGGACCCATGAGTGTGGGCCCCACTGGCCACCGGAGTCAGGCGTCCCCTGGCAGCGGTCCCAGTCACTAGGCTGCCAGTGGGGTGAGCTCCTTTCTGGTGCACTAATCATTACCATCCCATGGGACTAGGAATGCCAGCTCCCCTGGCTTCTGGAGCCAGATGGTCATGAGGCTTCCCCTAGGTGACAGCCGCAAAAATTGGGATGAATGAAATCTTGCCGTATGCAACAACACGGATGGACCTTGAGGGCATTATGCTAAGTGAAATAAGATAAAGACAAAAACTGAATGATCTTTCTTATAAGAGAAATCTGATCTATATATAGTTATTATTTTTAAATAAGCTCATAGATACAGAGAACAGTTCCGGTGGTTGGCAGGGTAGTGGGAGAAATGAGTGAACTGTTTTGTTTTTGTTTTTTAAGTATAAATTAAAAAACAAAAAAACCTCATCCAAGCAAGCCTCTTAGATTCAGAAGGTCTGGGTAGAACCTGCAAATCTGTTTTAATAAGGACTTTGGGGAGTTTCAGAATCCATAGTTTGGGAAACACTGACTTAGTAAAAAGTTTGACCGGCAGCGAAAGTTCAAGTTACTGCCTTTTGAATTGTTTTCGAATTGTTGTGCAGATTCTTGACATATTTACATTTGTAGTACTCGGGAAGCAAGGATGTTATCCCAAGAAGCATAAATAATACACACCTGAGTAAAGGGAAAATACAGTACAAGGAGAATTATAGAAATGCTATGGGAAAGTTGAGTCTTAGTTTCAGATTTATTTCCATTTTGCTGGGTGCCCTTGTAAAGTCACAACTTCAACAGAATTGGAGTAGATGCGGGCTCCTCTTAACCATAAGACACTCCATGAGTTTGTTGATTTACTTTACTTGAGATTTACCCTGGAAGAAACAGGAAATTTTTATTTCATTTATCTCCTTTCTTTCAATAGTGACACCAAAAACTCATATGAGCTACATTTTCTCTCAATTTGTATATAATTTATATTTAAAGAAGTAGACATGCACATATATGTGTATATACATATTTATTTCCTAAGTGTTACCTGTTCAACTGGCATATCCATGATTAGAACCTATTTATTATCCATTTGTACTTTCTAGTTTGCTCCATTGTATTAAATTCACACCTTCAATATTAGAGGACTAGTGTTTTTCAGATCTTTTATTTAAACACAAGGTGATTAAAGAATGGTAGAGCTGAACCCCTGTATTCCATGGGCTCATAATCTGTAAGAAGAAACAGACACCAGTGTGATAAATGGTATCCTATAGGAATAATCAAGACAGTATGGACTCTAGAAGCTTTCCAGGCAGAGAAGAGGGGGAAGAATATTCTAGTCAGCAAGGATAGTATGTGAAATGGCTATAATGAGTTCTAGAAATTGGGAATGGTTTCAAATAGCACATGGAGAGTGTGGAAGAATGTTGGGAAATTAGATAGAAACATAGGATAGAAGCCAGCTCATGAAGAATCCTGGGTGCTAAGTTAATGATCTTGGGCTTGATAAAAAAAATCACTGAAAGATTATTTCTGAGCAGGGTAGATCTGAGCATTAAGATCTGATCAGATCTGAGCTTTGAGAAATCTCTTTCTCGGACTTGGTAAAGATGGATGAGCCATGAGGAGTGGTCCAATAGGAGGTGTGGGGTTGGGGGGGTAGTTTAGGGGGCTTCAGAGATGTGTCCAGAATAAATTATATAGGAGGACAAACTAGGTCAGCAGCAATGAGAAAGGAGAAGGGTCAGATTTAAAGGTGATCATGAAATTAGGAACCCAGGATTCATGACCATTTTGATATAGAAATGAGGGAGAAAGAGTCTAGGATGACTCCCCAGGTTTCTGGCCTGAGAGACTGGGAGATCAAGGAGTCACTTAGCAAAACAGAGAAAATAGGAGAAGCAGCAGATACGGGCTAGAGAAAGGGAATAATATAAGGAATTCTACACTGAATATAAGTCACTGAAGTTAAGAACATTAGTAGAGATTGGAAAAAGCTTAGTGAAAGTAGGAACTTGAATCTGTTTGCAAAGAAAGGGGGACGGCTGAGAAAACAGGAGGGTGGAAGATTGGGGGGAAAGGGGTAGTCACTGGCATGGCATCCTGGAGACCTCTTGGGATGGGTGGGAATGGGACTGCGAGCAGACCAGGAGGCTTGAGTCCTGGACAGGCTGCAGAATATCTCTGATTTTTATAGGAGGGGAAAAGAAAAGGAGGGCCACAGAGGTAAATAAAGTATTGGCTTATTGAGCAGAAACTGGGATTGTTGCAGAGGGAGGCCCCTGCATTTCTATGAAGTAAGCAGTAAAGGCATCAGTAGAGAACATGACAGGTGGATGAAACAGAAATGATGGCGGTGACTGTTTTATGTCCAGCTGGCGTACAGAGCTACAGGCAGGAAGCAGAAGTCAATCTTCACCTCCATCCCTGATACTCCTGATGTTTTAAGAGCCAAGCGAGGGCAGAAGCTTCAGAGTCAGGTGAGATTCACTCGCGAAGACTCGTGGGCCTGCCATGCCGTCCTCACAGGGGCGACTGTCTGTGGCTGACCACTCCTGGCCCACAGCACTTCACACACTTGGCTGTCCTCGATGCAGCCTCGCGCCCATTAACTTCAAGAAGTAGTTTTCTTCTGGACCATCATCACTGTGGTATGTTTTACATGAGGAGGTAATACCATGTCTTTTTTTCTAAGTTCTACACAACTTTTGTCATTGGGTGAGTAGTGTGTGAACCCCGGGTAGTGAAAAGAAATACCTGGATTCATTTCACAGGACTTATCTATTGTCCACAGACAGATGAAGCTAATGTCATGCATTCAGGCAAAAACGGAAAAAATGTTGAGGGCTCTGTCCGAATCCTCTCATTCTTTCATTGTTATTCTTTATCACGTGGCTTTAGATTGGACCATACTCAATGTGAGGATATTAGGTAACTGGAGTTTGTGTATGTGTTGCCAAATGTGAGACACACAGAGAAACAAATTAACAGAAATACATATCATAGATAAAAAAAAAAAAAACCCAAGAGAGCAAGTAGACACAACCCTCCCATTGAAGGGTTAGAAATGAATGAAGATAACTGAATACTAAATTATAAGTGTTTATCTCTGTAACATCTCTATTTTCTGATAATGTAGTATCTGTATGTTGAACTTGCCACCAAAGAGAGACCCCATCATCACGCCGGAAACCAGACCAGAGCCCTGAAACACGCTAAAGACGTGAAGGACATGGTCAGCGAGGTACGATGGGAATCCCGCACCGAACCATGGTTTAAAGAACAAAATCCTTCCTTAAAACCCTCACCTGCTGCCTCTGATCAGAGAGTTCATTTCTATACATTGCGCTCAGCAGCATCAAAACACAGAAGGCAAAGCTTTCTTAGCATGACGCAATGTGTCCCCAGGCTGGGTCTGTGACTTGGTTATGAATTGGTAGGGATAAACATACTCGAACTGAAGTTTGTCTCTCTTTCGTATCTTTATTTTTTAGACAAAGTACAAGATTCAATATGAGAAGATGAAGGACAAGTACACCCCAGTTCTAGATACGCCAATCCTCATCAGAGCCAAGAAGGCTTACTGGAATGCCAGTGATGTACGCTTCCCGTCCTTCTTTCCCCTCTGGTGGTGGGGACAGCCGCGGTTGAAGTACCTAAGAAACAAGATATTACAGTCACAGCCATAGTTCCGAGACCTGGTCCACAACATGGGTCATGAAAACAACAGAAACATTAAACATCAACAACAAAAACAGACACAAATACCAGTCAGGCAAAATAGCTAAGAATAATGCTAAGAGACACTAAAAGCCTATTGTGTTTCTTATTGCCCTTGTAGGCAAAATGATAACCCTTTTTTATAATTCTTTGTTAGATTTCCTAGGGATACTTGACAACTACTTATCCATGAAATCATGGTCTGGGAGTAAGCCAAACATGGTTTCAAGTCCTGACACCCTCACTTGCCTACTGTATGACTATAATTCATCTAATTTTTCTGAGACTCTATTTTCTTGCATGTGGAATGAGAATAAGAATTGTGATGATTAAATTAGACTAAACAAGATAATGTATAGAACATTCCCAGCACAGAGCTGGGCTCTTAGTTGACACTCAGAATAATGTTTGTTCCCTTTCTTCTCTTGATCACTTACCCAAATCTTGTGAATGACGCATAAGTTAGAATTAGGAGGGACAGGCTTTCTTTTCCCATACCGCATGATCAAGGATACAACTGCCTTTTAATGGTAATGAGGTTATCCATTAACAAAGGAATTAAAATAAATCAACCCAGGTAGATGACCAGTCCTTACCAGTTTTGTGGCTCAGAGCCCACCTGCAAATGCATTGTACCCATTACTGAAACCAGAATCCCTGGAGGATTGGACACGTTGGGACTTACACCCAGCCAAAAGCTCAGACAACCAGATAACCCCTCAACTTAGCAGCATAGCTTCTAGCTTTCCAAGGCATCTTAAAGTAATTACAGTGATCTCTAAACAGAAGTGGGAAAGGCTACAGCAAATTGAAACAATATCTCAGTCCCATAAATTTGTCAGAAATTTTCATCTGGAGCTGAGAGGAGTCTGCTAGTTGGACAGAGGCAATGCCAATTTGCTTAAAATATAAGCTAAGAAAATTATATACTATTCTCAAAATCTGTCCCTTAGGATATTTTTAGTCTTTCTGTGACAGCCCCATCTTTATCACATTAAGATTGCCGTTGAGTATTAATCTGAACCAAACTTACTCTGCATCATCACATTTTGGGGGTGGCCGCCCAGTGAAATTGGCCCCTGACTATGCCCCATTGGCCAGTCCCAATCCCAGGGCGTTCTCAGTGCAATACTGAGAACTCTAATCTTTAAAATAGTCCAATGTAACAAGGGTGGTATGTGGCATTAAGTTTGGTTTATCTACAGTGGCTTTCCCCACAAATAGAGCTAAGTTATTTTATGATATTATCCATGTGAAAAACAAAGTTACAAAGTCAAAGAAAAGACAGCTTTTATTATGTGTTTGCTCAGCTACCCAAAGAGAAAAGACTTGTTTAAGATTGAAAACAGACTGCTTAGAGAAGTACCCACCTTGCATAGATGGGACGAATCTTCTATGATATTCCTAGGTTAAAGTCAGAGCTATTGTTTCTTGAGATGCCACAAAGATAAAGATTGTAATGAAATTAAATTTCATTACTTCGTTTTGGAGAAGGCATTGTAATATTGAGAGTTAGAAACTAAATCTTTCTTGTTTTTCCATGTGCATCAGTATGCCTTGAACTCAACAAGACTATGTTTTCTCCTTCCAGATTAGATTTAAATAAACTTTTTATTCCAAGTAGTTTAGACTTTGAGAAAACTTGTGAAGATAGTACAGATAGTTTGCATATATACTACACCCATTTTTCTGTTAACACCATTGTACATGTATCACAACCAATGAACTAATATTGATGCATTATTACTAAACTCCATCTTTTATTCAGATTTCATTAGTTTTCTCCTAATGCCCTTTTTCTCTTTCAGGATGTGAAATCCTGAAACAGGTTTTTAGTCTGTTCTAAATATATTCATGGGAAAACCTAAGAGAGAAGACCCAAGAAAGTTCAGGCTTACAATAACTCAGTTATTCAACTTGGTAGTTTTTCATAATTTATGTGCTTTTTCTCTTTCCAGCTACGCTACAAAGAAACATTTCAAAAGACCAAAGGGAAATACCACACCGTGAAGGATGCTCTGGATATTGTTTATCATCGCAAAGTCACAGACGACATCAGCAAAGTATGTCCCTATATATTTTATATTTCTACTTGTGTTGGGTTATCCCCCCTGCCATCTTTTTGTGTGTGTGTGTGATATCCTCCCTTTCCTAAAGCTTTCTGGAGAGAAGTAGACTGAACATTAAATATAGGTAAGACTTTAGAGCTATCTTTGTGTTTTTGCCACAGGTGAAATACAAGGAGGCCTATATGAGTCAGCTGGGAATCTGGACGTCCATCCCTGACCGTCCTGAGCACTTCCACCATCGGGCAGTCACTGATGCAGTCAGCAATGTGGGTTCTCGCATCATCTGTTTTTACACATAAATTCATTTTCCCATATAACTTCTGTAATCAAACACTGCATAAAAACTTATTAAGATTTTGTGTATGGATGGATGTTCAAATCATAAAACTCATTGCTACAAAAGTGAAAATTTCAACTTGAGAGGGAGAAATAATATATTCAAAGTGATAAACAATTTTTCTTCTAAGTGTATGATATCGTATTACATGACTGAAAGAGATATACTCCATCTAGGAAATAGCCTTTTTTTTTAATTAATTGAAGATACAACTTCATGACACAATTAAGACACAAGACAATGTTCATCTAGAAAGACATTGCAGCTCCTTAGATGAAAATACAGCTGCCAAGCTAATGATATACTCTCTAGGAAAGTATGCCTGTTAAATTTGAATTGGTATTAAAAATTAAAATTTCCATATACAATTCAGTGATAAACTGAAAAATGAGCAGAAATCAGTATTATTGGAAACTTCTCTTCAATAATTGTTTTAATATTTTATTATTCCATTTACCTCAGCGGTCAGAGCTTCTGTTTGTTCTGCTTGTATCTAATCTACTGCTGTTTGGAAATAGGTTCTTAAAATTCTTTGACGTTCTTCTTCCAGGTAAAATACAAGGAAGATTGGACCTGGCTTAAAGGCATTGGTTGTTATGCCTATGATACCCCTGACTTCACTCTGGCTGAAAAGAACAAGACTCTCTATAGCAAGGTATATCTGCTCAAGGAAATGGTCACATCCATTCAACACATCCAGTGGCCACAAAGAGAATTAGCACTGAGGAAATATTTTTGTATTTCCATCCTCACTTTTAAACCCTGTACTTGGAGTACAGACTGAATTGTTCACTCTACTTAGAAATTTTTTTACTCCTAACCTCATTGACTATAGTCCTCATTTTTTCTATCATTTATTTGAATTTGATAACTGGTCATCTCAGTAGAACTTCTCATGGTTTTCCAGAATTTCCTTCCTATTAACAGGTCTCTGGGTGATTTATCCTGTTAGAGTTGAAATGGTAACAAATACAAAGTGGAATTATTTTAATCCACAAACTTGATGTGTGATTTGAGGCCAGTACCTTGTTTTTATGGCCTCCTTTTCCTATTTCCAAAATAAAGCAGTTTATTAGCTTCTTTTGAGTTCTAAAATAGAAACCAAGATACTTCTAAAAAGTGCCAGATAGTGAATATTTTAGACTTTATGAGCCACATTCATTCTGCCACATATTCTTTGTTACAATCTCAAAATTGTTAAAAAAAAAAATTAATTCATGGGGCTCTTTAAAAACAGGTGATGGTCTAGGTGTTAGCCATCCCATGCTATAAAATATTTGATTGTCCCATTAATTATTGGAAAATTATTTAAAATTAATGCACTAAAAACTGTCTTCAAACAGACATGGAAATACCTTCAAATTAAAATCATAATCATTAGAATATATAGAAACAAAGAAAAAACTAAGTTGGATTTTTACCCAATATGGAAAGTAGATCTATTTGATGTCCATCCAATGAAAGTGTATATTTTGTAGGTAGTTTTTAAGACATCCATGCGGGTATACTTTTCATTGCCTTGGGAGACAGAGTTAATGTTCAGTAATTACTTGCTAGCTCTGTTAATGAATCTCCACAATTTTACGGTAAGACAAATGGCACATCTCATTCTTAAGATACAGACTGCTATCAAATAACCACTCTGTGTTTTCCCTAGTATAAATATAAAGAAGTATTCGAAAGGACAAAGTCAGATTTCAAGTATGTCCCAGATTGTCCAATCAATAGGCATTTCAAGTATGCAACTCAGTTGATGAATGAGGTATGTATGACCTGATCCAATTCAGCTTATTTAAGTCCCTTAAGAAGTCTATAGCGTTACTTGATTAAAGCCCAGTGCATAAAATGATAGGAGAGCCATTCTAAGTGTTGATTCGAGATAAAAATTTGGGAAGACTCTTAACAATGTCACCACCTTATGGCTCTACCAAAAGCATGAATAAAACAAGTGAAAGAGCTATCCAGAGTGGGAGTGGCGTGAGGGCCCCACAGCCATCATTGCCCTGTTTGCACTTACACAGAATGGCACAGCCCTTTGGGTGACAGGAGCGAGGATGTAAAAGATTTTGGTGACTATCAGCTGAGCATCCTTGACGATGATTTTGTGTAAAGTTGGGAGACCCAGAAGTTCAAGGTTGATTTAGTATCCCTTACAAGGCGCAGAAATGGCGTCACTGAAAGAGCCACCCCAAGGGGGCAGTTGTGATTCATGCATTCAAATGTGTCACCCTTGTTACTTGCACATTGGTGCAGAAGATTATCCATTTGCCGCCAAAATATTCCTTTATATTCTCTCCAGTCTTTCCTGGAACTGTCCTCCCAATAATTTAAGTTAAATTTAGCTTAAAATGGCTGAAATACGCCAGCTGTGAATCAACTTATGTCGGGATGGTTTTGTATATCCTATCTTTGGGTTTTCCATGGGTTTATGTAAATCCAAAAATAATGTTAGAAAATTAGTAAAATATATCTAAAAATTAAAATGTAACCAATGGTATGTTTGTTTCATATATGACTTTTTTGCTGTTTTTGTTGTTTTTTAATTTGATGTAGTTCATTTTCAGTAGATTTCAGGCTGGATGACTCTGAAGAATTGCTGTCAGTAGCTTTCTAGGAAGACAGTCTTGACATATTTTATTTCTGTTTTTCTAATTCATGAAGGATTTCCAGGTCTCTCTTACAGTTGAAAAAATTTACTAAGATTACGAGATTATTAGAATTTGTCCATCAACATGATTTTTTATTCTCACAGCCTTAGGCAGTAAAGCTGTAGTTTATCAGTGCCTTATTTTAAATACGAAGTAAGATACCTGAAACCTCTCATTGCTAATGGCATCATCTGTAAATACGGAAGATGTTCTGGTACAAGGGACTCCAGTGTCCGTGCTGTAAATCAGATCTAGCCCAAGCCCCAGCCTTCTCTAGATGAATTTTCTTCACTGGACTCTCTTGGCCTCCCTGGTTTTTACTACCCTGATGCTTTGGGAGTCCACCTCTAGAAATGACATATTTTTGGCTCTCTGGGCATGTAATCTTGGGACATTTCTGGGTAGCCTTGAAGTTAAATCCTTGCATAATTTGATATGATGTTTGAGCAGAAAAAATACAGATCTGATTATGAGAAGCGGAAAGATAAATACCACCTAGTAGTCGATGAGCCTAGACATCTGCTGGCTAAGATCGCAGGCGACCAGATCAGTCAGGTACTGTGGTGCGGCTGGCTGGCGGCCACACGGGACTGTGCTCCAGCTTCTCATGAGATGTCGTCCTGTCTGCCGCAAGGATGTCATAGGTTTTGCCTATGATATTGGGATGTTCTGTTTCAAAGTATCTGTCTAGCCACCCAAAGAGCCCATGAGCTATTTGAGTGTGCCAGTCCGTGCTCTGTGTGCTCACGTGTGCTGTGGTGAAGACGGAAAACAAAAGTTGGGTCTTCCCCGCTTCGCTCCTCTGGAGGGCCTGTTTGTAAGCTGCAATTATAAACTGCAAATTGAGTGGCAAAAGCAAAAAACAGAGACAAATTAATAGAAGAAAAGAAGACAGAATTCCTTTCTGTATTTTCCTGTTCTAATGGTATCTTCTTTTCTATAAGGCAGTTTTGGTGGGACTAGGCATGTCGTGCCCACAAGGACTAGGGATGGTCAGTGCAAGTATGGCAGTCATTCTGCTTGGTATCACAATATATTTGGTGTCTTCACTCACACGTCCATGTGAGCACAAGGAGTGTGTGGGCCTACATCTCTTCACTCACAAGTGATGGGGATATAGAGCCATGTTCTCTTCTGTCTTCCTAAGCCTCTTATGTGCTTCACTGCTCTTTGCATGAACAGAAAAAATATAAATCTAGTGCCAAGATGTTTCTGCAACATGGATGTAATGAAATTCTTCGTCCAGACATGTTGACTGCCCTCTACAACACACACATGTGGAGCCAGGTAATGTCTGCTGTGATGTGAAGAAGAGACTGAGAAGCCTCGGGGACATTCACCTTTTGGCTTTCCTTGGTGTCCTTCCCCTGCCCCCCTGCCCAAGCTGATTTCACATGTAAAGCTGCACATGTGTTCATTCCTTGTTAATGAACTCCAGTGTGGCCAAGGGCACTGGCGCGGCAGCCATCCCCGTGTGTCCTTCGGCTCCTTTGGAACTCCTCATAAGATTCACTGAGACTTTTTCAAACTTTATTTCCAAGTTGGTATAACATTAATTTATATTTTTCAATACATGCTCCAAAGTAATAGATTCCTTGAAGAGTAAGGATATTAAGTAGATTCAACAACACAAAAGATCTGAATAATATGTTTCCATCTCATCTGTCCATTGTTCAATGATCACTATAACTGGACCATTTGGGAGAGACGTGGCTCTTTGACTCGGATGCTGAATTTGTTAGGTCATTTCCAACACATCTGTCCTCACACATACTTCTGAATAACATTGCTGACCGCTTTGCCTTCCTACAAGGTCAGCTGAAGCCCACACCCGACCTTTCTTTCACCTTTGAAAAAGCTAAAAACAGTGATAATTGCTTAACTACCAGATGCAATGTTAGTAAAATGACATGGTTCCCACACAAAAGCTTTTAATCATCCTTTTATATTAGCAACTTGTTTTGTCACTTTAGTTTGACATCTAATCAACATGTAAAATGAGGGAGATGACATCCCCTATGAACATTCTCTTTGCCTGAACGTGTCCTTTGTCCTGATATGACCATCCTGGAGTTGTGCATGAAATATTGTTCTTTTTGTATCTGTTCTGCTTGAAATGGCTTATGTGCACGGAAAACATCATGACCTGGAAATTACAAAAATGAATGTCTTTTTAAAAATTATAAATACTTTAAACTCTGTATACAGTAGTCCCCCCTTATCCATAGGGGATATGGTCCAAGACCCCCTCCCCCAGTGGATGCCTGAAACTGGATAATATCAAACCCTTATATATTCTATGTTTTTTCCTATACATACATACCAATGGTAAAGTTTAATTTATAAACTAGGTACAGTAAGAGATGAACAACAGTACCTAATAATGAAATAGAACAATTATAGCAATATACTATAATACAAGTTATGTGAATGTGGTATCTCTCTCTCAAAATATGTAATCATACCATGCTCACCCTTCTTGTGACGATGTCAGATGGAACAATGCCATGATGAGATGATGTGAGGGGAATGACATAGGCACTGTGACGTGGCGTTAGGCTAAGAGTGACCTGGCCACACATCAGGAGGAGGAGCGCCTGCGTCCCGACCACGGTCAACCGTGGGGAACTGAAGCCTCAGGAAGTGAAAATGTGGATAAGAGGGGACTACTGCACTCATTTTTTATTTTACATCTGTCCCATCTTTGATATGGAAACATACTTTGAGAGATCATACATATTTGATGCAGCATATTGTGAGTGAAGCATTACTTGTCAGTGTCAGAGAACAAGGGTCTAGTCCTGGCTCTGAGATTCACTATGTGCCCTTAGCTCAGCCTCTTAACCTCTCTGGGCTTCAGTTTCTACATGTATAAAATATATGGAAAATATCATTTATTATTATTATTATTATTATTATTATTTGCTCATTCCATTACACTATTGCAATCAAACACAGATGTATATCAAGCATCTCCAGTTAGGACTGAAAGAGAAAGCATGATACCATCCCCCACATCTGTGATTTATAACCTAATCCTACTATTTGCTGTGGGACTCTCTCAAGAGGAAAATTAGATTCCTTAAAGCCCACTACTATTCTGCTTCAAGTTAACTCGCTCTTCTCTTCTACGATTTAGATCAAATACAGGAAAAACTATGAAAAATCAAAGGACAAATTCACCTCAGTTGTGGACACCCCAGAACACCTGCGTACCACAAAAGTCAACAAACAGATCAGTGATGTGAGTACAAGAAGCACTGAGCGGGTTCTCAAACACGGAGGGGCATTTTAGATTGTCACAAGGTTTGGAAGACTCTACTGCCATTTAGTCGGAGGGAGGCGGGGATGCTAAATATCCTGCTATGCTCAGGACTCTTCTTTTCAATACAGAATTATTCCAACCAAATTGCAGACACCCCATGTTAGAGGCACCAAGGCCTTAGCAGAAAGGATGAAAGCACCTGTTGAGTTTAAAGAAGCCTCTTTCCTTGGTGTCCACTCAAAAAAATACCCTTTGCATTTATATTTCTACATTACATTACGTTGTAAATAAAGATGCAGAACGTTGTCTTGTGCTTTTCCATCTCGTTCAGATACTTTATAAGTTGGAATACAACAAGGCCAGGCCCAGAGGCTACACCACCATCCATGACACGCCCATGCTGCTGCATGTCCGAAAGGTCAAGGATGAAGTCAGCGACGTAAGTGACCGAATGGCTTTGCAGCCCCTCTCATCTTGCCCTATTTCTAATGGGATCTAACAAACCTGGTCCAGTTATCTCTTCCTGTGTAACAGTCCCCCTAAAACTTAGTGGCTTAAAACAGCAGTCATCTTCTTTGGCTCATGGTTCTGAGAGCTGACTGGGCACAGCTGAGTGGACCCTCTGCTCCATGTGCTGTTGACAGACAGCTGGAGCTCTGGTGGGCTGGGACCTCCAATGGGGCTCACTCACATAGCTGGCAGTTGACAACTGCTGTGGACTGGGAGCTCCGCTGTGGTGTAGACGGGGTTGCCTGCATGAGGTCTTTCCATGTGGTTTGGACATCTCCCAGCACAGTGGCTGGGTTCCCAGAGGCTGGAGTAGAAGCTTCCAGGCCAGTGAAGGCCTATTCCTGGAACTGACACAGAATCATATTTTCCTGGGTGTCACACACACCCAGATTCAAGGGGTGAAGAGATAAATGTCACCTCTGGATAAACAATACCGAGGTCACATTGAATAAAAACATGTAGCCAGGGTGGGAGTAGAGATATTGCTGAGGCCATTTGGAAGTGTGCATTGTGCCATAAATGCCATCCATGCTCTGTAAGCCTTATCTTGACTAAGAGGAACAAGGTAGCCATTAAATTCTAGTACTCTGAACTGGAGGAGAAATTATATTAATAAATTCTCAGATATGTAGCTAGATTCTGTGGTTGAAAACTATCATCATTTTGGTTTTAAATAGATGAAATATTTAAAGAACTCCATGGCTACATGGGCACCAGAAAGACTATAAAGGCAACTGTGGATTAGCCCATTCCTGCTGCAAAGCCTTACTATGGCTTCTGCTCAGGACTTTTTGGTAGATGCATAAATGTGTTCACCTGTTGACCCTGAGTTGCCATGAAAAACATTAAATACATTCAGTATTATGAAGGTAGAAATGTATAAAACATTTAAAAAATATTTTCATGTGAAAATAAGTTTTGGCACTTCACTACGTGTTCATAGACATCTATTGGATAGATCCTTTGTGTGGAGCAGCCCATCTCTTCCCACTACAGGAAAAGTGAGGCATTTCTGCATCCATTTCCCCTAAACTTTCTAATTATAGCAACAACCTGAGATATGGGTGAAAAATAAGGATTTCCAGGCCTTTCCCCTAAAGATACTAAGTCTATGGTGAAACTCAGAAAACTGTGATTCATATGACCAGGCAAATTTAATAATACTACTAGGCTTCCTTAAAACAGTTTCATTTGAGACTTAACCGCATTAAAACCTGGGATTCTTCTGCATCAATTAGTGAGTATGCCCTAATGGGGACCCCAGGTCCTGAAATTGAAGAGTAACAAAAGTAGGTAAAGTAGAGATCCCAGCCCAGGATGGGTGAGCACCTGCTGGGCTCACAGAGGCAAAGCCGTCCTGACCTCCTCTCTCCCGTCCAAACCCACACATGCCCGAACTTGCCAGATATGAGACTCCAGTGGTAACTGTGGTGGTGACGGCATCCACCAGTTCATTCATTCACCCAGTATTTATGGGGTTCCTATGTGCCTGATGCTGGGAATGAGAGGACAAATGATACACTCTCAAGGGGTTCAACTTAATGAAAGAATAGACAAAGAAATAACAACAACATGACATAACAGCCAGAACTCTGGGGGCCTGGGAGGCAGACAAGACTAATTCTGGGTGGGTGTGCTGTTGGGGGAAAGCTCTCTTCCATCCGCAGTTTTCAAAATGTTCTGAACTCAGAATTTTCTGATTTGGGGAAGGGCGGACACATGTGGATGGCTGTGCAAATGGCCCTTTTGGCCGAGGCTCAGGGGACTTAAATCCTATGGTGATTCTGGCAAACATGTATCCTGAGGGGCTGGTTTTTTAAAACCTGAGACAGGAAAGTGCATGTCTGCATCCCCTCTTCACAGATTTGTTCTGTCCGAAAGAGCACTGGGGACTATAGTCACGGTTTTAAGTTCTTGTTTTTTAAAATGCTTACTAGGCCATTATAAAGAATTAACCTTGTTGCTGTGTTTCCTCACACAGCTGAAATACAAAGAAGTTTACCAGAGAAATAAATCCAACTGCACCATTGTGCCCGATGCTGTCCATATCAAAGCAGCCAAGGATGCCTACAAAGTCAACACCAATGTAAGTTCCAGAAACATCTCCAAGCCTAGCAGGGGATTCGTCAGCTTCTTCAGGACAGCAACCTCTCTTTATATGGCTTCAAGTGATTGGGCTCTAATGAGTCCGGATCAAGAGTTAGGTTGGCCCTGGATCATGAATGACGCTGAATCTAAATGCTGCCTTTGGTTCTCACACTGAAGGAGAATGGGGAACAGCAAGAGGGGCCTAACCCTGTGCCACTGATATTACACCCATATGGCCTTCGCAGTAGGTATCTGAGAAAGAGGAGATTTAACCGAGAAATCAAAGTTAATTATGGGAAGTGTCTCAGCATCTTTCATTCCTTCCACCCTCCATGTTCTCCTGCCCCAAACTCTAGATCCCACCTCTAATGGAAAAAAAAAAAAATTTGTAGTCACTAAGTGCTGTCAGGAGTTGGCCTAGACCTTCCTCCTGCTCAGATCTCCCTGTACTGATTCATCTCTTCGTAGTGGGGTATCTTAAAGCCTCGGCCACAGAAACAATTTCGTGCACTTACACGAGTATCTGTTGGTCTGTAAGCTCCTGAGGGGGCTTCCTGCATATTCAGAGGCAGTCAGAAGGAAGAGGCAGGCCCCTCCAGGTTGGTCGGCGGTAGGTGTGATAAACAAAGGGAACTTACATATGACGCTTGTCTTGGGCAGCCACAAGACAAGTAGATCTCTGTACCCGACCACCAAATCTTACAAGTTTTATAGAAACCTTAGCTGGATTCAGTCATGTATACCCAGATGGTCCCAGCACCACTATCACTATCCTTGAGGCAGGCTCTGGGAGCAGGGAACCCACATTCCAAGGACAGAGGTGGGAATAAGGAGCCTCTGATTGTTGAGGTCCAGCTCATGGGTCAACTGGCGATCACATCCTTTTGGAAGATATTCCCTAACAGTATTTACTTTAAAAAATATAAAATGGTTACATAATGTAATTTATAACCAACTAGTGCTCACTAGTGCCTATATATTTATTAGGACCAACAAACTGAAATGCCTATAGGGGCTGGAAGGAGGCTTACAGGTGTCCTGAGGATGGGTTGAGGGATGGGTTGGCAGAATGGATATGGGAAGAAGCAAATGCAATAAAACATACCTTACAGAATCCAGGCAGTGGGCATATGGGCATTCTCTGTAAGATTCTTGCAACTCTGGTGTATATTTGAAAAAGGTCACAATAAAATAGGGAAGAAAAACTTGCCAAATAATATACATAATAGCATGCATGGTTTATTGTGTGTAAATTATACTTTGACAAAAGAGAGAGAAAGAAAAAGAAATGTGCCTGATGGTGAAAGCTCTTCCCAAGGACACTCACACTAAGTTACAGACAGTCCTGTGCTGCAGAACTGGCCTGAGGCCATCAGTTCTGGAGCTCACACGGGAAGTCTGGGAAGTGCACTTCCGCAGCCAGACTGCCCAGGTTGGAATCCCAGCTCCACCATTTACAAGCTGGCTCACCTTGGGGGGCTATTTAACCCTCTAGGCAACTCCTTGGCTGTCGATCTCATGCCATTGTTATAAACATTACATGAAGTAACATTTATAAATCACTTAGAAAAGTGCCTAGCATGAGATAAATAATATAAGGGTTTAATAATTTTTTAAAATTAAGCCTGAATTTAGTTAGAAGTTAAAAGTACTTGACTATGAAGATGATTAAACTCTACCGATGATGTTAGATTGTAGAATCATTTCACCTGGAGGCCTTTAAAATTTTTAGCCCCTATTTTGAGACCAAGGGGTTCCACAAGATGACCTCTTGAGTAGTCGACCAGTGGCATAAATTGTACAGACATTTTAATGGGGTTTTCTCTGGTGTAAAGAACCATGACTTACTGTATGCTGAATGCAAGAGGAGTCCTCTGTGCCACACATGTGGTTATGAATTCAGCCCCCCGAATGATTTATTTCATCTCGTTAACAGCTGGACTACAAGAAGCTGTACGAAGCCAGCAAAGCCCACTGGAGGTGGATCCCCGACAGACCGGACTTCATCCAGGCCGCCAAGTCATCCCTGCAGCAAAGCGATGTGAGCTAGACGGTCGGGACTGCATGACACACCTGAGCCAGGACAATTCATAACGATTCAAATGCCCACTGCTGCGGGGGTAACCCTGGCTCATTTGTGACCCGAGAAGGACAGGAGTGCTGTGGGGAGTGGGAGGCAGGCTTAGCAAGCAGACCTCAGGGCCTGGGCTCCCATGGCTGGGCCCAGACACAAATGGTTCCGAGTCCTGAGTGAGGCTGAGCAGGCTGGGGTGACTTGGTCCTGGCCGCGGGGCTGGGAAGGAGGAGCCCAGCACGCAGTGAGGGGCCCAGAAGCCCCCGCACCCGTTCGGGCAGCAAGTGGTCCGAGTGCAAAGAGGAGGACTCCTGACAGGTCACTCGAATGCCAGCTTCCTCCTGTGCCTGTCACCTTTTCCACCTTCCTCTGCCTTTGTTCTGTTACAGTTTGAATATAAGCTGGACCGAGAGTTCCTCAAGGGTTGCAAGATTTCTGTAACTGATGATAAAGACATGGTGCTGGCGCTGAAGAATTCCTTAATAGAAAGTGATGTAAGTATCCAGCCCCTCCGATGATGCCTGGCCTCCCTGAGGCCTGTCTTCTGCAGCTCAGCCTCCAGGGACTCCAAGGAAAGGACAGAGGAGGGCTGTGCTGGAGGAGCTCAGGGTGCAGGTCCTGCACAACCGCCCCTCTCCCAGTGAACCAGAGACAGGGCAGAGCAGGGCAGCAGCATTGGAAAGCTGTTAAATCCAGGAGACAGTTCTTGACTTATCCGGCACCTCAAGGTAATTCACACAGCCGAAATCGGGGACTGAAGGCCTGGCTGGGTTCTGTAAGGAAACAGTCGTTTATGTGCAGTAATAGTCCATGCTTCAGTTTCCTCATCTGTAAAAGAGGAATAATAATTCCTCCCAGGGCTTGGAAGAGGGTCAGATAATATGTTTTAAAGTGCTCTGAACTAAGGCTGTGTTGTAAGATTTATCATGAGAGCAGTTTTGATTGTTATTAAAGCCTCAACTTGGAAGAAATAAAGAAAATCCATGTGTATGTTTCCCAAGGTTTCCAGACTTCAGATCTTTTTAGTTTAATGTTCCTACTCTGTCAACAATGCTGTTCTCCCAGTTAGCTAATGACTTAGGGGCTTAATAAATATATGCAGGACATGCAGAAGAGCTAAAGAAATGTATTTTCACCCCTGCAGCTGAAATACAAAGAAAAACACGTAAAGGAAAGAGGAACCTGTCATGCTGTGCCTGACACTCCTCAGATCCTCCTGGCAAAAACCGTCAGCGGTCTGGTGTCCGAGGTAAGCCCCCAGCAACCACAGGCTCTGCTTCCACCTCCGGCTGATGCCCCAGGCAGGCCTTCTAACGAGTGCTCTGTGGATTCCCTCAGAACAAGTACAAGGACTACGTCAAGAAGCACTTGGCCCAGGGCTCATACACAACACTGCCGGAGACCCGGGACACTGTTCACGTCAAGGAAGTGACCAAGCACGTCAGTGATGTGAGTGACAGCCCCGGGACTCCTGGCAACAGCAGTGCCACTTAACCTTAGAACCCAGCGAAAGACTGCAAGCTGCCTTTTTCCTTACAAACACTTTCCTCTCTGTCACTTCACTCTTACCTTCAATACCTATAGGTCAATTTTAAACTTGGCTTTAAAAGAGGACTCAGTATATATTGGCTTTCCAATTAGAACAACTATGGTAGATGTGGGTTTTGCCCTGGGACATGTTATGTGCATTGTAAGATGTTCCTGACCTAATGTTAGTAAGGGGAGGAAGCATTGCTGATTAAGAGTGGCCTCTGCTAGCATTAAGCTGCTGAACAATTTTAGAGCAGTAAAATCACCTTATTGCAGCTTCGTAATCTCTGCCCAATAATCATGGTACTGTATTTTTGAGCACTTTATGGTTCCATATATTTTTAAAAGGTAGAAATGGTAAATAAAGGAGCTTCGTTGGCATGCAGTCAGTACTTCAGAGACTGCTGTGTATTTCAAGTGTTGGATTCCAGGGCAGAAATGATGAGGAAGGACTAGAATATGGATCAGAGGTCCAAGTTCTAGGCTGATTCCAAAATGGGGAGCCATGGATTTTCCCAGAGATCTGACAGTTCTTTGAAGAAGTCAATTCTGCTCCCAGCTTCCTCTGCTCACATAAGTAATTCTGGCTTTGTAGACAAATTACAAAAAGAAGTTTGTCAAGGAGAAAGGGAAGTCCAACTACTCCATCATGCTGGAGCCCCCGGAGGTGAAGCACGCTATGGAGGTGGCCAGGAAGCAGAGTGACGTGAGTTCCCCTGCCCACACTCTCAGGGTCCGCTTGGGCCAGTGGACGCCAAGGTGGTGCGTCCTGAGCTGGTCCCAGGGAGCAGTCACCCTAATTTCTATATCTGGTAGTTAAAAAACTATGGTAGTTGGATTGCTTTGGTTTTAATAAAAAGGTTCATTGTGCTAAATGAGAACTTTTTAAAAGACATCTCTCTCAGGTGAATAAACATTTTTTTCTCCAAATAAAGGTTGCTTACAAAAAAGATGCCAAAGAAAACCTGCATTACACCACCGTGGCTGATCGGCCAGACATCAAGAAGGCCACACAGGCCGCCAAACAGGCCAGCGAGGTAAGGTGTGGTTAAAATGTCACCTGGTCCTGGAGGGTCGCTGCCAACAAGCAGCATGGGGCACTCACCACCCAGAATGCATTGCCCACTTTGGTTTTCTTTGATTCAGGTGGAGTACAGAGCCAAGCACCGCAAGGAAGGCAGCCATGGGCTAAGCATGCTCGGCCGCCCGGACATTGAAATGGCCAAGAAGGCCGCCAAGCTGAGCAGCCAGGTAAGCAGGTGGGAGGGCGGCAGCTCGCATGTGAAAAACCTTGCAGGAAGAAGTTCATTTCATTTCCCAGAATGAACGTGCAATAGAAGCAACCAAAGAGATACTGGGTCTTTGATAACCCTGCGGAGCTTTGAAAAGTTATATCTTATGAAACATACTGCGGACCCTCTCTGTCCTTTCCCTCCAATGTCTGTAGGCCTGTCTGGTTCTCCACTTTGCCATTTATGGACATGGGTCTAGGTGTTCATGTGCTTAACTATCTTCATGTGGCAAAAACATCAGCTCTCAAGGTCCTGTTGGAACCTCTCCCCAGGCAGCGATAGTTATATCCCAGGGGTCTGATTCAGATTTGAGTCATCCGATGCGGACAGATTAACATGTGAGAGTCGTGAAATTCTAACTTTTAGAACCCAGCCAGATGCAGCCACATTAATTCTTTCCATAACATGCTTATACTGAATGCCTGGCCTAGGGGTGAGCAGATGTCCTCAGATATATGTCCATGGATAAACAGTTACACTTTGGGATGACACGTGTTCGGGGAAGGCACAGTGTGCTGAGGGGAATGAGTACTTCATTCCAGCAGATTTCATACTATTGAGATTTCAACTATTGCATATTGTTGCCCAAACCTGATTACCACAGTACCAAAGTTCCCTTGTTAGACCAATTACCTAGAATACCCCCAGGTTATGGCAAGTTTTCAGACTTTAGCTTAAAGACCCCATGTTCTACCAGATCTTGCAGAGAGCAAGTTTTAATCCTGTAGGACTTCAGCTCAGGAATATCTTTATTTCTCCTCTGATTTAGAGATCCTACCTTCTTCTTCATTATCTGTTCTCTTAAGTGTTTGCTCTCTCACCTGTTTTGAAGAACGGTCTGGGATACGTGTGGCTGTCACCTACACTGCGTTTCAGTGGGCTAATCTTGTGTCCTGCTATAAAGTTGTGAGGGAGCAAAGGGGTGCTGATTCTAAATGTCCCTGGAGTCCAGTCTGACTGCATGACTGGACCCTGGTACGCTCACTTTGAATGTGAGTCTGTTATCTTGGCAACAACGGAAAATCTAGGTTTCCCAGAGGGTCAGATAGTGCCATTTTATTGGACCAACATTCAGAAATAGTTCATTTTTCATTCTTTCTGGAGTGAATAACAATACATGGAGTTACATCTCTCAACTTCATCCTAGAATAGTGTTGACAAAGGCATTTGTCTTTTTCAATAAGGAAGTGTTTTTGTCACTTTTAGTTTATTCTGTTGAATTTTCTGATAAATAAATCATCTTCAGCTGTTTTGCCTATGCATAATGACTGTCTCTTCCTTTCATTCAATCAAATCACATTTATTGAGCAACTACTAATGCTGGCATTATGCTTATCTTTTAAATCGATGTTGTTTAATCCTTTGCATATTCTCTTCTATGTGTCCTGAAAGTATATTTAATTTTATTTTTCTCATTATTCTAAAATATCTCACTTCTTGCTTTCTTCTAGCCTAAATCATATTGACACCATTAACCCCCACACTGTTCTTTTTCATTTAGAAGTCAGGCCATTTTTTATATCAAATGATAAAGCCAAAAAACTATTTTAAAATAAAAATAAATTGTCTTACTTCCTACCCATCCTGATCGTTGACTACCTGTCTTCGAGCTCCTTATAGTAGCCCTAAAATGCTTTGGTTTTGCCCATGAGAAGAGCCAAAACTTGAAATCAAATGCATTAGATTACTTCTCTCAATTTAGCCTAAAGCCTTTTTCTATTTACTTTTGTTTTGCATTAAAAAGAGGTGATACTATAAAATGGATACTATAAAAATGAGCAAGGCAAATACTTAATCACTTGATCTTATTCTTTTTTTTTCCGTTGTACCTTTTGATCTTATTCTTGATCACCTGTTATCCCAACGTAATTATTCATAATGTTCCCTTTTAGTCCTGAAAGTGCCCTTTTTGAGTAATAAGCTATATGATCACTTTATGATTAACACATATAATTTTGCGTTTCTATTTCCTCCATGCTTCAGTCTTCAAATTAATTGATATTCAGGAGTAATTTGGAATTTCCCATTTGCTGTTAGGTTAAATACCGTGAAAATTTCGACAAAGAGAAGGGCAAGACACCAAAATACAATCCCAAAGACAGCCAGCTCTACAAAGTCATGCAAGATGCTAACAATCTTGCGAGCGAGGTATGTTTTTTTTTAATTGTGGTAAAACATGCAACATGAAATTTGCCATTTTAACCATCTTTAAGTGTTGAGAGACATTAATTACCTTCACAATGTTGTCCAACTACCACCATTATTTCCATCACCCAAACCAAAACTTTTATGTCACCCCAAAGAGAAACCGTAACTATGAAGCAGTGACTCTTCCTCCTCGCCTCCAGCCCCTGGTAACCTCCATAACTTTGCTTCTGTGGACTTGCCTATTAGAGATTTACTGTAAGTGGAATCACATAATATGTGTCCTATTTTTTTGGTCTGGCTTATTTCACGTAAGATACATTTTCAGTGTTCATCCATGCTGTAGCATGTGGCAAACTGACTTCCTTCCTAACTACTCTTCAGCTACCACGAGTGAGGCTGAGGTATGGCTCTTCACCACCATCTCCAGCGTCTGTTCCAGGATGGAGTGTCTTACTAGGGTTTCCCTTAGTACTGTCGTCCGTTTCCTGTTTATGTGTTTTTCTTTTCCCCCCTCACAAATAGGTTAAGTACAAGGCTGACCTGAAGAAACTCCACAAACCTGTGACTGACATGAAGGAATCCCTGATAATGAACCACGTCCTAAGTACAAGCCAACTTGCCAGCTCTGTAAGCCCAGGCCTTTGCTCCAGCGGGGGCTTGTCTCACGCGTCTGCGGCTCAGCTCCCGCTGTGCTCACAGGCCTCTCCTTCTCCTCCGCCGAGGCACTACGTGGCTTGGAAAGCTCTCTTGCTTGGCTGTGTTCTTCCCAATCACAAGAGCAATCTGCCAGTTCTCCGCTGGCTATGACGCCTCTCAGAATGTAGCAGTGCTTCTGTTTTACAGATATTAATTAAGTATTTTTTTTTTACAATTAACCAATCCCTTTCCTCTTTCTAAGTACATAGAATTAACATTTGGAATAATTTCTTTCACTTTTCACTTATCAACCTTATTTTGAATAAACTATATAAACTAATTAGGTTACATCCTGTATTAACTGACAATACTGAGCATGGATCTATGCTTTAAAACATTCTCTTAACCCCTGTTAAGCGTTTGCTGATTTTAATTTGGTCTCAGCAATGCTGCTGTGTTGTGTCTAATCTAAAGAAGAAAAATAAGAATGCCAAGCAGCTTTCCCATCAATGTGCCTTTTTTTTCCACCTTCCCCTCAGTACCAATACAAGAAGAAATATGAGAAGAGTAAAGGCCATTACCACACCATACCCGATAACCTGGAGCAGCTTCACCTAAAAGAGGCCACAGAGTTGCAGAGCATAGTAAGTGGACCAAAACTGACTTTTTTCCTGATGCACATTCATCTATAATGTCAAGAATTTTCATGGAGGCCCCTCTCAGGACAGTAGTTATAGTTTTAGTAACTATTGTTTGAGAAAATGCCTAAACATATAAAGAGCTTTGAATTTAGGAACATTTTGAAACAAATTTTATGTTATAAATAACAACATGGGACATCTATGGGAGAAATAGTGCATATCCATGTGATATGTGTTATTCAGGTTACTGATGGACTGGAAGCATAAAGAGTATGTGACAAGGAGGACAAATCCCTTACAGTAACCCTATTGTGCCCCCCATGAGTCTGTACCCCAGTTTAGGAAACATTACAATGGATGATAGAGAGCCTTAGGAGGACTTTGAGCACAGAAGTGATATGATCAGATCTACCACTGAAGTAGCCTCTGGGAATTTAAGAAATTACAAAATTTGTAAAATAATTAAGAATCTCAGAGGAAAGAGCTTGCTATCACATGACAGCCACTGCCACAAACTCAGCATTATTTAGGTTCCTTGTCTGGCATTAACCAAAGGGCTAACTTATTAGAAATGTCCTCCTGTCTTCTGTAAAGCAGCACGTGCCTCTGGGCCTCTAATGTGTTTGTTCTAAGCCAGAGAGCTGAGACTGAGCGCTGTCATTAGGTGCTCTGACTCTCCGACTTCCAATTTCTCCTCTATGACTATCTGTAGTTTCCCCTCATTCCTAACCATGTGGTATGAGAATGAGGAAATTGTATTTGTAAAAAAGCCTTGGGGGTCTTTTTTGGAATATTGGATTTATTAGTAAGTCAGTCACTAGTCATAAGCTAGTTTTCACTTTTATACCAATTTATATTGGCTGCATTAAATAAGTGCCTGGTTATGACCTAGATTGAGTTATTGACATATAAATAAAGTTATGTGTGTTATCTATTAAGTCAAGATCCCAGATTTCTGATACAAGTTCTTATAACGGAAGAACTGGAGATGTTCTCAGAAATACTGACTGATGCTCTGGTAAAAATGTTGACATTTATACATCCAATCTTGGCCCACCTTCTCTATGGGCAATTTTCCCATGCATTTCCTTGCATCGGTGTTTCTCTGAGCTGATTCTTCCACAGTGAGTCTTTTGTCTCCATGAATTGAACACAAATCCTGATGATGCCCTGGAGAAAATAATGGCATTTTCCTCCCAGACAACAGTGAAAAGGTACTGGATCTGAAGCGCAACAGGAAGCCGTTTTGAATGGCAAGGAGATGGCGCCCAATTAGACATAATGTATCATTTAAAAAATATGATCCCTTAACTGGTCTCTGCCTATGAATTGCTCAGAAGAGAGTATTAATAAGGCTTTTCATCACTAGGTGAAATACAAAGAAAAGTATGAAAAGGAACGAGGAAAACCCATGTTGGACTTTGAAACACCAACATACATCACCGCCAAGGAGTCTCAGCAGATGCAAAGTGGGGTAAGTCTTATGAAAACGCACCACACACCTCACATACCGATGAGCCGAAGACAGCAAACTGCCCACAGACGCAGGCAGCCTCCTGTTACCCAAAAGTTGAAGATGGGACTTCTTAACATGTGATCACTGAAATCTTTTCCATCTCAGAAATCTCATGGTTCAGTTATAAAAAAAGGTTCTGGCTAGTAAACATTTACCATATGTTTTATTGCAGCTATCATTTTCATGGTATTAGAATGTAGTAAACAATTCTTAACACCAAAACAGATCATATTGAATATAATATAAATTTTTCTTCAATGAGGGAGAAGTTCCCTCTGCACAGACCTACCATGGGTTTTGCATTGCTCTTCTCTTAACAGGAAGGCCTCAACCAAGGGAGGTTAGACCAAGATGTTTATGAATACATCAGAAGTCAAGATGCCATAGTTCTAATTTTAGGAATGTAAGCAAAGGCAGCAAAAACATCTTTTTTTTTCCTTTTTAACAAATAATGGAGAAGAACTGGGTCTTGTTTTGAATCATAGAAAGTCTGTTTATTTTGGGAAATAGGCTTGTTTTGGATTTCTTTTTCCCTTTCCCCCAAAGGGCATATCTTCAATTATAAAGATAAATGGCTTTTAATAAAAGAAGCAGTTTGTGCAGAACAACATTAGAGTCATAGACACTGAGAAGGAACTAGTGGTTACCAAGGGGAAGGGGCTGGGGCAAGTAGTGGAGGAGGGGATAAAGGGGCACAATAATTCACAATCACAATATAAGTTGATTAAGGGGACAGTAGCACAGCGTGGAGAATATAGCCAGTGATTTTGTAACATCTTTCTACATTGATAGTAACTGCACTAGAGGAGGTGAAGACTTGATAATGGGGGTAACTACTGAACTACTGTGATGTACAACTGAAACCAACTTAAGATTGTATATTAACAATACTTTAATATTTAAAAATGTAAAGAAAGAAGAAAAGGAGAGCAGCAGTTTGTGGAGCTTTCTGGTGTACATAATGCCAGATAATCAAAAGTTTAAAATTGTTTCAAACAGCTGGTCAATCTGGATGGAGGATCTAAGAGAGTTCCTAGTACTATTCTTGCAACTTTTCTGTAAATCTAGAATTCTATCAAAATTAAAAGTTACAAAAATGGAGTTCCAACATTTATTCCAAGCCTCCTGGTCGACACCTAGTCCAGGGATTGGAGAGAAAGTAGAAGAGGTTGTGGCCCTTTCTCTCAACAGTGGACAAAGCCTTGGGATTTCTATGTGCCTTATTGTCCACCTTATCTATTCAGTGATTAAAAACATTAGATCAATGGGGGGAGTCTAGTAAACATAATGTTGCTCATGTAATTGTAGATTAATGATACCAAAAAAAACCCCAAAAAACATTAGATCATTATTATGAAAAAGGCTAAATTTGCATTTGGCATCCTGTTTTTCTTCCCCTGGGTTGCTTTATTTCCCTTGTGTTACTTCTGGTTCAGAAGAAAAATCGTTTAAGAAAAGCATCATCTGGAGAGATGATAATGGATTCAGAGACTTGATGGCATGTCCGTGCTTCCACTCTTGCTGCGGGCACCCCCATCACAATGTTAGACAGGTGAATGCGGAGCCCAACGCAACTTTTGCAGCCTGTGACCCTCCTTGGCACTATTTTCTCTAGACAAAGTACTTTCAGAACAATCAGACCCATTTCAAATGTGTGACCATTTGCAGAACTATGATCAAGTAAGAGGCCATACATGGAGAGAAAATGCTGTGACTTCTATTCTTCCTAGGATTGAGAAATAAATTGTAACAAAGATTCTTTTTTAACTTGGTCTTTCTTTCCTATTCACAATAGAAAGAATATAGGAAAGATTATGAAGAGACCATTAAAGGCAGAAACCTGACTGGCCTGGAGGTCACACCAGCTTTATTACATGTCAAATATGCAACCAAAATAGCCAGCGAGGTAGTGCCCACTTGGTCTTTTTCTTTCCCTCTTGATCCAAATAATTACGCTAATGACACTCATCAATGTGTTTCATCTACCGTTTTCATCACCACTAACTTTGTGGGTTTTAAGTGGGGCTCACATGTGATTAGTGCTATTACCTCTGTTAATTCCCCTAATTTTTCAATTGAGGACCTAATAAAATGTGCTTGCCTCAGCATTCTATTAATTTCTAGTTTATTTGATATTTAAGATTAACTGATGAAGCTCATGCCTTGCCTATACTCATATCTTTAATTACTAAACTGTAACTCTTCAGAAATTGGAAGGATATTTTTGCCTTTTGGATTTTTGGCTCTTCACCTAAGAAGAACAATCCAGTTTTCATGTCAGCACTGTTGTTTTTATTTTGTGATCTAGAAAGAGTACAGGAGAGATCTGGAGGAAAGCATCCGTGGGAAAGGTCTCAGTGAAATGGAAGATACACCTGACATGCTAAGAGCAAAGAACGCCACTCAGATCCTCAATGAGGTAGGCCCCCAGCCAACTGCATGCATGTAGTTAACAGCATCTGTCCTTCCTAGCCAGCTTACACACACAAAAACAGCAGATAAAAAGAGAGTTTTTGAATTTTAAATTCTATATCCAACATGGTTACTCACCATTCCATAAAAATCTCAATTTCTGATGAGTTGATACCAGAATAGTGTGTCTGTAATGGCTGTCATGTCTGATATTTATCTAACAGTATTTGCTTTAACCACGAAGTTCAATCCTGGTTATGTAGCAAACTGGAGTTAAAATGTGCTCACTATTTTAATTTCCCAAGTAGAGAACGCTAAAAGCATCCAAAAGGAGGCCTGATGTTGATTCATGTTCACTCGAGTGTAATAGTTTCCTAAAAGTGGACTTCTGTCCACTTTACTGTCCAAGTCCAAGGTGAGCACTAGCAATTGAGGCGGTATATTATGTGGATTTACAGTCTTTCTGTATATTTATTACATAGTTGTGGAAGTTAGGTGACTTTTTTTTTAATGCTACTATAGAAAGAATATAAGAGGGACCTGGAGCTGGAAGTGAAAGGAAGAGGCCTGACTGCCATGGCCAACGGGACTCCTGACTTTATGAGGGCCAAGAATGCGACTGATATTGCCAGTCAGGTCGGTGTCACTGTTCCACATCAATCTTTTAAAAATATAGTTGTGATCACAAGATCATGACGCTGTCCTTCTATTATCTTACTTGCTGGTCAATGACAGTCAAATGAGTATAGTGGCATTCTTAAACCTCGGCCTGGTGGAATCCGATCCGAGGGAAGAATCCTGGACACTTTGCCAGGCCTGCTCTCATCTGCTGTGATCACAAGATCATGACGCTGTCCTTCTATTATCTTACTTGCTGGTCAATGACAGTCAAATGAGTATAGTGGCATTCTTAAACCTCGGCCTGGTGGAATCCGATCCGAGGGAAGAATCCTGGACACTTTGCCAGGCCTGCTCTCATCTGCATTGCTGAGTCTATAGCCACAGGAGATGTTCAGGGCAAAGGGTGTAAGTTGGGGAACCAAATAGCTTCTTGGAGCTGGGGCAGGCTGACATCCTGGCCTTGTTTCTTAGTCAATACACACTCCGTTTGACACCAAGAATTCCTTGTTTAGAATATTTTGGGAGATCTTTCTTTCTTTTCTTTCAAGGCCTAAATTTGAAACACAGTTTTTAGGCATCCTACGTTGTCTAATACTGATTGATATGGGTCTTTTGCTTACTTGTTCTGCTCCTAGCTCTTCCATATATAAACAATCCTTGCCTTACTATATGTTAATTACCTCGCCCTTCCCCAGCCCTACCAGATACTAAGTCTTTCAACAGCTAGGACTCAATCTTTCTGAACCACACTCTTTAGTGTAAAGTCAGAAACACAATAGGAAAATTATCTGTTGAACATCAAATGAATGAATACTTTTGAAAAGGAAATATCGATCACCTCTTAATCAAACTAAGCCAATAAGTGTTGTGCACATTGTAAACATACACACAATTGTTGGGTGTTCTTTTGCAGATTAAGTATAAGCAATCAGCAGAAATGGAAAAAGCCAATTTCACTTCTGTGGTTGATACTCCAGAAATTATTCATGCCCAACAAGTTAAGAACCTTTCAAGCCAGGTAAGAACATTTTCAGATTATCACTCACAGACCCCAGTCATGAAGAACAAAAGTCTTTCCATTAACACCCAAGTGGGTTCTTTTAAATCACAACTATGCCCAATAAGAGAAGGGACACAGTTGACACTTGTAACAAAGTAGATTATGCAAGGATATTTTCAGGTACTGAAGAATTCTTACTTGGTACCGCCCATAATTAATGAGTCAATATTTAAACATGTAAAGTCTCATAATATGGATGTAGACTTTGTGTGCAAATCTGGAAGAAACAAAGTAGATAGTCCACATCTGGATTATCAATTTCTTTTTCAAGATTGAGGTTATGTCATTAATACCAACCACAGTCTAACCCTCATCCCTCCTATAATGGAGAATTCTTCATCTTTCTACAAATAAAGGAAAGTAAAATGCCCTTCATACACCAGGTTATACCCTCATTTGTTTTAATCTTCCATGGTATCAGGAGTCTGCAATTTATTTGAGTTGCCCCAAATTAGAATTAGACTGGGCAGTCTCTCTCACCTAAGGCTGGGTGATGGTGGGAAAGCCCAAGTGTTGGCTGGCTCAGAGCCTCAGTGGTCAGGTGGTCACAGAGGCCCCAGGTCTAGTTAGTAGAGCCGCCAGTCCTGCCCGATGGATTTCCACAGCCTCAGAGCCCATGTTCTGGAAGTGCTTGCTGGGACAGCCTGCCCAGTCCTGTAGCCAGGAGCCCCAACCACACCTGCTCAGAGCTCAGCAAAAGTTTCCTTGTCATGAGTTAAGGCCAGCTCTCAGGAGGCCTATTGGCAGCTCTTAACCCTCCTGCTTTTTCCCACTCGCCTGCTGGATAGTCTGGCCCCTGGCTAAATGGCCGTGTCCCCTTCACAGTAGGCACCCTCATCTCCCTGCCGGGAGCCCTGTTGGCTGTCACCTCCCTCGTGCGGACCAGCCAGCCAGGGCCTCCCTCTGCCAGCTTTGCCATCAGAGTGGGTCCTAGCAAATGCCTGCACTGAGCTCCCCTGGAAAGAAAAGGCATGGCCTCACTGACCGAGAGGGCTCTGCTTTATGACTCCCTCTGAGGAGCAGTAAGGGATATTTTAGGTCCCATCAGCCCATAATTCCTTTGGTTTTCACCCTCCTTATTTCTTGGGATCTGTTCCCAGAAAAAGTACAAGGAAGATGCGGAGAAGTGCATGTCGTATTACGAAACTGTTTTGGACACCCCGGAGATGCAGAGAGTCCGGGAGAACCAGAAGAACTTCAGCCTTGTGAGTCTTTATTGAGTCTGAGTCACAGCCCCTGGCACCCGGGATGAGGCAGGGCATGGAGGAGGCCTCCGGGCACCCCACTTGGGCATCCCACCTGCAGCGCCCCACCCAACTCTCCTCTGGGCTCGCCTTCCATTTCAGCCCCAAATCACAGCCGGGAAGACCCCTCCCTCACTTTGTTGGTCTATGCCTGTCACTGAGTATGAGCTGAATATCACCATTTCTATTAATGGTGACATCTGTCTTTCAAAGTTAGTTCTAGGCAAGGGATACATTAAAAAAAAAAAAGGAATGGGATTTTAACTTTCTTTATACAATATAGGATACTTAAAAACATATAAAATGATGTTGAAGATTTAACAAGATGTTTCCTTTTTCTTCATAGCTCCAGTACCAGTGTGACCTTAAAAACAGTAAGGGAAAAATCACAGTTGTTCAAGACACACCAGAAATACTGCGGGTTAAGGAAAATCAAAAGAATTTCAGCTCGGTATATTTATTTTTTATTTTCCATTTAATGCTTGCCTAATAAACCCATTATCCTCTTTAAAAATATACTAGCCTCACGTTGATTCAATTAACATTTAACCTCCCCAGTGGCTGTTTCGTAAAATTCCCCATACTTTGCTCTAAAAACGTAACTCCAGAGACCATTTGAAATAACAACTTAAATCTGCTAACAAAGTTAACTGTTCTAATTTTTTTAATCCTAGAGCAGTAACATGTATTGTCTTGCTCCAGGACAATGATTTCTTTTTGACATTGTGATTTCTTTTAGTACCCCTGCCCAAAATAACTGACTTCTCATTTCTTTAATGGATTTTGTGTTGCATAAGGGAGGGCATTTTCTGGTTTTTCTCATCCTGTATTAACACAGTAAAATATTCTTACAAGGAATCTCAATTATTGGAAAAGTGGTGCATGTTACACATATGGTTTGAGTTACTGATGCTGATGTGGAAGACAACAAATACCAGTGTCTGTGTTTTCCTTGTCTTTCTCCTGGAATTGCTGGGGTTTCCTTTCTTCTGTGTAACACTGTCCCAATTCTAAATGCCCAGGTTTTATATAAAGAGGACCTCTCACCAGGAACAGCAATTGGAAAGACACCAGAGATGCTGAGAGTGAAGCAAACACAGGACCACATTAGCTCGGTAAAGACACCCACCCCTTCCTGTCAGTATTTGCTGCCTCCCTCTGATATTTACATTGATGTCTGAGCTACACTAGAAACCCTTGTCACCAGAAGCAGCTGAAGCTGCTGAAATAGGGGCTGTGGTGAGGGGCCCCCTGTAGTGCCATGCAGCATACAGCAGTTCTCCTGACGGGAGGTCAGGTCGGGAGAGGCCTGTGTCAGAGCAACCCAGAGCCGGACAGTGGTTACTGCGGGAAATCCAGGTTTCATCCAGGACTACTGCAGCAGGGGGAACAGAGCTCATATGGCTCAACTGCAAACACAGGAGGGAAAGGTGGGAATTTATGGCCAGAGACTGGGGGGTTAGGGAGACAGGGAGAGCATGGGTGGATGGAAAATTACTCAGAGGAAACTTTAGGGGTTAAGAGGGGACTGTGGCTAAACCTACACAACAGGAGCCTTGCTGGAGGCACAGTAGGGTGATCAGACTTCACCCAGGAGATGGTGGGGAGTGGGGACTTTGGTCAGATATCAAGGGTGATGACATACTGAGCATGGGGGATTCTGGCTAAGCTGACTTAACAGGAATCATGCTAAAACTGTGCAATACAAAGACAGGCTCTGAAACCCAAAAGTTTGAAGTTTAGCTGGGAAGAAGATTCAGAGGAGCCTGATTAAAATTTAGTCAAGGAGAGACCCTTTGTCACTTGTAAGAGAGTAGAGTATGTTCTAGTTGAAGAATCAACTTCCCTGGATATATACATATGTGGTTAATATCTGTCCCAGTCAAATGAGCTGCTGGGTATAAAAACATGGGAGCACACAGGAAAGATAAGGGGCCTCTGGCTAAGCATGGACCCTGACCTACCCCAGCCCTAACTTGGCAGGAGAGAGGTCACATGTCTTTGTCCTGGCATTGTCCTCCAGCCCAGTATCAGAATGGGGCCCCATTCTGTGTTATTTTTAATTGTGACTTTAAATGTTGTGGGGCTACTAATCACACACACACACTTGTTCTGTTTTCATGTCTTCAGGTGAAGTATAAGGAAACAGTTGGACAAGGAACTCCAGTCCCTGACCTGCCTGAAGTAAAACGCATCAAGGAGACGCAGAAGCACATCAGCTCGGTAGTGGCCGCACAGTGGCATGCGTGTGTGCCGCCAGCCACCTCCCAGCTGCTACACTAGCTCGGTCTCATCCCGTCTTCCCCCTCCCAAGGGGCTTCCCATGCCGTGGGGAGGTGACTCCTCACTCAGTCCCACATAAGAAACCTCTGTCTTCACATAATCAAGGAGCAGAAGCGACTTGGTTCTTGACTAACCAACATACCTGCAGTTTCTAATGTAGAAAGTGCCAACAGTAGTAATAAAGTATTGGGATGATCTCAGGTTAGTTAATCAAGAGCTCATACATACAAACATAAAACTAATACAAAATAATTATATATATGCATATATATTATATATATATGCAGAAATGTGTATCTCAGGACATCCTCCACTGCACAGGCCCCTTGTGAAGTCTATGCAGCCTTCTCCCCTCCCTTTTGCGATTCTTGCCTGTCAAGATCCTCGCCGAAGGTGTTTGCACACCTACCCACAATGGTGTATTACAGGTTAGGCCTGTTCTCCGACAGGCATTTCAGGCCCCTGTGCACAATGTGTGTGTGTGTGTCTGTGTGTTGGGAGGGAGGGGGCCCCCACACTTGAAATAATCAGGTTAGATGTACATTTCTCCTGACTTTGTCAAGCTAGCCCTTGCTCTGCATGTACACACACACACACACTTGCCCAGCCATAAGCCGATTCAAAGCAATTTCTGGCTACCAGCAAGACACTGTGAGGTTTGGGAAATAGTTTATGGCCAATGAAAGGTGAGGACTTTGTTCTTAGAGATTCTGCCGGTCACTGGAAGACTGGACTCTCATTTAATTTCCATTAGAAGACATTAATATTTCTCTTGCAAATCATTCATATGACTTAGATCTCATTCCTGTTTCACTCCCTGCCTACACTCTGTCTTCCTCGGTACAAACTTCACGTGGAGTTTTGTGTCCACTACCCCATGAAAACTAGCCCACAGCTCCCTGGTCGCTTCCGATTGCCACTTCTTGCCTTTCTCTGCCTTGTTCTGTTGTCCGTGAGAGCTCTGCTGCCTTGCTGGGTAAAGAAACACAACTTTTTACCAAAATGATAGATTTTTAGAGATCCCCAAAAGTTTCCGAGCAAAACAAAGATAGCAGCACTAGTTTGTCAGTGATTTTAGGAATTAATCTGTGACACAAACCCCTAGGTTTTTCATGTTGCTCCTCACCACATGTCCTGGTACTCCACAGAACCCACCCATTGAGATAGAGCTCATTCATTCCTTCAGGCTGACAATTTTTAACAGTAAGAGGGAAGGAGGAAAAAAGAGGTGAGAGGCGTGGGAAGTTCCTTATTCTTTTCATGAAAGTTTACAGCCTTTGTTACTGTCCCTAAGAAATAGGGAACCCCAGAAGCTGGTTCCAGAAGCACTAGTTCACAATCTAGCAGCCAGCTGCACACATTTCAGGGAAAGATGCTCTTCCTAAAAAAAGTGAACTATTTAAGTCTCCTCATATTAAGGGTACCTAGAGACTAGGGGCCAGGAAGGAATTTTCAGTAGAAAATAGAAAAAAAAAACAGAAAAATTCTCCAAACCCTGAACGAATAGAGTAACACATAGTTAGGAAAACAAACCATGCAATTTATTAGGTACAAATCTACACTAGACCCTACTATATTCAAGGGACTAATACAGGAAGTTACAAAATGATTAGAGTTTCCTCATTGTTGAATTTATTCCCGCTATTTAATGAATTTTAGGAATGCACAAAGTGTTGACTGTAGAGATGCATAATTTATCACCGAGTTTTCAGGTAGTAAAATTACTGCTTTTGAGAAGGGAGCATGAATATTTGTGGAATTTTTTTCCCCTTATTCCTTGAATGTCATATTTGAAAGCTAGATTGTTTTTATGAGTTTCCGCCAAATAACCCACACGGGTACCTGTAGTCTGGAGGACTCGTGATCATTTTACCTTTTAGGGTATTCTAACTCAGTGTCTTTCACAGGTTATGTACAAAGAAAATCCAGGAACAGGCATTCCAACCCCTGTCACTCCAGAAATTGAGAGAGTGAAACGCAATCAGGAGAACTTCAGCTCGGTACTTATAAATATATCAAATAAGAAATTCTATTTCCCATTTGAAAAATGACCAGAATAACCCATCACCCTTTTTTAAAAAGTAACACCTTAACAATTCCGTGTGTGTGCGATTACCTGACTAAAGTCTCCAGGACTTACACAAAGTGACTCACTCTTCTGATGGTACTTCAGTGTTGGCGGTGACTGCCAAGTATGAGTACTTAGATCTAAAATACTGTGAGCAGAATTAACACAGGAGTCAGTCCTCATAATGATACTCGTTTCCTGTAACTGAATGCTTTCCACTGTACTTTTGCATTCCTAGAATTAGCCTCGTAGAGTTCACATTAAAGTGGTTGAAGAAAAAAATAATAGCTTTCTCCTTACTAAATGTTACTCACTAAAAAACTCCCTCCTGCCCCCAGTTTGCTCCCTTCCTTATTGTTTGTGCTGGTTTTGAATGTCTTCTGGGTACTTTCTTGTATCTCACAGGTTTTGTACAAAGAAAATTTGGGGAAAGGAACCCCAACCCCTGTCACTCCAGAGATGGAGAGAGTCAAACGCAATCAAGAGAACTTTAGCTCGGTATTTCTTAGGGGCCAAAAAATAAAATCCCTTAATTTTTATTTAAAATAATACTTTTAACACATTACAAACATGAGTTTTTTTCCTGTAAAACTACTAAATTCATATAATGAAAATAATGATACCAAATATATTACCTCAGTTTTCAACCCAAATCTAATTTAGTGTTTATTTTAGTTCTGGTGTGAAATTTAACTGTGTTTTCCCTAAAACATAGCTATTGATCACTTTCCTTAAAAACCTCAACTCCTTAAATAACAACAGGTGTTTCTAACTGGAGTGGCACAAGTTAGAAGTAAAATCTAACATCCTTTTGAAAGGTCAATGTTAATTAGAATTCTGTTTGTATTTATTCTGCTCTGTTTCATGTATTTTTGTGTTTGCAGATGTTTGTAAAAAATGTGATTCCTAAACCTTTTTCAAAAGACAGCATAGCAAATCACAGCAACTCAGAAATACAAATTTCCACAGCTCAGCTATTTCTTGCATACCACACAAGATATAAATGAACTTTCCTTTGGAATAGTTTCAGGATCATTGAAAGCTAATATTTATTTAGCTTTTAATGTTTTCTGATGTTTATTTTATTCCCCCAGACCCCTCTCTTTCTTTCTTGTTTTGATTTGCTAATTTAGAGTTACCAACTCATTGTGGATATTAATTTCAGTTAACTTGAACACTGTTTTGTAAGGCCTAATCCTCTGTCTTTGAGAGAGGCCTATATAAGTAAGTGAGTGACCCCTGCCTGTAGCCTGGCAGTTGTGTCTGTATTAATGCCCCTTAAACACAGACATCATACCATGTGTGACTAAATGTCTAAAGGTTGTTTAGAGTTGTTTTATTTCTTAAAGGTATATAGGCCTATTTTGCATCATTATGAAAACAAACAAAAATACTTTTAGAGATTATTTTAAAGATTATAACTACAAGAAAGATGGGTCCAGGCTGATTTGATTGTTGGCTTTGTGCACACAGATTTTGTACAAAGAGAACTTGAGCAAGGGGACGCCCCTCCCTGTCACTCCTGAGATGGAGCGAGTCAAACGCAATCAAGAAAACTTTAGCTCGGTATTTTGGAGAAAGCTCCTTTAACTCCATATTAAAAAAAATAATGATGACTTTCTATAAAACAAAACTTCTCACTATTAGTCCCTTTAAAATAATCAATTTAACAATTTAAAAAAATCTCATCAACTTGAATCCTTGTTTTCCAGACTCACTATTTGATTCTAACATTTTATTCTTTCTATAATAGTCCCTTAAAACTTGTAATTTGTTCCTTTCCTTCTCTTTACACTTTTATGTTACTTCTGGGACTTTTGAAGTTAATTGATATCCAAATGACCCAAACACTATGGCTCTTATTTATGTGGAACTCTTTTTACTAGATGTTTCTGGTTTAGTGTTACAAGCAAAGACACAGGACTCCATGGAGAAATAGAGGTTTTTAGCATGGGAACAGGGGTTACCTTAACAAAGCAGTATTGAGAAAGAAAATCATTCAGTAATGAAACCCAAAGCTTAGCTTACCTTGATACTTGTCCTAAACAAGCCAGTCCACATAGAAATCCAGACTTCTGATTGTTTTTTTAAAATACGTAGGGCAGAACATGAGTTTATATTTAATATTATTTTCTCTCTTATTAATATTGTTGTTGCTGAAAATCTCGATAGTCTACGAAACTTCTATATAAGGATCTTAGATTCACTTATGCCCGAGACAGAGAATCAAAGGTCATTGGGAAAATTTACCTCGATTTTTTTATGTGGGAGGTGGGGGGGTGGGGGTTGGGGGCAGGTTTGATCCAAAATGTTTTTAATTTAGTTAAAGTAGTTTCTGGAAGTTTGATTCTTTCATACAATTAGATCAGTAACTCTCTTTGGTCCCACTGTCTTTTTGTCTTGTTTTCCTTTGTTTTTAATTACTATTCACTAAAAACCTTTAAATTTTGTTCAATTTTCAATGTAAATTAATATTACATTTGAACTCTTTTAGAATGTTTCATTCCCTGTTTTTCCTGTGAGTTTATTTTTATTGTTCCTTCTTTTGGAAATGTTTGCATTAATTTTCAAATTTATTTTTTAACTTATTTTCTTCTGTAATAGGGTAAGTATATTATTGTTTATATCTATTTAAGATCTAATGATCTTAATGATCCTGGACAATTTCTGGGTTTTTTTTCAAGTAACCATTTGTGTTAATTTTTATACAGGTTGCATATAGGCAAAATTGTCCAGCGGTGCATAGAGCTCTTAAGATACTAAGGGGAATACATAGTACTATGTATTAAAACATTGACTTTTAGATCTAACTACCTCTACACCATGAATTTACTCAACAAAGACCAATTTTGCCATGTTGCATAGATTTGGTCTGGTGTTTTAAATATCTGTTCTTCTGTAAAAGAGATGTTCTGTGTAGTGAAAATAAATTTTTTGCTAATTTAATTTAAAAATAATCTTTCATATATTAAGCATTTTAGTGCTCTTATGAATGTATTTTGCATTTTTTCATTAATTCCTGACACAGGAGACAAACATTTAATGTGAATTAGAGTAAAAGCTCAATATCAAATACACTGACCCTTTAGCTAAGGAAATCCTGGGCGTGTTCTCCTCTAGATCTGTGCTTGCAGAGACAGGTTGGTTTGATGAATTGTCTTTCCTGTTTGATGTCTGTGGTCTCATCGCAGCTTCCCCATGAGATGGACAAAGAGCAGTTTTGACCATGCTTCTTTTTTCTGGATGCTTTTTTGTGTCGTACAGGTGTTGTACAAAGAGAACCTCGGGAAAGGCATCCCAATTCCCATCACTCCAGAGATGGAGAGAGTCAAACACAATCAAGAAAACTTTAGTTCGGTATTTAAAAGAAAAAAAAAATCCCCTTAACTATTTTAAACCATCTTAAAATGATTAATGGCTATACTTTTAAATCTAATCAACTTATCCCAGTAAACACTTTGACATGTCGTGTTTGCAACTTAATGCTGCCATTTCCATCAATCCATTTCCCCACTTTGGTTAAACATTAATATCATCATTTGGCTTTCCTATTTTAAAAGAACAGCACTCAGTATTTTAGTTCAGCCTTTAAAAATGTAACATTCTCAGTGTCCAAGCTCCCACATTTATCCTGCTTTGGCATATTTGGTCTGAATGTAAAGCTTACAAAAATTTTTCTGCAAAGATCAGACTGTTGACCTCATTTCCCACCTAACCCTGTCTCGACTGATATTCGTACAGATATTTTGGAGTTTCCTTTTTTAGCATATTGTCATTGCTCTCCATTTGCCATTTGCCTTTAAAATAATTAATTTTTCCCAATATGTTCACCCAACTAAAAATTAAACACTTGGACTTCTTTTGAAAGTCAACAAAAGAAGATTTGTGCATATGTATCTTCACATATGCAATGTTTATCAAACCCAGCTGTCCTGATGTGGTTCATTAATAACATTTCCAAATCAAAAATAACGTCCCTGGTTCTCCTGTCTCTTGCCCTTTTAATTCTGTCCCTTCCTCATAACAAGCTGGGGTACGGGCTAATGGTCCCTGTGTTGGTGCTTCCCGTTGCTCAGCACTGCAGAGATTAGTTCAAACAACAAACTTTCCTTCTCTGTCTCTTAGCTTTTGCTGCTCTTTCCTACATCCTTACATTTAAGACTGTCTTTAGGCTCACACAGGTTGGATCTAGAAGCTTCTGGTATTTCCCTCCCTCTAACTCATTCTGTTTCCCAATTGCACCACAACCGGGGGAACTGGTTGATTGCTCTTTTGTTCTGGATGCTCTCTTACCACACAGGTGCTATACAAAGAAAACCTGGGCACAGGAATTCCAGTCGCCAGCACTCCTGAGATGCAGAGAGTCAAATACAATCAAGAAAACCTTAGCTCGGTATTTTGGCAAGAAAGGGAAAAGAAGATGCCATTTAACCTCATAACTGAACTGATACTTGACATTTATTCTTTTTTTAAACCCATTTCCCTTCCTTTGTTTCTAATATACCTCACTTAGTAAAAGGACAAACTTTTGCAATTCTGTGATACTACTATAGAGTCTGTATTTTTAAAATTCCAGTTAATTCTGATTTTCGTTCCATCTGGTATTTTAAAATGAAAAACTACTTGCCTTTAGTTTGCTTGGATAACAACAAAGCCGAGTTCTAACAATCTCAAATGCCCCTGTGACTTTTTAGGAGGCATTGAGTTCATAGAAATGAAACAATAACATGGTAACCCCTACAGCTTTTCCCCAGCAGCTGAGGTTCTTGCTGCCCTAAAGGGTCAATTGTCCTTATCCCAAGAATGGCTGCCATTAAAGTAACTGTGGCATCTTATCTGCATATAACTCCTAGCTTCTTGAACTACTGTGTCACTTGGTAACAAGGAAATTGAACTCACACTTAAGATCTCACAGCAAATGAAATGTAACTCACAGTTGCTGTTCTGGATGCTTTCTCATCACACAGGTGCTATACAAAGAAAACCTGGGCAAGGGAACCCCTTTACCTGTCACTCCAGAGATGGAGAGAGTCAAACACAATCAAGAAAATATTAGCTCGGTACTTTGGCAAGAAAAAAAAAAACTACTTATTTAATGACTTAAAATAATACATATTAATCCTACTTTAAAAAAACAGCTTAAATTTTGTGAATTTCTTTGATCACATTTGTTCTTCCTTCCCTTAGGGCTACTCCTAGCCTTAACCCAGTAATAACAAGATTGCTTTAATCCATAACTTAAAGCTCTAATATCAGGAAGTAACAGATTTGCCAATAAAAGCATCCTTTTGCTCATCTCTCCCCAAACTTACTCTCTATCCACTGCCTCTGAGGTCTCTTTGTTTTACGTTAAATTTGGGGGGTGGCATAGTAGGCTCTTTCTGCAACACTGGAGTTGTGGTTTTTGTTGTGTTTTTTCATCTAGACTTTAGGTTCTGATTTCCCTATCAGATTCAGACAAAGAGACCTTGGGAAAAAAATAACCCCTGATCATTTCCTTCAAGAATAATGACATAAATTAAGATCTGGTAGTGGTTTTGGCAAGTGATTTTCAGTTTACTTAAAAAAGAAAGGGTCGCTCTTTTTGTTTTACCAGTTTTTGTTCTTTTTGTTCCTCTGTCTTTATCGTGGTCTTTACGTGCTAACTTCAGTAGACCATGCTGTGTATGCCTGTGCTCTGGGATGTTATGTATGTTTAGCAGGGGTGCTGGGGTTTGTTGGGACCTGAGTGAGCTTGGGTACTGAGGAAGCGTGTGCCCCCTGTCAGCACGGTCTCGTAGGGTTCTCCAGTACTTGAGCACAGTGCTTCGGAAACATCAGTGTGCGTCAGAATCACCTGGAGTATTTGTTAGACCAGATTGCTGGGTCCTGCCCCACAATCTCTCATTCTCTAGGTCTGGTGTGGGGCCAGAACATCTGCATTTCTAGCAAGTTCTCAGACGATGCTGACATTGCAGTCCAGAGGCCCCACTGTGTGAACCAGTACTTGACCAGAATTGTTCCTCTTGAATGCCATTTCCCAAACCTCCTGTGTCCCCCCAAGAATGACACTGAGGGGAAAATCAAGATTGGGGATCATAATGACACATTACTAGGTCTCCTACTCATTTACCATGATAGTGATATAATTGCTGAAAACATTGTTCCTTACTGATGAGTTTGATGTTATACTAAACTCAAGCAGGAGGCAGAGCACAGACAAGAGCAAGGAAAAAAGGAGTAAGGGGATTCTGTTCCTCATTTTGGGGCCCCCAGTTTTCTGGATGCATCTACTTGAGCTTTAGAGCTGCAGAAGGTCCGGTCCCCCGCTGCCATCTAAGGAGCAGCTTCCACCTTCTCCTGTTACTCCAAGGCATACCCTTAAGTCCCATTTAGATGACTGGCAGGGGCGTGAAGTTCACTGACTAGCAGTAGAATGAAGGTGGTCTCTCGTCCCTTTGGGGTACACTGCAGTTCTCTCTTGCAGTCTGCAAGGATTTCAGGACAGGATCCCACTCTGAAAGTGTGTATCTTGCTGTAACTGCATTCTAACTTCCTTTGGAAACATATTTCTTTCCATCTAACCTTATTGCCCAAATGGTTTGGCTCCCTGAGCCTTATAACTAATGATCCACCCCATTTAATCTTTTGGTAACTGTAATTCTTTTTTTCTTTTTTTTGGATCCCCTGGACTTGTATAGATTTTGTACAAAGAGAATGTGGGGAAAGCCACCCCAACCCCTGTCACTCCAGAGATGCAGAGAGTCAAACGCAATCAAGAGAACATTAGCTCGGTATTGTCTTGACAAACGAAAGTGCTTTCACTTTGCAAAGTAACCTCTGCGGTTTGGCCTGCTCCTAACTGCACCCCAGGTTAAATGCAAATGAACAAAATCCCAGTTTTTTTAAATCTCTTCCAAATGACATACTATGCTTACCGTTGCATTAACTGTTTAAGCTTTCTCCTTGAGAGCTGTTCCCACTAATAGTAATAGATTAAACATGGAGTTTTCTCCCCCACTTGCATTATGTTTAGTAGCCTGAATATTGCCTCCTAGTGATTTTTGGGTCCAACTTTGTATCTCACAGGTGTTATACAAAGAGAACCTGGGGAAAGCGACTCCCACACCCATCACTCCTGAGATGGAAAGAGTCAAACGCAATCAAGAAAACTTTAGCTCGGTATTTCAGAGAGGAAAAAATAAATTGTTACACTTTTTAACAAGCCTGGCAAACATGGTCATACCACTAATTTATCTCACAGTTTTCCCAAAACTTTTATCTTTGAAAATTTCTCTTAACCCCCTTAAAAACAACAAACCAACCCCACCAGCTCAAACTGATCTAATCCTTTCTTCATCTTTTGCTTTAAACCATAACATTTTAATGGCTTTGGCTTCTTGAGGTTTCTTACAGAGTGTGAGATAATCGAGCTGTAACACCAGCTAGAGGATGGTTTCCAGAACTGGTTTTCTGCACTCTCATGTCTGGATGCTCTCTTGGCCCCTCTAGGTATTGTACAAAGAGAATATGAGAAAAGCGACTTCGACACCTGTTACTCCAGAGATGGAGAGAGCTAAGCGCAACCAAGAAAACATTAGCTCGGTATTTCCTAGGACTTAAAAAAAGGAGTACTGTGACAACTTGAAAAATAACATCTTAACATCATAAAACCATGCCTTTCTCAGACTGAAAAGCACACTAAAAGGAAAAGAGAAAAAATGCAACATCTTGGAAAATAACATTTTAACACCATATAAATGTGCACTTTCTTATTCAACTGAGAATTCACACTAAAATTAACACAACTGTGCTTTTAAGTTCCAAATGATCATACTAAGACATAATAAGTTAATTGCCAGTGTTTTCCCTCCCCTTTCACTTTCCTGGGAGGTAGTCTTACATAACCAACTGTAACAAATTGACTTCCTAACACGCTCAGCCTTCTGCTGCCTACTTTTAAGGTACTCTATGAAACAGGTAATACTCTGAAATGGATGCCTTCTTGGCTTTGATAGTTTGGGTTTTTCGTGTCTGGAGGACTTTGATTTCCCTTTCAGAATATTGATTTATGAAATCTGGACATAAGCCTACAAGAAACAATCAATCACTTGTTTCGAAGGATAGTGCTTTTGAATGTTTGTATCCCATTCAGCGCCAAGCCCATCCAATATGCTGGTGCTGACGGTGCAATCCCAGCATTTTCAAGAGACCATTTTCTTCCCTTTCCTTTCAAAATTATACTGTCTCTTCTCCTTTGAAAATGAAAGTTGCGTTTTCAAAGTCAAAACAAATCTGTTCTCTCCTGATGCGAGACCTGCCTGCCCACGGGCGCTGGCCTGTTCCGCTGTCACTCAGGGGCTCCTGAGGGTCTCCCTGCTGCCTCCAGCCTCCCTCCTAGATCCTTTCACCTCCACCTGTTGGGCGGGTTGGAGGCTTCAGAAGTGGGATGGCGCCAGGAGCTGTCCTCACTCACGGTCTCTCCTCCATCAGGTTCTTTACTCTGACAGCTTTCGGAAACAAATACAAGGCAAAGCTGCCTACATCTTGGACACCCCAGAGATGAGGCGGGTGAGGGAGACCCAGCGCCACATCTCAACGGTGAGTCAGGAGCTCTTTAGATTGGCCAGCTGGCCTCTTGGAACATGTGAAGAAGGAAACAGTCGCACCATATTTTCTCAAAGGGTTATCATGACATTTTAGGTGAAATACCACGAAGACTTCGAGAAACACAAGGGTTGCTTCACGCCAGTGGTGACGGACCCTATCACTGAGCGAGTAAAGAAGAACACACAGGACTTCAGTGACATCAACTACCGAGGCATTCAGAGAAAAGTGGTAGAGATGGAACAAAAACGGAATGACCAGGATCAGGAGACTATTACAGGTGACCGAGCCCTAGATGGGCAAGTTGTGTGTGTGTAGCACTGCGCCGGAGGCGGGGGGTGGGTGCAGAAGAACCAGAGTGGCACTGCCAACAGCAAGCAAAGGATAAAGGACCTCAGTCCGTGTTTTTTACGGGGTGTGAAAGAAAACCTGTATAACTTCACGGTTTGCAAAGCTGACATCTCTTCTACCTTTTGCTTTGTTCTCCTCTGAGGGGAAGGCATGACTGAAACTGAAGCTAAATTTGTGTTATTCAGTCCTCCTGTGGCTGTTTTGGTTCCTGCCTTCGTTTCCAAGTTGCTGGACGAGCCCAAGAATATCTGTTCTATCCTGAATCTCACTTTCAGGTCTGCGTGTCTGGCGTACTAATCCTGGCTCAGTGTTTGACTATGATCCAGCAGAAGACAACATTCAGTCCCGAAGCTTACACATGATTAATGGTATGTTGGGGCACAAAGGGCTTACAACATGACCATCGCTGCTCAGTGGGCTGCTGTCAGAGACTTTCAGGTTCTCAAGTTCTTTTCCTCCAGGGTTTTCAGTTTTCTGAGTTGTCCATTTAGCATAATGACTAGTGGGCCAAACTCAGTTTTTAGGCAGTTCAAATTAGGGCAAGATTGCTTTGCTGCCGGAAGGCTCCTTCAGGCCCCATTACTAATTTTTTTTCTAAAGGAAAAAAAGTAGTACATCTTCCATTAGAGAAATAATGAAAAAAAAACATAGGTAAAGGGAAGAGAATGGATTTAACCTTTGGCAACTTTCTGGACTCTCATATCAAGGCAGGTTATTCATTCAACAAGAGGCTGCATGCCTTTATGCCTCTGTTCATGCTAAAATGTAGAATAATATGTGCATGCCTGTCCTCAAAGGATTTATACTCCAGTCTACTGATGAAGAGAGACAAGCAAATCTGAGGTTACACCCTGACACATGCAATTTTAAACTTCTGAACATGGATTGTGGGAACACAGAGAAACGGCATCTGAAGTAATGCGGAAGTTAGGGAGGACTTTCTGGAGAAGTTGAAGGTCGAGTTTGAATGTAAATATTGCAAAATATTCATTTTCGGGAGCCAGGAAAATGGGCAGGTGTAGGGAAGGAGGAGTTGAGGACAGATTCTGAGATTGGAAGCCTGGCAGTACTATTTAACTGTTACATGACTTTGGGAATTTACTTAGACTCTCATCTAGAAAATGAGGATGACAACTATGTATCATTAAGCATTTTGAGGATTTAATCCATGGAAACCTACTTAAAGCCATGCTTGGCAACAAAGAGCAAACACTCCCTGAGCTCACATACTGTTAGGACTTAACCACCATGGGAGTTTCTCTGCAATCTCACACCCTGTAGCCCAAGCTCAGCGCCGGAGCAGGGAACAGTCGCGGTCCGCCAGTGCGCTGAGCATCAGTGGTGGCGAGGAGAAGTCTGAGCATTCAGAAGCAGCCGACCACCACCTCTCCACCTACAGTGACGGGGGCATCTTCTTCTCTGCAACTTCAGCAGGTACAGATGGTTGATGCTGACCTTGACAGCCATGGCCAACCAGCTCACTGATGGTTACTGTGAGTCACACAGAAAAATATCTGGATCTTTTCTCCTAATGAGAAAAGAAGTAGAATCCTGGAGAAATACTTTGTTAGACGTTTCATTTTCATTAACTTTATTAGGACCTCCTTTCTTGGAAATCATTCTTTTTAAGTTAAGGAAAAAGTGTTGCTCAGCTGCTTCACACAGATTAAATGATGTCTAGCCACGTTTTCTTCCTAGAAAGCATTTTTTTCCTTTCCTTTCAGCTTACAAACATGCAAAAACCACAGAGCTCCCACAGCAACGCTCATCTTCAGTTGCCACCCAACAGACAACAGTATCCTCTATCCCATCTCATCCATCTACTGCTGGGGTAAGAAAATAATAAAGAACTTACTCAAGTCATTCTTATTTTTGGACATGTGCAATAATGATTATAGGTATTCTGGTCTTTTTTTAATTGAACCTTTTTTATACAAAGCTCTTACTACACATCTCATGTTAACATTAACATCAAAATCTTCATTACCAAACTCAAATTTAAAAGCATTATCCAATGATGTAAAACAAAAAATTAAAGGAAATTATCATTTTGGCTACTACCTTAAAAAATTTAAGATATTAAAAATATTTACTCTTGGAATGATTCTTCCAGAATATGTATATATATGTGCATATGAATATGTCAAACACATAAAAATATTCATATCTTAGATCTCCTTTATTAATATATATTGAAAAGATAAGTTAAATCATGTTTACAATTCACCAGACTACTTTAAAACTCTTAGTTTAAGATCCTGGATCTTATTCATAATATCACAAAAACATAACACTTAAGGATTGAAATGAACAATATTTGTATGAAGAAAACTATCTTTACAGAAGGACATAAAGATCTAAAGTATTGAGACCCATTATATTTCAGGAAGGGAATCTTGTAAAATTGTTGTATCTCCTGAAATAAATCCATAAATTCAAGGCATCTCCAATCAAAATCCTAGTAGCATTTAAAAAATGTGTTAATCCTAAAATTCATTTGAAAGAGTAAAGATGCAAGAATAAAATAATTTTTGAAAGTGACAATAGGAAAGGACTTAACTACATTAAAGTAAAACATTTAGCATGGCAATAGATTTTTTTAAATGATGAAGTCCAGAAAGGGACCCTAAATGAATTACAAATCAGCAAGAAAAAAAAAGCAAAATTGTAAAATACTACAGAATAATAGAGACTACTTTTCTAATATTGGGGATGGAAAAGTCTTCTCAGCAAGTTCCAAAATCTAAAAATTTAAAGGAAAAAAACCAATAGATTTGACCATAACATTTTTAATAAAAAGAAACATGTGAAAAACTGGGAAAAAAATATTTGTAGCATCCATAACAAAAAGAATAATACTGAAAAAGCATAAAATATCCCAAAATTCATTGACAAATTATTCTCTTCCCTTCAAAATAAGAAAGGTCTCGAAGTGTATGAATAGACAACTTTCAGGAAAAGAAATTAAAATGGCCAACAAGATGCTCACCATGCCTAATCAGGAATATGAAAATTAAAACAAAAATAAAGTATATTAGAACATTAAAGAACTTTTCAGAAAAAATTAAATGCATATACCATTTGACTTAATACTTATCTTTAAAACCTCTTTATTCCAGAATATTTGCCCTAAGCAAATGGTAGGGGGTTAGTATGAGAAAAAATGGTGATAATTAAATGTCCAGAAATACAGAAATGGCTAAATAATTTGATATTACTAAATACAGAATTCTTTGCAGCAATAAAAAGAATGAGAGATATCTATGGAAAGACCTCCAAACTATACTAAGTGGAAAGAATAAATCAGAGTACTATTTATAGTATCATTCCATTTATGCCATGGGGAAGGAGGAAAATGCCTTTAAATGTGAATGTATGTGTGTATGTTTCAGAAAGCTTGGAAAAAATATGTAGGTTACATATCAAACTACTAACCAGTGGCTGCTCCTATGAAGAAAATTTGATCAATTTCAATTTTTATTATTTATCTCTGAATGGTTGCCATTTTTAATAGTTGTCATAAGAACACTTAACATGAGATCTACCCGCTTACAACATTTTTAGGTGTACAATACATTATTGTTCATTATAGGTTCAAGGTTGTAAATGGATCTCTAGAAAAACAGATCTTCAGAGCATATTCACCTGGCTTAACTGAAACTGTATGCACATTGATTAGTAACTTTCATTTTCCATTCCCACCATGTTAAATAACTTTTTCTTAACATATGGAGGATAGGCTTTAGAAACTTTACTACTGGTATGCTCCCAAATTCCCAAAGTGAGAGATACATGCAATATTCTATGGTGTTTTTTCAAATTCTTCTCCAAAGTGCAAGATTGGCCACAAAAGGGAAGAAAAGGCCACATATAAAATAAGCATTCTCTTTTCTTACACACACACACACATGGTTTATGAATACATTAACATACTATTAAGTTCATCATTTGAAGTGCACAATTCCACTAATTTTTAGTTCATTTACATGGTTGTTCAACCAACATCATTATCTAATTTTAGACCAGCACCCTAAAAAAAAAAAAACCATCTGCATTCACTTTCCCAGCCTTCTTCCTCCCTGCTCCATCCAACCCTAGGCACCCAGTAACACAGAGAGAGGCAGAAAGTACATTTACCTATTTGGGACAGTTCACATCAATCAAATCACACAGTATGTGGTCTTTTATGACTGGTTTCTTTTCCTTGATGTTTTGAGGCTCATCTATGTTGTATCATGTATCAGTACTTCATTCCTTTTTATTACCAAATAATATCCCATTATATGAAAATACCACTTTTTCCTCACTTAATCATCAGTTGGTGGGCATTTGAGTTGTTCCCACTTCTTGGCTGTTATGAATGGCACTATAAATACATACAAGTTACTGTGTGCACATGTTCTCAGTCCTCCTGGGTTTGTACACAGGAGTGGAATTGCTGGGGCCTGTGGTAACTCCATGTTGAACATGAGAACTTCCAACATTTTTTCCAAAGTGTCTCTACTTATATTCCCATCAGCAGTTTATGAAGGTTCAACTTGTCTACAATATCAACACAATACAATTCTCCCCAACACCAGTAGTCAGTCTTTCATATTATCACCACTCTGGTGTGTGTGTGAAGTGACATTCCTTGTGGTTTTGATTTGCATTTCTCTGATGACTAATGCTGTTGAGCATCTTTTCATGCATCTACTGGCTGTTTGTATATGTTCTTTGGAGATTTCAGGTCCTCTATCCCTCTTCTTCTTTTCTGGCATTGAATTGTAGAGGCTCTTTATACATATTGGATAATAATCCCTTATCAGATATATGATTTGCAAATGACTTTTCCTGTTACATGATTTACATTTTACTTTCTTGGTGGTAACTGAACATTCTCTTCTGTGCAACTTAAATTTGTGGAATAAGTCATAGGAGACCTTAGGTGTTCAGGTTAAGTTGTGAATCTAATATATTTTTCCTTTTTTTCCATCCTCACGAACAGAAAATCTTCCGTGCCATATATGACTATATGGCTGCTGATGCAGATGAGGTGTCCTTCAGAGATGGAGATGCTATTGTTAATGTTCAAGCTATTGATGAAGGTTGGATGTATGGCACTGTACAGAGGACTGGCAGGACCGGCATGCTCCCAGCCAACTACGTGGAAGCTATTTAGGTATTCCAAAGCATCACACCTGCCTGGAGGACCTACAAATCCTGCAGTCAATATTTCAGTTTAGACTCTTCATTGTTATCCATGTTCTCAATCTGCCTGTTTTTGTGTGTATGATTTATAGTTGTACTGTCCCATTTCTATATGAACCCCAATACTTCTCTAGAAAAGCAGATGTTAGTATCACCAATCTGTCCAGTTATTAAGCTAAATTTACTTCATTATTTTTTGGACTTGCACATTAAATTTAAGAGACATTAAATCCATAGGGTCATTTTTTAAATTGCCATCAACTTTTCCTTTGGGTTTTGTAATAAGCTTAATTTCAGAAGACATTTAAAAATTTTCTGCAATTATTATATTGCTGTATCAACCCAGTCTTTCTGCATTATGAAAATGTTAACATTATTTTTCTAAAACAAGGATTCTGAACATTTAAACAAGAAAAAAAGTCACCTTTTCCTTGCTTACGGAATGCTGATGCTTTTATTTCTACTCTAGTTCTTGTTATTAAGCTTTTAGTCAATATAAACTGGTGATAAGCTATAACTAATAAAATCTGTAATTCTGCAACAAACACCACTGATGGAATGACCATTTTTAATGCTTTTAAGATCTATAAATTAAGTTCAATAAAGCAAATCCGATACCAGACTTTACTAAAAGAAATAAACTTAAAATATATGTAGTTAATAATACACATAGATTTCTCAAAACTCTCCACCATACACTTGTATTCTGTAAGCTTCCTATATGATTCTCCTAATGAAGTTTTACAAACAACTGTGGGAGCCAGTCCTTCCACAGGAGACCTTTCTCATCTGTATCCAGAGGGCTGGCAGTATGTGGGCAAGGCTTAAAAAGGCAAAGGGTGGAGTGTCAATGAATATTGGCTTAATGCTTGTACAGATATCCTTTTGAAAAATCAGATCTGTCCATGTTACTTTACTGCTGTAGTTATACTGTTGTCCTCAAGCAACATGCGTCTCTCAAAGACTGACAGTGAATATCCTTGTGGAGAGTGTACACACTTGTGAATGCTCCATGACCACACCTGTATGCCAGGCACCATGCCAGATGCTGGGGTGTGAGCAATGAGCAGGACACAGTTGGTCCTTAGGAAACTCACACTCCCAAGAAAAAGGCAGACCATGTCTAAGCATCCTGATGGGGGTGAGGCAGCCACTCTCCCCTGCCACGTCTTCAACCTCCACTTACACTGGGCTAAAAAGCCAGGTTAAGCAAGGCAACAATCCTGGAGATTTTTCCTCTAAACTTCGGGAACACCCAAAGTATATGCTGTCCCAGTTTCAACAAATGTTTTAGTTTTTAAATTTCCTATTCATTTTGTAAGGTTGCCAAAGCACACTTTACAGTTGTTATTAGACAGACACTTTTCTCTAAATCTAGGTTTGTTTGAAGCTTGGAAAGATTTCAATATACAATATTCAAAAGCAGAGAATTTATGGTTAATCCCGTTGCACCTCTACCCCATCAATGCCCTTAACGTGAATCCTACTAATCACCTCTCTTAAGACATTAATCACAATTGACACATCTTAAAACACTGACAATATCTAGTGTTCAAATTTTAATGTTCATCCCATTTTCTAACCATTTGCTTAGGCCGCCGTTTTTGTCAGTGCAGTGATACCAGAAAGTCTTGTATGTATCTCCACTGCAAAGAACCTCAGTGACTAGATATTCACTCCATCTTCAAGAAGTTATGAACAAAGTAAATGATGTCTCTAAGTTACAGGTAAGGCAGAAGTCAAACCCAGCTCCTCTGAGGACTAGTGCTCATGGTACAGATTCTGTGCTCTTGTAAAATGTATGATGGGCTCTTCACCACCCCCACTAAATTCATAAAGTTCTAACCCCCAGTGCCTCAGAATGTGACAAATGGGTCATTGCGTGCATTGTTAGTTGTCCTTAATCCAACAGAATTACTGTCATCATAAAGAAGGGAAACTGGGATTTAAACAAGATGGCAGCATGAGAAGTGAGGCAAAAACCTCCTCCCCAAACCACACATAACACAAAAATACAGCAAATATAACTAATCCTGAAAGAGCAACTGGAAAGACTGCAACAGATGGCCTACATCTGGGAAAAGGAGAAGACCTCACAGGAAAAAGTAGCAAAGCCACAATATGGTGGGACCCAAGCCCTCACCCCAGCTCACTGGTGAGAGGAAGAGAACAGAGTGAAGAGGGAGTAGATGCCCAGGACTGCTAAATACCCACCCCTGGAGATCTACTCCAGGAGTATGAACCCACATTACATGGTGCTCCGGAGATTAGAGGGGTTGGAAAGCAAAGACAGGTGGGACACTTAAGAGACTTAGATTCCAGCCACTAGTGGAGAACAGGTACCCACAACCAACCACTCCAGGACAAAAGAAAGATGGTCACTTTAAAAGACTTCCCAACAGTGAGAGGGCTGCTAATTGGGCAAGGATTGCAGCACTTGCTGCTGAGAAAGGACAGGTGGACAAAACTGGCCCAGCACACACAGCCTAGCAGGTTGGGAACTTTGAGGAGCTTCACACACTCCATCCCCCTGGCTGGCAATGCAGCACCAAGGCCCCCACCCAACTGTGATACACAGCCTGACACTATTCCTCTTGGCCGATACCAGTTCACAAAACTGCTGCCCCTGCCATCAAGCCAGGCCAGCCAGAGGGTGGCCCCTGGGAGTAAAGAGCTCTTTACTCCTGGCAGGCACCAGTGCTGAGTGCCTGTGACCCCTGCCAATGCTCTAGGTGCTGGACAGTTCCATATAATAGAGCTTCTGGGCACTAGAGGGCACTGCAAACACAAAGTTTTTGTTCTATAGTATTCATTAGGAATATCAAATGGCAAAAGAACCTGGTACAAAACAAAATCAAACAAGAGTGCCTAACTAAGTAAAACTGAAATCACCAATCTTCCTGATAAAGATTACAAAATAATCATAAAATTGCTTATGGAGCTACAGAAAAATAGTTAAGGCTTCAGGGAGAACTTCAAGAAAGAGAGAAACTTTGAAAAATACAGTACCCAAAATGAAACATA